CAACATGGCCTTTACCATACGCATCAAATAAATCAACAGGGCCAAGTTGTTCTGCACCACATTGACCTTAACACCCTCGGCGATAAAGGTACACATACGTGGTAACATTTCATGAAGACCCGGATCGGATGACAACGACTGCAGAGCTTCACCACGTCTCGGCTCATCGGAACCCACACATGCCTCTGTAATCTCCTTATAATACAACTGCTGCTCCACCGACAACTCATGTGTGGCCAATTGTTTGACATGAACCGTTTCAACATTTTTCAATTTATGAATTTTACCCGTTGCCGGTTTACCCGCTGTGTCTTTGGTAACACCCTGTTCCAACTTTACCACCGGATTCACCGAATCCAATGCTTGATGATCTTTCGAAAGGGGTGGCGGATTCTCGGGTATTGTCGGTTGGATACCATCCACAGCCAACCAATGTGTGCGCAGTGTTATATCTAGTGGGATTTTTGCCACATTACCTTGGACAATTTCCGTCAAATCCATTTCTTTTTCTTCGATGAAATGTAACTCCCTACCGCCGCCCGAGGCAAATCGGAATGGTATAAAGTCGTTTGAGGTGAAACCATATTGTGGTTCAATATTGCGAACCTTCAAAGCATGATCGATGTCACTCATAATCAGCTTTTCCCGCTTGGAATGGTGCATAAATTTTGCGGCATCCTGAACAATGCGTTTGATCTTTATGGAGACATCTTCGGCCAATTCCTTAGCGGCATCATCGGGCAGTGAGCCAACACCAATACTTTCGGCAATTACTTTCATCGACTCGGCCGACAAAGTTGTGCCATACATCATATCCCCAACGGTGGTTGCGGCCGCAGAGGAACTCATTTTTTGTCCAAATTTACTCCAAAGCAGCGTCTCTAGTCTACACTTTCAAGGGTTGAATAGTTTGAAAACAAGAGTTTTTAGGGTACAACAGATCGTTTTACAACCAAAATGAATCAAAACAATCAACAGCTAGTTCAAATGATTGTTTCAATCAAATGAATGAACTGGAACTAGTGCTAGTTGCTTTGTTAAAACTCGTTCAGTGGTAACCAAGACAAATATATGAGTTTTTTTATAAAAAAAATAGTTTTTTTTATAAAAAAGCAATTGCTTAGTTATTTTTTATTAAAACAAATATAAACATTGCCTTATCCAATGAAACCAAGTGTTAAAATATCGAAAATAGATGATTTGATAAGGTGGCGTATGTTCAGTGCAAACAATTGTTTGCTTTTGGCGACAGAGATAATTTTTTGTTAAATGTTGTTAATTTAATATTTTTTTAAATAAGTGCAATGATAAACGTATATGGCAAAACAAAAGTAAAAAATAAGCCACTTGATTAAAAATAAAACCAAAAAATGCTTTTGACAAATCATCAAAGAGAACGTTCAGTGTACGTTAATAGAGCCGTTTTATTTGAAGGCGTATACATACTATCAAATTGGATTGTCTAAGTGATTGCTCGCAGGGTGCGCAAAAATTAGCTCGCGAATGAATTAAAATACATTATTTTCTTTTTGTGCTCATTTTAAAAACGACTTAATGGCGATAAATTCTTTACCAAACGAACATTCGCCAAAGAATGTTCGCACACACAGAACAAACGAGTGAGATCGTTCGTTTCGTTTTTTGGTTGAAATTCTTTCTGACATTCTCTCACGAATGAAAACAAACATTCCCGAATTCTCGCGAATGCTCAAAACAGCAAAAACAATAACAACAAACGTTCGTGAACTCAATACTTGTTGGACATGTGTTTTGTTATTCCACACACTTTCTGCTACACATTCAGTCGTTGTGTGTGTGTTTACTTGTTTTATGATATTTTTGTTAGTTATTGTTTTTAACAGTGCTCGCGAGCATTCGCGAACATTTGTTTTTTGAGTTTTTCAAAAGAATGTTCTTCAGCAACAAATGCTCGCCAAAAAACGAACCGACGAAGCTGACAGCGAAATTTTATCGTTCGTGGTCACCCAGGGAGACCAGCTGGATATCAGCAGTCACTCAAGTTTGCTGTCAAAATTCATTATTATGAGTTGACTTCCATTATGAAAACGTAAACAAAGTTCAAATTTTTGACATTAGACTGGAGAAAAAACAGCTGTTTTCCGATTTCAATTGCTACCTGGGTGACCTTATTAATAGATCTTGGTATTTATAAGCGTGGTTTTATATTTGTCGGGATCGGGATCGGTGTTGAGAGTTTCTCTCTCTCTCTCAGTGGTAAATTGTGAATTGTGTTGGAAAACATTACCACAGGTAGAAACAAAAAAGCAAAGACATAAAAGTATAAAGATAGAACAATTGAATTTCCAAGTTGGCCGTTAGATGGCTTTTGCTCTGTTGTTACGATATCGTAACAACATTTTCTGTTAATTACAAAGAGAACTACATTTTTTACTCTCTGAAATGCAATGGAATAATGACAGAAAAAACCTAGAGAGTTTAAAAACAATGTATATGGCTGGCAACATTCTGCAAATATATATGATGTGTTCCACAATGTGCAAGGCGAATTTTTGTCGCTGCTACAGAAATGTATAAATATACAATAAAAACAGAGGATGTACATATGATAAAAACTCGCTAATCCGGATAATTGATTATATTCCGGATTATCGAGTTTTATTAATTGGTTTAAATTTATATTAATTTGGTGATAATTTAATTATTTTTATGCTTTTATTAAAAATGAAAATTATTCATTTCAAAAATATGAACTTTGAATATAATAGGTACCATTTTCAATTAAATTTGCAACGATTTTTTTATTAAAATAAAAAGTAACGTATCTTTACAATCCGGATTTTTGAGTCAAATAGGTCAATCAATCCGGATTATAGGATACGCAATGGGTTGTGAAATGCAGTCCGGATTACCGAATAAAACGGATTGTCGAGGTTCGGATTATCAAGTTTATACTGTATATAATTATTATTATATATAACCAAAAATAACATAGTATTTTAGGTTTTTTAGTAATTTAAAGAGTTTCTCCTACGCCATAGAATCGTTTAAAAACGACAACTTATTGAACTTTGTATACACATGTGTTGTTGTGTGATTATTGTGAACCCCCGATGCAATGAAAACACAATGTAAATAGTGAAAAACCGCGAAAAAGTCTTTCAATTTATAAACGTAAGAAGGGAATATATATTCAATACTTATTTCAATCAACTTAATAAAAATCTGGATACTATGAAGATACTTTGAAGACCGCGAAAAAGAAAATCGGTTCAGATTTAAGATTTAAGGTAAATGGGGCACCAAAGTCCCTTCATATATTTCGATTTGCACGAAATTTGGCACTTTGACAATTAGGTCCAGAATGATATGTGCTAAGTTTCGAGAAAATCGATTCAGATTTAATATAGCTCTCATATATAGTTTTGTCAGATTTTATGTAAAAGGTGCACCAAAGCCCCCTATTCTCGGTGTCATATTTTTTTTTATTCCGATCTACTCTTGAAGATATAGCCGATTGATTGAGTCAGCATCAAGTGACGGCAAGAGTGATTCTTAAACGCATTTCTCGAAGCAGCGTTTCTCGAATGGCGGGCACGATAACTCATAAACTAATAATCCAATCGGTTTGTTAGTACCCAATTATTAATAATAAAACATTTTTTATAATTTTGTTGTTGTTGTATAATTAATTTATTTATTGCCATAAACTTAATAATTTTGTGTGTTTTTATTTTTTTGGGAAGATTTTTTTTGAAGCGGAAATAAAAATTTTGAAGTGACGGAGGATATTTTAGTCATAAGTAAAAAAATAGATTGAAAACCAGTGAGCCGAGCAGTATAGTCGAACGGGGCCGACCATATGTTACCCTACACAACTTCAACGAAAATTTGACTTCCTGTAGTTCTTTATTCTGAGCTTGAGCAATATTTCGCAATATTTGCAACCTCTTGACCGACTACAGGTAAACAAATATTCAGTACAGCCCTTCTAAGTGCTTGTCCAGATTCCCTTCACCGTGGGTTGTGCTGTGCTATTCGGCCTGTGGCCTATAAATCGACTCGTAAAAACACAACAAAATAAGTTTTTGGTCCACTTCAGCCCAAAATTATTATCTGATCATCACCGAAAATTATAGGCGTTGTCCTTGACCATAACTGCAACCTCATGGAACATTTCAAAGCGATCACCTTGTGGTAATGGTTTACTAAATTATATTTGAATAACCTAAACACCTCTTAATACTTAAGTGTAACTCCCGCAGCCGAGTACATACGACAATATTGGTATTGGTATCAATTTAAAGGTCAACAACTCTATTCCGTATAGAACAAAAATTTTTAATTTTTCACACAAAAGTCAGGGTCCATTTGACCCGCTAAATATTGACCGATCTTTATTTAAAACTGGCATGTTTATTCTTTGCCCTGATCCCATTCTCCGTGTAAAAATTCGCAATGTTGGGGTCAGAATTGCGGCCTCTGGAGCGACCAGAAAACCGACAAAAATGAAGTGTTTGGTCCATTTCATCCCCTTAATATCAACTGATCTTTCCCAAAAACCATAGGGATCTTCATTGGCCAGAAGAGCAAATAATAATGGACAGACGGACGGCCACACATGTCTAGATCGATTCAGCTAGTCGAGATATGACGATCGGTATACTTAACGGTGGGTCTAGGACCAACACGTCGCGGCGTTACAAACTCTTGGGGCTGCACAGAGCTATAATACCCTGACATACCCTAAAATCATTGTTGTTTTAGTATTCATGGGTCATTATTTGAATCCGCAATGTAATCTTCAGGCATCCACATCAATAAACATATTGCAAACAAATTAAAAATTTATAAACAATTTATAAAATTTGGAAAAGTTTCTCCAGTTCAACCATTAGAGACCAATCAGCCTTAATCAAATCATCACGGATGTAATCCTTGCAAGCATCGAGACCTTGGCCAACTTATCATCAGCTTCAAAATGACGGCCAAACATTTTTGGTGATTCACCGGGTATGGGATCAATTTTAACCCAAATCTCTTTGATTCGATTGAGGTGACATTGCCAATAACGACAAACTCCTTGCTCGGCACACAAATCGGTGTACCAACTTTCACAATACCATTTTCGACCATTACACCCATTACAAAGGGGGTCACGACTGTTAAAGATGAGCTGTGGCAGGGGAACACGGCAATTGATTTAAATTCTTCAAATAAAGCACGCAAAAAAAATAATTTAATTTCATACAATCTCAAACTTTACTTTGGTTACCATATTTTTCAAAATAATTAAATTGCTGTTAAGTATTTTTTGGTGAGAGAACATCAAAAAGTGCATTTTCCATTAAAATGTGTAGCCCTCTATAGCACAAATTTGACACTAATATTGGAAAATGCGTCTTGTCAAGTCTTTACGATTGTATGTCTTTGACTTCGTTCTCTGAGAGTGTAATTTCATTTTTATTTTCGTGTGCTTTTAGTTTTTAGTTTTTAATGCGAATATAATTACGGAAAACGTATAAAAAGTTAATAAAATCATAAAAAATCGAGAAATCTACAAGCTAAGCTACAAGGTGTAATGAAAAACGACGGGAAATATAGAAAAAATCGCGTTGAAATAAACAAAGTGAAAAATTTTCCTTGGTCGCCCCAACACCACCAACAAGAACGAGAAAGCAAGAAGTAAACGGCGCCATTTTAAGAAGAAAAAAACGAAATAACGAAAGCAAAAAGAAACAAAAAACAAAGCAAGGCAAATGCATTTCAATACAAAAAGAAAACACACAAAGAAGAATGGAATGTGTTAAATATAAAAAATAATAATAAATAAAGAAAAGCAAAACAGAGCAAGCAAAAAGTGAAGTGTTGTAAAATTGTTGTTGTTTTTTTATTATTTCTTTAGTTTATTTTACATTTGGTGTACTGTGGACTGTAAGAAAATTTCACTACAAAAGAAAAATTGTAACAAAAAAAGGAAAACGTAGTGGAAGAGAAGGAATTTAATGAAGCAGTTGTATTAAATAAAAAATAGATGAATGTCCACAAAAACTACAACAACAACAATAATAATAATAAGAATATCATCATCAAAGCAGATACATGAAACTTCAATTGTGTAAGTGATGAATGCTGCTGCTTGCTGATGCATGCAAGCAATGTTTTAAATAGTTTCTTTTTTGACGTTTAAGAAACTTTAAATTACTTTATTTTAAATTTAAGGCGAACAAAATTGGAAATTGGGGAAATTGAGTGCATAATCCAATGAAATGGCCCTGAGGTTATTAGAAAAAAATGAAAAACAAAAAATTAGCCTCTTTTTTTACAACAAAGCAGTGACCTAATTTGAAAACAAAAAAATTATCTAGAACTAAGAAGAAGCACAAGTAAAAAAGCCTATATATACTAAAAACAAGAATATGAAGAAGAGCTTTAAACAAATATTAGATGTGGCGCTAGGCATTCCTGAAATTTGCCAAAAAAAAAAAAACATCTGCCAATTGCCATAATGTTTGTTGTTGCTGTTGTTGTGAATGTCCTTTATTCAGCCAAGGAAAACATTTTAGGGAATTCTTTCGTGTTTGCTTGCCCCCTTCTCAAGCATTCTTCATCTTCTTTTGTTGTGTATTGTTGTTGTCGTCCGTCGTGGTATTGCCCCGCCACTTTCGTTCGAGTTTCTTATATGCAAAGGCAGGCTGGTTGAATCGCTGGATGGTTGGTTGACTGACTGGCTGCTTTGTTGGTTGGCTTGTTTATGTGGTTGTTTTTTTATAATTGATCGCGCGTTTTTTGCATTGCTTTCGTTTGTTTCTTCCTTTCATTTGTAATTTGCATTTATTGTGTGTCAATCACACTTTCGAATTTTTTTTTTTTTTAATTTTTGAAATTCTCCCCCCCTTTGTAAAGGAGAATAAGAAGGGGTATGTACGGTAGCGTTCGGTACACGCACACACACACACTTAACGTTCAATGAACAACACCACACGTATTCACATATTTTCTTGTTGTTGTTTTTATGTTTTTATATATTTTTTTTCTTATAGAATTTTTATTTGAACAAAAATTTTGACCAGGTTGTTGTCGTTTTTGTGTCGTGGTGAAACATAGAATTGTTGTGAGTTTAACTAACCCTTACAGGTGTGGAATAATAACGTTTTCCAAAAAAATACATCTAATTGCACTTGCAGACGCCAGGATGACGTTTAAATGGTCTATGGAATTGCATAATGACATTTTTGAGAAATAAAATTAATTATTTTCAGTATTCACAGATTCCAGAATAGGAGGAGTTGCTGTGGTGTTACTTTTCTTCAAGAAAAGAAACGTACTATGTTGCAAAAAATATCGCTCAATGGGCTGAGACCCAAACCCTCTGTCGTGGAAACGCTTATTCCATATCGTGTTTAGCTCTGAAACATATCGACGTGGATAGTTTTCCTTTCGTACCTTAGGCCAGCTTAAACGATACACAAACGACTGAATACAAGCGGGACATTTGCCACCTATGTTATGATTTTAGTTTCGATGATTAATGAATTTTATAAAGCAAACAAAGGCTACTTTACTTACTTAGCTGGGTTGTTCCATAAGCCGAACTTAAAAACGATTTCCAGGCGCGTCGGTCTTTTGCGCATCTCATCCAATTTGAAAGACCATTTTCCGAGATGTTGTCTTCTATTTGATCTTTCCATCGGATTCGTGGCCTTCCCCTTCTTCGTGAACCATCACTTGGTTCGCTTTTATATGCCTTTTGAGCTGGGGCATCTTCATCCATTCTCACAAGATGGCATAGCATAGACTATGTCGATGTCCGAGAATAGAGATATAGGTATTGCGCTCATGGTTCAACATCGACGCAGATCGATCCATAGATCTTTCGGGGAATTTTTCTCCCAAACATTCCAAGAGCTGCCTCATCTACTTGAGCAATTACCCATGCTTCAGATCCATACAATTGCACGGGTAATATCAGCGTCTTATAGTGTGTGAGTTTGTCTGGCGGGAGGTGGCTTTGTTTCTAAACTGCTTACTCAGACCATAGTAGCATCTGTTGGCCATCACTATCCGAATTTCAAAACTGCTGTCATTCGTTTTATTTATGGCGGTATATAAAATTGGCACATATCGTCTTGTTTGCTTTTTGTGCACAGGACACAGGACGCTGAGGTTCCAATCAATCTAGCCAAATTGTACTAATCAGGTGGTGCATACTCCTGACCAGTATCCGGCAACCGGTCTTGAATAGTTCGGCTTGTAACCCATCGGCACCTGCTGCTTTATTGTTCTTCAGCCGATTAATTGGTATTCGCTACTCGTATTGATCAAACGTCTAAATCACTGGACAAATTCTCTCTGGTAGTTTTGTAAACAATGGTAGCTTGTTTAAAGGAGAATTTCAGAAGCCCAGCGTGTTAGAATGATGATCATGAGGATCAGCTTTGTCAATGCTAGCTACTCTCTGGTTATCTGTAGCAGCAGGTTTCGAATATTGCTAGGTCCGACTTTCGTCTTCCCAGCAGTAATCTTCGCCCTTACTTCTTTCCCAGCTATATAATCCGCCTTGGCAGCAGACCCTGAATGTTCCTGTGAAGACTTGTCAATAGGTTCGACGTTCGTCTTCCCAACGACAGCCTTCCCACTATCATTCCTGATCGTTAATAACGAACGCGATAAAATCGCTGGCTTTCCTGAGGGTTTTGAGTATATCAGTTTATTCCAACGATTTTGAAATTGAAATTGTCAAAAGCATTGGGACCAGTTAGCATCCAAGCATCCATTCATTGAGGATTCCGCCACTCGTATGTGCCAAAAAGGGTGAGAAGATATTCCGTGAAACTATTCCAAAGTGGCAATAGGGAATTATCTCCAAATTCAAGCCATACAAAGCCCTTGGTCAGACGGCATATATATGTTCAGGTTAAAGAAGCTTGGTGCAATAGGGCTGGGTTATCTGACCAAAGTTCTCGAGTTATCGATGTCACTGTTGGTAATTCCTGATATTTGGAAAGTTGTCCGGCAAGGTAAAGAAACGTAGTTAACGACATATAAGGCCATAGGTCGTTCCATCCTTCCTTAGTGACACTCTCAATGGTGATTTTTGCAAAACACTCAAAAAAAAAACACTCTGAATTACAATCGGGTGTCTCCAGATGACGAATGTCGATCTCCTTCATGAGGAGACCATGAAAGCTGTCAGTCAAGCAACATAGTTTGTATGTTGACCATACAGTTCCTGCTGGTATGCATCTGCCATGTAATCCCAACCATCACACAGTGAATCCGAGTCTAATAATATATTGCCCACAGACTCTTGTTTATTGTGTTTCTCCACTTGATAACACTGCCAGGAGAGAAATATCAGAATATGAAACAAGGTCCCGGCTAGAGAAGATCAAATCGCAAGTCCGCAGGTCCTGACGGATAAATCCCTGACATTGTATTAGGGTAGACCCCACTGGTGATGCATTGGAACATACTGTAATTATCTTCAATCATTGCATGAAATCGGTTACTCCTTTCGAGAGTTATCTTGCGCAGCACCCACCCAGACAGACGAACGAACGGATTTTTGTAAATCGACTTAAAATTATCTGAAACGATGGTTGACTCAGGCCTTCTGATATGGTGGATGGAGCTAGTAGGCGGTACAGCACTATCCTTCGGGAGTGTGTTGTTGGATTAGGTGGACGAACAGTGAAAAAGGGGAGGGTGACGTACGAATTTATTTGTGACGCAACGTTCGTAGTGGGCCGGACAGACTTTCGCTTCGGCTTAAGTACTGGTTTCATACTGAAGGGGGATGGTCCTCTCAATGCGTTTCTGCATAAAATAGACCTGTCCCAGAAGGATTTATGTGGGTGCACTATGTGGAAGGACGGAATGCTGTTACTATGATGACATTAGAGATTTAGCAAATAACTCTTGAAGACAATCGGACCTTTAGTTGTTTAAGTAGTTTTGCTCGTGAAACATTTAGGAGAAGCACAAGAGCACTTAGTGGAGGTGGTCCTTGTGCATAGCTTCGAAGTGGTTGTTGTTTCGCCCCTCACCAATGGGGAGATTGTGCATTCTGCATGCTCTCCGATTGGCCTACCTCAGCCACTGCCTGGTACTCACATAAAACTTCTCAGGATTTCGATGAGGCACATTTTTATTTTTAAGGACCCCCCTTTGACCTATAACCTATAACGATTCTTTTAAAGACTCCATTTATATATTCTGTCTTTTGTACTAAGCCTTTTTAATCCATTTTATCGTTTTCTTTTACCTTTTCAGGAATAAGTTTTTTCCAATAAATAATGAGCACATCGAATGATGCAAAAACAAGGAATGTTTCGGAATTGCAGCATCAGCAACGTAAAGAACAAACAGCAACAACAACAACAGCCCATGAAACAAAGGTATCATGATATTTTCACATTCTGTTTATTTTTTTTTTTTATATTAATTCAAAATAATGTTTGTTTTCTTACAGCATGAACGTGAAAGCTCACACAACAAAGATAAACAACAACAACATAAAAAGCAACGACATGAAAAGAAGAAAAACACCAACAGTAATGTATCAGCAACGTCTACGAACAGCAGCAGCAGCAGTACAACAGCGACGACAACGAATAGCAGCAGCAACAGCAGCAGTAACCACAGCATCAGTAACAGTAGCTCCAGCAGCAGCAGTCATACCACCAGCAGTAACAGCAGCAATAGTAGTAACAATAGTACCAACAACAACACCCACAATATTTCCAATATTGCATTAGCCACACAATTTAGTATACAACGTACCGATTCGGATGGTTGTTTGCGTATGAAAATATCCGCAATACGACCAACTTCATCAGGATCAGGAGCAGCCGGAGTAGTAGCAAATAATAAAAAATCACCATCGGCAGCGGAAAAATCCGCCACAAAAAAATTAGTAAATATCAGCAATAGTTTAGAATCAATTAAATTGAAAATTTCTTCACCCCCACCACCACCATCAGCAACAACAGGAAATAAACAAAATACAGCTGCAGCAGCATCCTCATCTTCACTTGTTGTGGACTCGAAACGTAAAAAGGCTGAGGAACAAAAAATGAAAAGCTTGTCAACAACCACGACAGCAACAGGAGCAGCAGGATCAGCTGCAGCTGCTACCCAAATGTCTGTCATTGTAAGTCCATGTTCTGGTGGCGGCGGCGGTGTTAAGGAAACATCTATAAGTGTTGGCGGCGGTGCAGAAAGTGATATTACCGATTCTGGTTGTTCAGAGGCTACAAATACAACAATTGCAACCATTACGGGCCATGAAAAATCCTCAAAACGTAAAGTGAAACGTAAAAAGGCCCTGCTAAAGGGTGCACTGGAGGCCAAGCGTACCTTGAAAACCCTCAAAACGCTAATTAATTCCAAGCAGAATAATGCATTTTCCACGGATTCCGAAGATGATGAGCCTTTGGCAAATAAAATAAACTCAAAGGGGGTGGTGGTGGCGACGGCACCGGCTCAGAGGGCCCCACGTCTACTGCTCACAGCGGTGGGTGTCAAACATAATTCAAACAACAACACGAGCAGCCTTAGTGTCCAAATGATGGGTGGCTTAAATTTAAATTCCGTCACGGCTACAGGTGCTGGTGGCGGTAGTGATCACATTGGCCTCTCCAGCAGTGATAATGATTTACCCAATATAAGGGCAGCTGTTGAACGGGCGGTGGGTGATTCTGATGATGATGACGACGACGATGATGATGATTTAATGTTGGCCCATTATCCCAAAACTAAAACGAAACATTTACCCCAGTATCAGTCCACGTTGTTGCAAGATTTCATGGAGAAAACCCAAATGTTGGGACAAAATTCCAAATCATCGGAATCTGTTGAGCCGCCCCTCAAATTAACCACCACCACCCATCATCCCCCAGCCATTGAAATTGTGACACAATTTCAAAACAACTCTCCAGCAGATAGTGTGGCCTCGCCAGCCTCATCCGCGTGTGTTGTGGTAAATAAAAAACGTCGTGGTAGACCCAAGAAACCGGATAAACCACCACCCTTACGAGATTTGACCACACATTCAATGTCATCATCACCTCCCTTACACCATCATCACGGGGCCAATAGGATAACAACAATGACATCGAACATTAATGAGTCAGCCGATTCGGGCGTTATATCCACCACAAGTATATCCACACAAAGTACATCACCACATCCCTGTACCACAGTGGCATCTTCAGCTTCCCCGCATTCCCCGCCCAATAAAACTGCAAATAATACCCCCGAAAAGGCACATCAGCCGTTGATGAATGATAATGCCGGCACTTCCACCTCCACGACATCGTCAGGGGGAAAACCCAAAATTGATATTGCCCTTTTGGATAAGCGTATGTATGCCACGGAAAGGGTACTCTATCCACCGCCCAGAAACAAACGTAGACAATCAATGAGTGCGGCCTTGGGGGCAGGAGGAGGAGGTGCAACCACGGCAGACAAAAATAATCGTAGTAATACCCAACAAATTGCCAGCACAAAAGAAGATCTACAACTTGATCCGGTGTGGCGTAAAATCGATGTTAATCGTAAATTTCGTCGGCCCAGTGTGTGCAGTACAACAGGTGGTGGTGGTGTGGCAGGAGGAGGAGGAAGTGTATCAGCTGCTATTGGTGCAGGCTATAAAAGTGATGGTGGCCTAATTGAAAGTGATCGTCGTCGCCGCCACAATAGCAGCATACGTGATCGCAGCACCAAGTCCACAATTTGTAGTAAAATCCTGGCGGCCAAAAGTGGCTATGTCTCCGATTATGGTTCATCATCGTTTCGTGTCTCAACGAAACAGCATTCCAAACACTCCCACAACTCGGGCTATAAAAGTGATGCCAGCTGTAAGAGTCGTTATAGCACTAAAAGTTGTGCCTCCCGCAAGTCCAGAGCCAAATCCTGTGGCTATCGCAGCGATTGTAAGGAAAGTGTTTTGGGCGGTACCACCTCCTCAGCCTGCAAGTCGTCGAAATTTCGTCGAAAACGACGAGCATCCATTATGCCCAAGACGGCAACAACCACCCTGGGTTCTCTCAAAGATGAACAGGATATTTTACAACTGGCTGGCCTTTCGCTCGGCCAAAGCAGTGAAGAATCCAATGAATATGTCTGCAAGCCCTCTCTGGAAAAGCTGCCCACAACAAGTGCCAGTAAAAAATATGGTGAAATTAATCGCTACATTGCAACAGGGGAATATTTTGGTCGGGGGTCTTCGGCCAAATCATCCTCGTTTGCCAGTTTGAGTAGTAGCAATCAGGCGAGAATTTTTGATCTATCATTGGATTTGCCCAGTACCCCGACACCGGCCAAAATGAATTTACATCAGCGGAAAAATTCAATAACCTCGGAATTTGCCCATGATCTGCTAATGCAGTTGCCGGGAGCCCAGCAGACAGCAAGGAAAATTAAATCACGGCGTTCCTCCGTGGCCAGTTACTGCAGCTCATTTTATTCCGGCACAACGAAAATACGGAAACGGCGACGTAGGAAACCCTTTCGTTTTCACAACTCTTCGTCGGGGAAAAATTGCGTAATTGATTCGAAGCTATTGACTGAAATTGAAATACTCACCAATACATTTGCAGCAAGGTGTCGTATACAAACGTCTGCGACGACGGCTGCGGCGGCTACCACAACTACGGGAATTAGTGATAAGGTGGCCACAAGTGCGAGTGGTGGTGGTGGCAATCTGTCGCTCAAAGAAAAACTAATGGCAGAGGCAAATAAATTAAAGCAAAGTTTTGCGGCGGCCGCCGCTGCTGCCCAGGCAGCTTCAACATCTAATAACACTGTAACAGCAGGAGGAGGGGGGTCCACCAGCAGCAGCGGCAAACGTGGAGATGCCCGCGATAAAAAATCCCTCAAGAAACGGAAAATGTCCGAAAATCTTGATTTTGCAATGCTTTCGGCAAGGGCGGAAGTTGGTGCGGCCAGCTCAACGGGTACACCACAAGGTGGTGCATCTTCCTCCTCATCGAAAAGGCGACACAAAAAGGCCAGCAGTTCTAGTCCGGATGACCATAAATTGCCATTGAAAAAACGCCATTATTTGCTGACACCAGGCGAGAAGTCGAGTGAGGTTGCTGTGGCGGTGGCGGCTAAGCTGTTTGCCAACAACTCTGAGGCCTGGGCAGCTGCTGCTGCGGCCGCCAAGAGTACAGCAAATACCAAGTCGCAGCAGCAGTTCAATGCCCGCACAGCCAAGGCAAATTTGACACCAAAGAAACGGCATCTACTGCAGCAGGGGGGAGCTCATCATCATCCGCACCAGCATCACCACCATCTGCAGCATCTTCCCCATCCGCCCCTTGCAATCAGTGAAGACTCGAATAGCAATAAAACCAGCGCCAGTACCCTATCACCACTTCGTGTGGCCGTTGGCGATTCCATTAGTGGTGGCAAACTATTGGATATCAGCCCCCAGTCCTTAAATAGTCTAAAACAAGTCACCGAGGCGGTAAACAAAAAACGATCACGCCTCGAGGGTTTGGTATCTCGTATAGCCACCACAAATCATCCAGGTGATGAGCCGCAGCAGCTACCCATCCCGGTGGGGAAAAATAAACATCATCTATCATCGTCAGCATTACAAATTGAATCGGAATCATCGTCATGTCCACCGCCTGGTGTGTTTGAACCCTCCGTTGAATTGGAAATACAAATACCGCCCATGGCCAAGTTAACGGATAGCTCAACGGCGGGTATTATTACCAAATCGGAAATTGAATCCCCGCTACTAATGGACCTGAATAAACCGTTTGGCGGATCCGCGGACATGGTTACAATGCCACCCAGCAAACCTAATGGCCAAAGAGGTGTTGTCGAATCGCTGCTAAATAAAACCGGAGGCAATTTGATATTGAAACGGAAACGTAAGAAAATCAATCGCACCGGATTTCCCACGGTGAGGCGTAAAAAAAGGAAGGTCCAGGAAAATCTTATATTAGATGTGATACCAACGGCCGGCGAAGATTCTAGCCAATTGCCTAGTGCAGGAGGAGTGATAAATAATCAACCCACAAAATGTGATCGTGTACCGCAAGAGGGTGAGACTTCACAAACATTTATGGAACGTAATAATCGTACGCCACGTCTGTCGGTGGTGGCCCTCGAAAGACTGCAAGAGTCGCCACAAAGCCAAAAAGAAAAATTAGAAAAAGATAATGGAGCCAAGGAGAAGGCAATATCTGCGGCGGATCCCGCAACACCCAAATCAAGGCATGCAAGGCGGGAGGTAAAACGAAAGGACTCGGTCGCCCAAAAATTGCTCTCCAAATCTATGCCAGCTAAATTGTTGCTACACGAGGAGGAGGAGGAGGAGGATGATGATAACAAGCCATTGGCCTCAAGGGCCAAAAGGCGTTCAAAACCCCCACCGCCACCACCACCATCACGCCCCTCAAAGGGAGAGTCCAAAGAGATTACCAACAAATCTGCAACGCTCAATCAACGTAAAACCCCCGCCGCCATCTCGAAGACCGTTAAATCTCTATTGGATGCCAATATAAAACTGCCCGCGGGCATTGATCCCAGCTCATTGATGAGTTGTAAAATAAAACTAAAACGGCGCAATTCCATACACCCCCTGGCCATGACAAACAAGTGTCCAACAACAGTTGTCACCACACCGTCAACACCAAAGCGGCAGCCTTCCTTGCCCCTGGAAATTGAACCCTCCGCGGAGGAAATAGAAATCAATGCGGCATCCAAGGATTGCAATGAGAACTATGAGGAACACGATATTTTACCGCTAAATGAAAATATCTATCACATAGCCAATGCGGCGGAGGGTGCCGAACAAAGTGATGCCAGCGAAGAGAAATCAACACACTCCTCCTCCACAACAACATCGTCGTCGTCTTCCAAGAAAACGAAATTGGGTAAAAAATCCTATTTGGTGGCGGGGCTCTTTTCCGATTATTACAAAGTCACTCAGCAGCCATCAACGAATGGTGGTAAAAAGGAAAAGGCAAACACTAAAAAGGAGGCTGCAGGAGGAGGTGACAATAAAAAACCCGAGGCCAATGGCGGTGATAAGGTTGCAGATCAACCTCCTGCAAAAGATATTAAAGAATCGAATGAAACGGCAGTGACACCCACCCTTCCACCGCCTCCCTACTGTGAGAAATATTTTCGTCGCAGCCAATATGATTTCGAATTACCCTATGATATCTGGTGGGCCTACACCAATTCCAAGTTACCCTCTCGCAACACTGTGGCCTCATGGAATTTCCGTAAAATTCGCACCAATATTTATGCGGAAAATGTTAAACCACCACCCATTGCTGCCTATGATCATCCGATGTGTAATTGTAAACCCGACATGGGTTGTGGTGACAATTGCCTCAATCGTATGGTTTACACAGAATGTTCCCCCTCCAATTGTCCGACCCGAGAAAAATGTCGCAACCAGAAAATTCAAAAACATGAAATTGCACCGGGTGTTGAACGCTTCATGACCGAAAACAAAGGATGGGGTGTTCGCACGAAGCTGCCCATACCCAAGGGTACATATATACTCGAATATGTTGGTGAAGTTGTTACCGAACGGGAATTTAAAGATCGCATGGCTAGCATTTATCTCAATGATACACATCATTATTGTCTGCATCTGGATGGGGGGTTGGTCATTGACGGCCATCGTATGGGTAGTGATTGCCGTTTCGTGAATCATTCGTGTGAACCGAATTGTGAAATACAAAAATGGTCGGTAAATGGTCTGTCGCGTATGGCCCTATTCGCCAAACGTCCCATACAGGAGGGTGAAGAACTGACATATGATTATAACTTTTCGCTGTTTAATCCATCCGAAGGGCAACCCTGTCGCTGTAATACGCCCAATTGTAGGGGTGTCATTGGTGGCAAATCGCAGCGTATTAAACCGTTACCCATTGAGGCGAAGGTGAGTAAAAAAAACCAAGTACCTACAAGGCGTAGATTTTCATTAAAATTTTTTAAGCATTCACATATCCACTAATACCCATTTTTTTCCTCCTCCTTACAGACACCCAATGAAACACCCTCTAAAGGCGATGCCAAGGGACGTCAGCGTAAACGTAAAGCCAAAAAGAATACTCAACGACAAACGACGAAAGATGCACCGACACCAACCCGCATGCATCCACTCTCGGAGAGAGAACGAAAATTTGTGAAACAATATTCGATATTTTTGGTTAGAAATTTCGAAAAGATTCGAGCAATGCTACGTCGTGGCGGAGATAAATCGGGTGATTCGAAAACACAAACCCCACAAACAACACCGGCAACCAGTCCCAGCCCCCTAATGCCGGGGGCAATATCACAACGGCGGCCCTCAACCCCTGCATCATTGGCAGCACAAATTACCGCCTTATGCACGGCCAGAAATATTAAAACCCGTGGCCTGACATTGGCCGTACAAGATCCCGAATTGGAAAAGATGGCAAAAATGGCCAAGATTCTAAGAGATATTTGTACAAATCTAGAGGCCATTCGGAGTCCGGACAATAATGAACAACCGACGCAAACGCAATCTAGTTCTTCTGCTGCCGCTTCTCCTTCTTTGGTATCACTGACCATATCAAATTCCTCCTTGGCCGGTGCCAATAAAAAGAAAAAAGCCTCACTGAAAAGTCAGCAAAAATCGGCGGATCACTGCGATTTCAAATCAATACAAAGTAATGTGGAGCAGGGTTTCTATAAGCAACCCAGTGAATTTAATATGGATATGGAAAAGCTGTTCAAAGAAACCCGAGTTTCGCTCGAAAAGAATGAACCAACAAAATTGCAGTTCCTGGACTTATTGGAGAAGTCCTTCATGGAGGAAAAACAAAAACAATATTCCGCATTACTGGAAATACTTGGTGATGAGTCATTGTTAAAAGATTTCAAAGATAAAGCCACGGAAACGGCAGCGGCAACAACACAAAATACCAACGAAGAAATTGGAAATAACACTGAGTTGCCTAGTGTGGTGGATCACAATATGTCTAATTTGACATCCTCCTCCGCCGCCACCAGCAATGAAGATATAATACGCTGTATTTGTGGCCTCTACAAAGATGAAGGCCTTATGATACAATGTGCCCGTTGTATGGTATGGCAGCATACCGAATGCACCAAAGCCGATGTCAAGGCCGATAATTATCTCTGTGAAAGATGTGAACCGCGAGAAGTGGATCGAGAAATACCCTTAGATGATTTCACGGAGGAGGGTCACCGTTACTATTTAACCCTAATGCGTGGCAAAGATTTACAAGTTCGTCAGGGTGATGCGGTCTATGTACTGCGTGACATACCAGTTAAAGATGACGCGGGCAACGTTGTACCCTCGAAAAAACATACCTATGAAACTATCGGTGAAATCGATTACAATGAATGTGATATTTTTCGTGTGGAACGACTATGGAAAGATGATAAGGGTGAACGATTCATTTTTGGTCATCATTTTCTACGTCCACATGAAACATTTCATGAACCATCACGTAAATTTTATCCCAATGAAGTGGTTCGTGTACCATTGTATGAAGTTGTCCCAATCAATTTGGTTATTGGTCGCTGTTGGGTACTGGATCGTACCACATTTTGTAAAGGCCGCCCGATTGAATGTAACGATGAGACACATTGTTTCATATGTGAGCTGAGGGTAGATAAATCTGCGAGATTCTTTTCCAAGGCGAAAACAAATCATCCAACTTGTACAAAATCATATGCATTCCGTAAATTCGCTGAGAAGCTGAGAATATCGAAAACATATGCGGTAAGTAAAAATAAAGGCATTTATTTATTTACTTTTTTTGGAGTGAGAGGAATCATATAAGGGGTTAGGTAAGAAATGTACGGTTGTTAGTAACAACCGTCTACTCGAAGACTATTGTCCATTGTGATCATCCAAAGAGAAAGGGAATAGAAGAGAGAGTGGAAGAGCAAGAAAAATATAGTGGGAGAAGGAGAGCGTAGAGATGGTTAATTGAGTGTCAGCAGCGAAGACGTTCTTTTACCTGGGAATTCAGGCCAGATAGATCTTGAGATTCTGCGATTTTACTGTCTCGGACGTAAATGTTGGTGTGTTGCCCTTATTACAAATTCTAAGATTATAGCTAAGTATAAACTCAAAAATGGACTCACCTCTTGTATTAGTGTTACTGCTTCCCCATTGGAAGTGATGTGCGTTGACGTCACATAGTAAAATCTATTGTGTTGGTGGGTACAATGGTGAAAATGTCAGTAGTGATTTACTATAAACATTACGGGGTATATATATATATATATATATATATATATGTATTATTGTGAGGGAATAAGAGTGGATTTTAGGACGTATTTATAGGCGTGCTTTGAGAGTAGGAGGTGCATTCTGGGGGCATCATCGTGGATTTTCAAACCTATTTATAGAGCAACGTAAGGTATTTTTTTAAGGCTATAAACTTGGATTAAAAAATATTTTTTAGTTTTTTAAAGGCCATAAACGTGGATTAAAAAAATATATTTTTAGGAGTTTTCAAATTCACATAGGCGCGGATTTTTAAAATAATATTTTGTAGGAGTTTTTAGTAGCCCATAAGCGTGGACTTTGTTAAATAATTATTTGTTTACTATTATTTCTGTTTAATTTGAATATATCTAATTAATTAATATTACTCCTTTCCAGCCACATGATGTTGATCCAGCCCTGTTAAAATCCAAAAAACAAAAGACTGACAGTGGTGAATGTCCAAGCATAGCTTCTAATTCACCAACAACAGCAGCAGCAGCGACTGCGGAAAATAATGGCAGTGGCGGTAACACAAAATCGGATACAAATAAGACACTACACAACAGTTCCACCTCGAAATCCAAACAGCGACAAAATAGCAAAAGTCCGGCTACAATTATGCCAACAACAACACCAGCAGCCGCAATACCCTCACCAAAAGTGGTAAGTTGGATGGAATTTTTTTCATTGAATGTTGTATTCTTTATTTTTTTTTTCTTTTTCTTAGACTCTCAAAGAGAAACGTTTCCGTTTGGAAAATGTTTTGAAATCTCTTAAACAGCGACAAAAACTCATCAACCCGATGACAAACGCCAATGAAACACCATTAGATTTGTCGTATTTGTTATCGGGACGTGGCGCCCGACAACGTAAAACACCACTTGCTATACGCAAAGATTTTGTTTAAGGCGCCCACACACACTCAAACTTTAAATAATATTGAACAAAATGAAAGAAAACTGAAGCTGCAGTTTCTGAAAAAAATGGAAACAAAATTGTAAAATATTTTTTTTATTGTAATATAGATTTGAAATTTATCATCATCATCATCATTACGCTGTCATCAATCATTAAATTATACAAAACACCCACACACACACACACACTACTAGACAGAGACACGCTTCGATTATCAATTTTACATTAATTATATTATATATAAAATATGTATGTATTTTACACATTAGAAATTAAATTAAAAAAAAGAGTTTGTGAAATCGATGAAATTAAGAACACATAGAAACATAGGGAACTAAAAAAAAAGAAATTGTACATTTTTCTCATCATCATTATTTTTTTTTATTTATTTATTGAACATAAATAAGGCATATATTATTAAGAATATAAATCGTGTTCTTCTCTATACACACCCCCACACTCTTTGCACTTGCTAAAGAATCAAAACAAATCATGTATAGTTTTATATATAAATTGTTTTACAAAAAAAAAAAAAATTCAATTTCATTAAAAAAAAACTACACCAACAACAAACACTCATCTGTTGGTGTTGTAATTCGATTAATAAAATATACGGTCGGTATTTTTCCGACTTGAAATTTTTTTCTCATTTGTATTAATTTTGTTCTTATTATTTTTCTAAATAACCATATTTCCACAAGCCTTGTTATATACATTTTACAATATTTTATACAATTTTACATACAATACGATTATGATGACTATATATATAATAATTATTGATTGATTTATGAAATATATTTATATATAAATTGGTGGACTCTTGTTTTAAACAAAATTTTATTATCATTAACAAATAGTTGTTCTTATTATTTATTAAAAAAATTCTTGATTTTTTTATACATATGTATATTATCATTATGTATTACAATTTAACATACATTATTACTTTTTGTAAATTTAACAAATTAATTTTTAGGTTAACCTAACAAATTATAGAAAATTTTGTTTTATTTTTTTTTTTATATAATTGAATGGCTGGTATTATATTTTTTGCCGCCACCTCTACACCATTATTATGAATTTATTTAATTTATTCTCTCGTTTTTTTAAGATTTATTATTCACCACCCCCTCCACTCTTAGGATTTTTTTATAATTTTCTCTTTATCGAAGACGAAGAATTAATGTTGTGTTATTGCTGTTTACTATTATTTTTTTGAATTTTTGCTGTTTTTCATATTTTTTCTCTTTATATTGAATATTTTTTTATTTTGAATTTAGTTGTATTTCCTTTTTGAATATATACACAATTTTTCTTTACTACTTAGTTAATTTTAAGTAGCACATTTTTTCTAATAATAATAAACTCTGCAAAACATGGTTTAATGCATATTCATTGTTATTTCTTTTTATACTAAAAACAAAATAATTTTGTCTAATATATATTGTTTTTTTTTCAAATAAAACTGAAATAAATATATTTTTTACAAAACATAACCTAACTCTTATTTTTATTTTCATATTATGGAAAGGAGATTTTTGAGAAAATACACATATATCTCATAGGGACCTTAAACTTAACTATTTTTGCTATTAGGATCTTTAAAGAAATCATTTACCATTCCACTGTGAATGGCACATTCACAAAAAATCACAGTTTTATTTTCAAAAATTTTACCATAAACATATGACTGACCGTTATTAACAAAGATCTTACCATTCCACTGTGAATGGCACATATCAAAAAGAAGACAACACAAAAAATGCACTAAACCTGTATTATTTTGGTAAAAACAGAGTGTTATTTTTATTTACACATTTTTTGTTATAAATGTACCCTAAAATGTATAGCAAGTTTTCATTTATTTGACACATTTACAAAAGAAATGACAACACGACGATCAGTCTAAATTATCAAACATATGACTGTCGGCTTGTTATCATTTCAATGTGGATGATACAAGTAGAAGTAAATAAAGGCTACGTTACACGAGCTACCAATTTCTTTGTTTCGACACTAATGGAAATTTATACACTTTTTATTATAAATGTACCCTAAAATTTATAGCAAGTCTTTATTTATTTGACACATGTGCAAAGAAAATGAAAATTAATTAAAAAACGATGTTCAGTGTGTTCTATGATCAAACATATAACTGTCAGCATATAACACAGATTGTTATCATTTCACTTTGGATGATACAAGGAAGAAATAAATAAAGGCTAGGTTACACGAGCTATCAAGTTCTTTGTTTTGACATTAATGTAAAATAAGATAAGACTTGTTATGTCAGAATAAAAACAAAATGTGACAAATTTTTGTAGTAGAAACTAAAATACAAGAAAGGCTCATATTTTTTTTAATGCATGAAAGCTCCAAAATGTATGCGTGGCTAGGTTACACGAGCTTTCAATTTCACTGTTTTGACATTAATGAAAAATACTGCTTTACCTTATGGCTTGTTATGTCAGGACTAAAAAGAAAATGGGACAAAGTGTTGTAGTAGAAAATAAAATACAAGAAAGGTTCATATTTTTTTAAATGCAGGAAGGATCCAAACTGTATGCGTGGGTGAGGTCCACAGGAAATTTGGAGAGAGGTGAGTAGGCCTAGGTGGACAGTTTAACAGGTATAACGTATCGTATGGTTCAAGTCCATATGCTGGACATGTGTTTGGCATTGAACTATTAATTTGTGCACAATGGGAATTAAAGAATTTGCAACATAACAATCAAATGCTGTATTGGTTTTATAAACAATGTACAAAATTTATGGCGCCCGAATGATGGACTTTGGTTAAAAGAAATTACATTTTTTATTTTAAAAGATTTTAATTTCTTTTTAAAATCAAGTACAATATTAATTCACGAATATGACGAGGGCCGAATTCCAAAAATATTTTTTAGATAAGTTCATTCTTTCTTGAGATATTGGTGACCAGCATTTGTTATTAAAATATTTTTCCTTTTTTGACCTTCGTCCAGACAAATGCCAAAAGTGTTTTAGAAGAAATCCATTAATTCTTGCGATAATGGTGCACAACATTTTTTATTTCAAAAATTTTCTTTTTTTTTTTTTTGGACCCTCGCCCAGGCCTTTAAACAAATACCAAATCACTTAAAACACTTTCTATGGAGCCGAATTTTAATAAACCACCCTCCCTGTATTAGAACGGAGCCCTGTTGATACGCCTCAACAAGTTTATTCATGATAAGAGGCTATGCCATGGTTGACCTCAATCCCTCACTCACACTTGTCAGACGAGGAAGACATTATTGAAACTACAGTGATTAGCACTACGGTGACGAAAACGGTAGCTATCCTCATCCGAAGATGAGTAGGGTTGTAAACCCTGGCGTGGTTGAGGATCCGAACTCCATCTCCACGGCCTGTAGTGACGTCGCGAGACTTCTCAGACACTTGGCTGTCGAAGCGGGGACTGGTACTGACGAGACAACGCCAAGGAGATCGCTGCCAAGAAGGTGTACCGGAGAACGGTTAACAACTGCAACCGATTCATCGGAAGAGATAGCGACTCCATCACGAAAAAAGAGTTCCTTTTTATCAAGAGGAACCTCAAATTGAGCCGGAAGTTCTCCAGGAACTATCCGAATGATATTGCGCGGCACTTCTTATTGAAAGGATTCCTAAACCTAGTGCGAAAACCTCCACGGTAGTCCCTTCAAAGAAGGAGAAAACTGTCGGAAATCCTAGCACATCTAGAAAGCTGGTGCCTGAGACGTCCAAGCCCTCAGTATTTCCCAAGGGTAAATGGTCTTTCAAATTGGATGAGATGCGCACAAGACCGACGCGCCTTGTCGAAAGTCGATTTACATATCCTTAGTGTGGAATTTAGATCGTAATAAATTCTTACCGTTATTTAAACATTTAAAATCTTAACGTTAATTAATTTAAAAATATCCTCAGCATGTGAAACCTCTTAAAAGAAAATATGCTATCACTTCATTGTGAATGCCAAAACAAATCTAACAAGAAGCAGACTGAAAAAAACTTTGACAGTTCACGCATTGCTGGACGTGTGGTTGGATTAATTTTTTTGTTGGGAAATCAGAAAAAAAAATATTTAAAATTATATTTGCAGCGTGGCGCAGGAAAAGAAATATAAATTAAAAAGCGCATTCTAACACCTGCTTAACTGATATCCACAAAAAATATTGCCAAAGAAATTAATCAACAAAGAAGAGGAAATAGAAGAACACACGCACACACGTCACTTTGCAGCAACTGGTGAGAGTTGAACTCGGTGGATTTAGTTTTTGCAAAAAGAAACAGGGTTTCCAAAAGAGGTTTCTTTTGTATGACCAGCAGCTAAGAATAATTTCCGATTCTTGTGATAATTTCCTCCCGATTTTTCCCAGCGACTTCAGTAAAAATGAGTAAATTTACTGCAATATTAAAAAAAGAATTCCCGGCCATGGACAATGAGTCCAAAGACTATGTAGAGGGTGTGCTGGAATCCATAGATGATTTCGAGACAGCTGATGATATTTACGATGCTGTGGGTGATATTCTGCAAAGTGTCAATAGTGAAAAGTCAGAGGATGATGTTCGTCAATTGTGTGAACAATTTTTCAATATCATGAATATTGGCAATAATAATACGACACAGCAAAAGGTGCTGAATGCACCGGTTAATATTGCCGAAATGGCGAAAAATATGGAAAGCGGTGATGGTGATATGCACAGTATATGGCTGGTTAATAAAGATGCTGGCAATGTAGGTATTTATAAATGTCTCGGGATGGGGTGTTTTTGGTGGGGGAGGGATTTCTTTCTTTTTCTAAATATTTTTTTATTAAATTGCAGAAAGTTGATGCCAAAAAATTGGAAAAGGCCCAGGCCAAGCTGCAACAGAAACAGGAGAAACGCCAGGATGCCAACAAGGGACCTCAGGCACCGGTTAAATTGCAACAGGCCACCGCCTCACAGGTTACAAATAAAAAAGCCACAAAAATGGATGCCAAAGGAACAAATCGTTCCATGGATATTAAAATTGAGAATTTCGATTTGGCCTTCGGTGACAAGTGGGTCCATATAAGATTTTTTAAAATTCAAATTTTTTAAATCGTCTTTTTCCTTGCAGAGTTCTGCTGCAAAATGCCAATTTGTTGTTGTCTTTCGGACGCCGTTATGGTCTGGTGGGTCGCAATGGTTTGGGCAAGACCACCCTGCTGCGTATGATATCGGAACGTCAACTACAAATACCTTCCCATATTTCCGTACTGCACGTAGAGCAGGAAGTTGTGGGTGATGATACGCCCGCGGTGGACAGTGTACTTGAATGTGATACAGAGCGTACCCGTCTTTTGGCGAGAGAGAAAGAAATTATGGCTTTGCTGAATAGTGGTACCCAGGATGCCCAATTAAATACGGAATTGAGTGAAGTTTATACGGCTTTGCAAAACATCGAAGCCGATAAGGCTGTGGCACGAGCCTCGGTGATTCTCAAAGGTTTGGGTTTCGATGCCGATATGCAACAGAGACCCACTAAATCATTTTCTGGTGGTTGGCGTATGCGTTTGGCCTTGGCTCGAGCATTGTTTTCACGACCCGATCTGCTATTGCTCGATGAACCCACTAACATGTTGGATATTAAAGCCATTATATGGTTGGAAACATATTTGCAAACATGGCCCACAACCATATTGGTGGTTTCTCACGATCGTAATTTCTTGGATACTGTGCCAACCGATATCTTACATTTACATTCCCAGCAATTGGAGGCTTATAAGTGAGGGGAATTTTTAGTTATTTTTTGGAATTGAAGAATTAAATTTGGTTTATTTTTTTAAATTAGGGGCAACTATGAACAGTTCGAGAAAACGAAAAATGAAAAACTCAAGGCCCAAAGGCGTGAATATGAAGCCCAATTGGCCCATCGTCAACATGTCCAGGAGTTTATCGATCGTTTCCGTTACAATGCAAATCGGGCGGCCTCGGTCCAGTCTAAAATTAAAATGTTGGAAAAATTGTAAGTAATTTGTAAAGAAGGGTTTCGGAAATTTTAGGGGACCAAGAAAGAACAAAAATTCCGAATTTTTCTCTCAATGCCATAACTCCTCTTATTGTGGAAACTTCTATATTTTTAGTGTGCATTTTTTTTTTAATTTTCCCTCTATTTTTAGACCCGAACTGAAACCTGTCGAAAAAGAAGTTGAGGTTAAACTGAAATTCCCCGAAGTGGAACCCCTGAATCCACCTGTCTTGGCTATATCGGAAATTGAATTTAGATATAATCCCAAGGATCCATTACCTGTGTTCACCAACGTGAATCTTTCGGCTACCTCAGACTCCAGAATATGTATTGTAGGTCGAATATTTTTTAGATTTTAATGAGTTTAGGGGTTTAGCTCCGACAATAACATAGGCATTTTGGGTCTTTAGAGGCCCATGTCTCTGGAAGTATAGTTTTCTCGTGTGATGAGGCAGATTAAACCAGCCGATTACGTGCTAAGCACCTAAACTCAAGATGATCCAATTATATTTATTATTATTATTATTATTTTGTGGTTCTATTTATTCATTTTTTTTGTTCTTTATTTCAGGTTGGTGAAAATGGTGCCGGTAAATCGACATTGCTGAAAATCATTGTTGGCCAACTGACCACACCAATTGGCAACATAACCCTACATCGTAGCCTGAGAATAGGTTATTTTGCCCAGCATCATGTTGACCATCTGAATATGAATCTAACATGTGTGGGTGTATTGGCGGAATTATTTCCCGGACGGCCGGATGAGGAATATCGTCGTCAATTAGGTAGTTTTGGTATTTCGGGTACCTTGGCTTTGCAAAGTTTGGCCAGTTTGTCGGGAGGACAAAAATCCCGGGTGGCTTTGGCGAAAATGTGCATGGGTAGGTACACATTTTTTATTTATAAAATAAAAAATGCATTTTATTCCGTTTCATTTTCAGCTGAGCCAAATTTCCTAGTACTTGATGAACCTACAAATCATTTAGATATTGAAACAATAGATGCCCTGGGAAAGGCCATTAATGCCTTCAAGGTAAACACAGACATAAAAATTTTTTATTTAATTATTATTGAAAAAAAAAATCCATTTCATTTTTCAGGGTGGTGTCATTCTAGTATCTCACGACGAACGCCTCATTAAAGTCGTTTGCAAAGAATTATGGGTCTGTGGCAATCGTACCGTACGGGCAATGGAAGGCGGTCTAGATGAATATAAACGTGAAGTCTACAAAGAAATTGAAGCCAATAGTTAAATTTGTTTTTTCCCCATCTTTTTTATTTATGTTTAATTTTTTTGTATACAGTATAAAAACAAGGGGGTTTCACATGTGTTAACAGAAAAATGTCCTAAAACTTATGCATTAAAAAAAGGCCGTCGAAAAATCAAAAAACTTTTTTGAGAAATTTTTAATTTATTTTTTTGCAAATCTATACAAATGAGATTAAATATAAAACTAAATGGCCTAAAAAATATTAAGCAAATAGCATGAATTTATTTAATAAAGAAAATAGCATTGATACAGAAAATGTAACTCCTCACCACACACACACATAAAATAACATTAAAAACACACACATACTATTGTAATAAAATTTGTTTTAAAAATCAACAACAACAATTTATGGTATTTTTAAATTATTTTTTTAATAAAACATAAAATGAACACATCTTTATTTTAGCAATTCTCATATGAGGCATAATTAAGCATGCATACCCATGTCTCTAAAAATCTTTTGAAATATACAAACTTTTAGGTCCACAGTTCTTTAGAAAAAATCACGGCTCTTGAAAAAAATGTCTAAAATAAAAAAATATTAAGCAACAATTAATATAAAATTATGCTAACAAAATGTTAAACCTGTTATTTTGTATTAAACATTTTTATTTACTTATTATTTTATTTTTATTATTATTTTTATAAAAGAAAACACTTGCCGCAACGTCACTTTTACTGCGTGTAAAAACACCTAAAATATTTACCGCTATTTGAATTGCATTAAACGCCGCCGTCAAAATTGTTGGTCTACTCCGTACTATATTATAACAGCTGATTTAAATGCAACTATGTAATTCACAGTAGTTTAATATCACCAATTGTTACATTTACATCAAACGGCCATCATTTGAACATTATTATTAATTTTTATTGGTTGCTGCATCAATTTCTCATTCGAAGACGTGGCTCATTGTGCCTGCATTCTCATGAAACGTACACATCATCGACATAATGAACACATAAGTACGTTACGCACTATACGTCACTACTAATTTGTATTATTAAATTAATGTGTCTGTTATCAATGCGTAGTGATTGACGTTACATTTTCCCGGCATTTAATTTTTGTATGTAGTTTTTTATTTTATTTTGTCAAATCGAGAAGTATTTGTAAAGGAGTAATAAATAAGAGGTAGTTCTTTGTTATATTCTTCAGAATAAGTGTAGGCAAAGTCTACAAATACTCACTAGTTGGGCGGCGTACCGAATGATCGAAGGTTCGGTAAATACCTTTACATTAAAATACTTTATACGCTCTTTGAAGGTCCATATCTGGGGCAATATGAATTTCCGCAAGAAATTAGGACCGCAGAACTTTCTTTGGTAAAGCATGTGGCTGTGGAAGAAACACCATTTTATACCCTCAGTGGAATATACATTTTGATTTGGAAAATGTGCCTCATCATGTTTCTTTGGACTAAATGCGTTTCAGACAATTTGGAGACAATTTAGAAATGTCCGTTTGGCTGGTTCGCCCGATAACTCTCGAAGAGAGTAACCGATTTCATTTCAACATAAAAAACAATGTTCGAAGATAGGTTCGAAGTTCACTCCATCTGGTACCTCCCACAAAATTGCTGAACATTTATTTTGTAATACCAAACTTTGCATAACCTAATGATTTTACCAAGCCTAGATACAGTGTGAAGGTGGTACTTATCGGTGCATTCCTTCTAGTACCTCCTTTGCAAACTTTGCAAATCGTAATACTTTTACCAAACCTAGATCATGTCCGAAGATGAGACCCGTCGATCCACTTATTCTGGTACCTCCCTCACAAAGTGTAAAAATGTTGAAAATTTGTCAATTCAACATCAAGAGAAAGAAAAGTCCGATTTGACTACAACTTTACACATCCTAGTATTTGTATCAATCGTAGATCAAGTCGGAAGATTTGACCCGTCGGTTTGGAGCTTATGCAAATGCGAGGAACGGGCATTCTATGCATGCAAGAACTCCATTGGGAAAAGTTGGGGGCTAAAACCATCGGCAATACAAAGGATGTATAACACCACAAGGTACAAAGAGCCGCATCGATTTTAATAACTGGAGCCGCGAGAAGCAGCTCTGAACGCAATGCTGAACTTAAGGCCTCTGTGTTAGGCAGCGCGTAGTGCCCTAAGGTTGCATGAACAAAATGACATTGCACCAATGCGTAAAACTAAACGACTATATTTCACCAGTCCTGAGATTTGACGATATAGATGTTGTTATCCCTAGTAAAGACGACTGGCAACCGATTGCTTAATCAAACCACCCATATGTCTTCTTTTTAGGCTATAAAAATAATTGGCTCCATCTTCCCTTGTTCTTTTTCAGGCAATTATGGCTGAAAACACTCCTACCACCGATCAATTGAGAATCGTTTACGAACAATTACAACAACAACTGAAACAGCAACACAAAGTACCAGCCATGGAACAGGAAAGGAAAATGGAAATAATGCAGCTTCTGCACGATTTCAATGATATCAAAGATGCGGCACAAATCGTTTTGGGGGCATTGGCCAATTTGGAGCGTAAGACGATCAAGGAAATGCATTTGCAATATAATTTACCCTTAAATGAGTAAGGATTTGCATTTTAAAAATTGTCGAATTTTTTTTCAAATATCGCTTTTTCCGTAACCAGAACAGAGATCAAATGAAAGGGAATCTGTATTATTTTTTTAATTTTTTTCTATATATTTAATTTCTTCTTAAAAAATCTGTAAAAGAAAAACCACTATTTTCATCATTTGTTGAAATGTTTAGAAAAAAAAAACATTAACAATAACATATGTATGTATGTTCGACCTATTTCTAGAAGTTTGTTTCTTTGTTGTTTTTTTATAAATTACATAAGATAATCAAAAAAATGCCAACATTGTACTTGGGTACGGCAACTGATGAAACGAAATTATTCTCCTCAATTTGAGGATATCGCGGCGCTTAGAGTCTACGTTTCCAAATATACCACCGAACACCTTGTGGATTGCAATCATAATGCGGCATCACCAGCCCTAAAGAATACCCGGCAACGTTCATTAAATGCTTTGTATGAGCGATCTTTGACAATGTCTTCCACATTCAGTTCCGATTGTAAAACGCGCAACTAGAAAAAATGAAGGAGGAACATTAGACCCAATATTGTTATTAACAAAAGATATTCCCTAGCCAACCTTTCGTTGTTCCGATTTAAATTTCTTATTGACATCAACATCATCCGGATTGGCTTCACGTTGTTCGCGCAGGGTTTTCAATGTATCGGCCGAGACCATAATACAGCCACGGATGGCCTCCTCACGTTGTTTGTGGCCCACCTTTAATTTGTCATATAAATCACGGCAGGTCTGTTCACTATTCACCTGACCCTTAAACGATTCAGTCGGCAGGGAAGAGTTCAATGTGTAAATGATCTTATCATCAATATCACGCATTTTCTTCAAAGCTTCCTGAAAGAAGAATTTTTTTCAATTAGCCGCCTATGGAGAATTGTTGGAATCATCCATCACCTACTTGGAAGCCAAGGAAATCATGACAGGAATATGAAATGGCCATATTTCTGGAAGGATTTTGCTAATAATCTTTTACAAAAGAACAGAAGTGTTACAAAATTTTCTATTTGCTGCAATTTGGTGACAGAAAAACACCGACTGAAATGTCAAATTGGATTTAGTGCAACATAACCTTATTAGCAGTATGACAGGGTTGTATTGTTTAGGGATAGTTAAGTCGACTTTCGACTTTTGTGTCTTTTACAGACTTCATTTAAAAACGTTCCACCTACCTAATTTAAAAAAAAAATAGGGGGAGCAAGGAGAAAATGGGTGTAGAATCGAATACGAAGACCTGGAAAAAACTAAATTAGGTTTATTTATCGAAAAAATTTAGGTTTATTTATCGAAAAAATTTATGTTTATAGAATTGATTTATTGATTTCTTATTCTACAGAAAAGCTTAGTATCGATTCTTATCGTTCAATATTTTTACAGAAAATGTTGGTATCGGCCATCAATTCAAAACAAATATTTTTTATCGATGAAATTATTAACATTAAATGTTGTTATTGATCCTGGTTATCCTTCATTTTATTTAAAGAATAATTTATTATCGTTTAACTATTCTAGATAAAAAGGTATTATATGTCAACTTTTTTACAGACATTCTTGTTATCGATGCCTTATTTTTGAGAAAAACTTGTAATAGATGAACTTTTTGCCCAACAATTTGTTATCGATCAACTTTTTTTTTTTTTCATAGAAAACCTTGTCAAATTTTTTATCGATTAACATTTGTACAGAAAATCTTGTTAACGTTCAATATTTTTACAGAAAATATTGTTATCGATCAACAAATCTAAAAGAACCTCTGTTATCGATGAAATTGTTTACTGTAAATCTTGTTATCAATTATATTTTATAGAGAAAAACTTGTTATCGAATATTTTATTATCGGTTGACTATTCTAGAAAAAACGTGTTATCGATCAGCTTTTTTACAGACATTCATGTTATCGATGCATTTTTATTGAGAAAAACTTGTAATCGTTGAACTTTTGGCCAAACATTTTTTTTATCGTTTAACATTTCTGTATAAAAAAGTGTTATCGATCCACTTCTATCAAAATCCATGTTACTGGTCAACTTTTCTAGAAAAAAAAATCTTGTTATTGGTCAACTTTTTTATAGAAAATTGTCTTTAAGTTTAATGTTACTAGGGGACAAGTTGCTATCGATTAACTTTTTTTTATAGAAAATCTTGTAATCGATTCATTTTTATTGAGAAAAACTTGAAATCGTTTAACTTTTGGCTAATAAAAATGTTATCGTTTAACCTTTCTAAAGAAAAACTTGTTATCGATCACGTTTTTACCGCAAAATTTTGTTATTTTTCAGCTTTCTTACAGACATTTTTGTTATCGATGTATTTTTATAGAGAAAAAGTTGTAATCGTTGAACTTTTGGCCAATAATTTTTTATCGCTTAACATTTCTATAAAAACACATGTTATCGATCCACTTTATCGTTCGATTTTCTTAGAGAAAAACTATTTATTAACTTTTCTGTTTTCATAAAGAATAACATTTTTATCTATTATTTTTTTTTAAGCATTTTTTTTTTTTTGTAAAATCCTTGGACTCGATAGTCTTAGAAAATAAAAAAATTCGATTAAAAAAAAATATCAGTCTTGCTATCGTGTTGTTTTCATAAAGAAAAAAATTTTGTCTAGAATTTACTTTTTTTATGTGCTTGTAGTCGATAATTTTTGAAAATAAAAAAATATCGACTATTTTAAATATGAAACTCTGTTAGAATACAAAATTGAAATATCCTGGACTATTTTTTTTTAAATTTTATATATATTCGATATACCCATTATATATCAATTAACCCATTAGTATAGAAAAAAATGCATATGATATTTTCAAAATAAGCTTGACATTTTTTATTTATTATTATATATTTATTTATATATTAAAGCAATGCGTTTTTATAATAATAATAATCATGTATTTTTTATTTAGATACTATTCAAAAAATATAAATTGAAAAATATTTATTTTTATTTCCGTTTTACGAAACATTTTTTTTGCAAATAATATAAATATCAATATTTTTTTAGTATTAGGATAATTTTAGTTTTTTTGCAAAATAAATTTTCAAAGCCTTATATATCCTTACTCTGCTTATTCAAACCATTATCATCTCAAAAAACTTTTTTTTTTATTATTAGAATTTAACTTAAAAGAATTGAAAACAAATATTTACAAAAAAAAAAAAAAAAAAACAATTATTTTTAAAAATATATATTTTACATAAATGAATATTGCACTTAATAAAAAGAGCAGTATGGGAATATTAAAAAAAAGAAAACTTAATAAAAAGCAAACAAATAAAGAACCTAATTAAGAAAGAAAAGAAGAAAACAAAAGTGAAATGAAATAAGTGTTAGTGGGTGGGGAAGGGGTTTGAATAAAAAACAAAATAATAAAGAACCTATAATTCGACTACTAATATAAATTTATTTATAATATTATTTTTTGTAATATATAAATCATTAATAAAGATATTAAATTATGCATGTATGTATGAATGAATGTGTATATATATTATAAATTATTATGAAATTATCACCCGTGCATACAGGACAAAATTAAAAATTTTAGCATATCCTTTAACATCATGGTCATTTTTTTACATTCCCGAAAAAAAACACAACAGAACAAAAATTAAATAATAATAATTAATTATATATAATATTTAAAACAAAACAAAAACAAATAATAGAGTAAACTATATATAGCTAGAAATTATATAATAATCACAATAATTGTTTAAAACGCTCGGCGTATAAGTGGTTGGTTGGTTCCAAATTTTATTAACCTCTGTTTTTTCTAATTTCCTTTTCATCTTCCTCCTTTTTCCGAATTTAGGATATTGTACACATCTTTTTCAAATCATTTTCCGTTTCGTCATTATCTTCAACACCCAAGACACCACTGGGCAGAGTTTTACCCTCAATATTTGGCAAATAGGGTTCATAGTCTAGACCCTTGCGTTCGTAGAATAGTAAATACGCCGAACTAGGATCAATATTCGGGGGATTTGAAATTTCCCGACACGAACTGTCATTGTAGCAATACCATGAACCATTTGGATTGGCGGCATAGGAGACATAATGGCCACCATTTAACATACCGGAATGGGACTGCAAAGAAAGAAAAAAAATATCGATTAGTTTATTTATTTTTTAAAAAGGGCATGTTATCGAAATAACTCATTCAATTTTGTTCTAAAGAAAAAATGGAGAGATTATCGAAAGATTTGTTGTAGAGAAGTATAATTTTTTTTATTGAACACGATAAATTTTCGAAAAACTTGTTATCGATACATTTTTCTACAAAAAATATTTGTTGTCGATTATAATTACTAAGAATAGAATAAATAATCGATCGACTTTTCAATAGAAAATAATGTTATCGAACCATTTTTCTATAAAAAAGCATGTTATCGAACAATTTTTGTACAGAAATATATGTTATTGAACAATATTTCCCCAGAAAAACTTGTTATCGAAATAATTACTCATAAAAAAACTTGTTAGAAATTAATAACTTAAGATTAGAACACAATTCCTATGAAAAGATTTGTTGTAGAGAAATATTTTTTATAGAAAAGTTTATTATTGAGAATGATACATTTTCGCAAAACTTGTTATCGATACATTTTACTACAAAAAAATATTTATTATCGATTAGTTAGTTTTATGTAAAAAGCTTGTTTTTACAAATAATTATTAAGAATAGAATGAATAATCGATCCAATTTTTAATCGAAAATATTGTCATCGAACCATTTTCTATAGAAATCCTTTTTATACCATCTTTTATACAGAAATATATGTTATCGAACATTTTTTGTACAGAAGAATCAACATTTCCACAGAAAATAACAAGTTTAATGCATCAAAAACTGGTTATCGATACAATTTTTTTTTATCAATACATTTTTTATCGATACATTTTTCTATAAAAATGTCGATAAGTATATCTATAAAGTAGGTTTTATCGATTTGAAAGCAAAAAAAAAAAAAGAATTAAATAAAGTAATTCGATAACAGAAAATCTTGTTATCGAATTACTTTATCGATTTTTTCTATAGAAAAACTTATTATCGAACAAATTCTCCATAAAAAGTTGATTTTTGAACCACTTTCCGATAAAAAGTCTTGCATCCCTACATTCGTCTATAGAAAATACTGTTATCGTTCAACTTGTCTACAAAAAAGTTTGTTATCGAATTACTTTTCAATAGATAACCATCTTATCGGAGAATTTTTCTGTAATACGGCATCTTATTGAATCACTTTCTCATGGAAAGGCTGTTATCGTTTCACTTTTCTATTAAAAATTGTATTATCGATCAATTTTATATATATAAAGTTTGTTATCGAACCATATTTGTACAAGAAAGCTTGTTAACGACTTACTTCTCTATACAAAATCATGTTGCCGTAAAATTTTTCTTTAAAAAATCTTGTTATCGATAATCTTTTCTATAGAAAAAATTGTTATCGAATTACTTTCCGATAGAAAAACTTGTTATCGAACAACATTTCTACAGAAAAAAACACTTTTATACAAAATCGTTCGTTATCTAATATGTCATCTGTAGAAAAGCATGTTATAGGATCATTTCACTTGTTATCGATCAACATTTTTTGCCAAAAAGCTTGTTATCGGATCACATACCTTGTTATTGATCACCATTTCCACAGAAAGTCTTATTATCGATCAATATTTCTACCAAAAACTTGTTATAATTTGTTATCGATCAACAGAAAGACTTGTTATCGATCATTATTTCTGCCAAAAACCTTGTTATCGAACAACATGTTTATAGAAAATATTTTTATTGAACAGCATTCCTATAGAAAATATTTTTATTGGACAGCATTCCAATAGAAAATATTGTCATCGAATCACTTTAAATGAGAAAATCATGTTATCGAATCACTATTATTGAGAAAATCGTGTTATCGAATCACTATTATTGAGAAAATCATGTTATCGAATCGCTATTAATTAGAAAATCATGTTATCGAATCGCTATTATTGAGAAAATCGTGTTATCGAATCACTGTTAATAAGAAAATCGTGTTATCGAATCACTATTAATGAGAAAATCATGTTATCGAATCACTATTAATTAGAAAATTATGTTAACGAATCGTTATTATTGAGAAAATAATGTTATCGAATCACTATTATTGAGAAAATCGTGTTATCGAATCACTATTAATAAGAAAATCGTGTTATCGAATCACTATTAACGAGAAAAACTAAAATAAAATATCGAAATAAAAAAAAAATATTCTTTAAAAAACCCACGCCAGTCTGGGTATCGGAAAAAGTATTCTTTAAAAAATCAAGAACTTAGTGGCCATTGGAAAAAAGTAGGTTTGCGATTCTCCAGAAACTTACCACAACAGCATATAGCTTATATTTCGGATCGAATGGATCATCACCCTTTTTCAATTTATGCTGATGGAAATCCTCGAAGGCGCCGTCAACAATGGGCGTTTTTGTAAGACTTGTGGAAATTAAACGCTTGCGTCGGGTCATTGTACGATCATCAGTAGCGCCGGTCATTCGTAATATGGCAGCATTATCTAACATTTTATCTGAAGATTCTTCTTCGTCGTCGTCATCGTCATCGGAGCCGGTGACACCATTCATTGCAGCACCACCACTACTCTCAACCCCTTTGCAATTTTTATTATTACTATTGTTAATGATATTACAACAAACATCTAAAATTTGTTCTTGATTTGGTGTTGTTGTTGTAGTTGCGGCTGTGTTCGGTTGTTGTTGTTGTAAATTCAATATATTATTGACTTTTTCATTTAACGATAATTGAGCCTCTTTCGTTAGACCATTGAGGGGTGGAGGAGGAGGATTGTTGGCATTACCATTACCATTTTTAAGCGAGGCGGCCATGGTTGTTTCATTGAGGGTGGTCTTGGTTGTAGCTGTGCTGTTGGTGCTCTCATTTTGGCTTATTTGTTGTAATTTAGTTTCTTTTTTGTCTTCGTACTTCTGTTGTTGTTGTTGTTTTTTAATATCACTTGTTTTTGTTGTTGTTATTGCTTCTTGCTGATTATTTTCATTAATACCATTCATTGTTTTGGAAATCTCATTCATTTCGAGTAGCTCTTTGTGCCTTAATATGGTCTCTTGGGGCACAGCTGCCAAATACGGTGTCGGATCGAAATCATCCAATGGAAAGTGTACCACCTTTTGTGATTTAACCCATTTATTGTTGACACAATTGAATCGCTTCAGATGAATGATCTGAAAAGGGAAGAGGAGGAAAAGAGAGAAAAATTAGCATTTGAAAAAATATTTTTTTTTAAAAAAAATCGAAGCTTCGGTTAGGTTTGGGGATTTGCAGTCACATATGAGGCTGCATCACTCTGAGACCGTTAGGTCCGTTGTGATCATCCACGAGAAGAAAAGAGATAAGGACAGATCTATAGGGGAGAGAAGATTGGGGAATAAAGGGAGATGAGAAGCTTACAGAAAGATATAAAAAAGGTAAGATTGGACAGAATCAGACAGAAGATGTATTACGTGTCAAGGTTGCACTGTCCTAATCACTTTAGGTTTCTAATTATGCTGTAGATTAGTGCAGGTTCGGTTGTTGAGAAGGAGCTAAGACTCGGTAGAAAATGAGCACCCACTAGTCTGTGCCGCCTGTAAGCTAGGGCTGGACAGTGACACAGAAGATGTTCAATTGTCTCCGTCTCCTCCACGTCAACGCAGAGCATACAGTAATCAGAGTTGCATCAAGATCCCATTTACTAGTAAAAGCCCTGACATTGCAGTGACCAGTAATGATTCCTGTCATTTCATCTAATTTCAGATTTGCTCAGGTTCATCAGTGAGTGCGTTCTTTTGGTAGAGTCGGCCAAATGGATCTTGACACATTGCACCTAGGTTCGTTGTACCAAAGATCATCGGCTCTTTCGTCGAAGAATGCCCCAAAGTTCCGGTAAAGATGACATATGGGTGGTTTGATTGAGTGATCAGTTGCTAGATCTGTGGATGTCCCGGCACCCAACACAACTGATAGCTGTAAGTAAGTTCTTCCAAAGCTGCTCTACACTGGAGGACGGCCTCAGATTTGAAATAACAAGATTTGATGGCTTTAAGAGCCGCTTGACTATCCACAAAGATAGTTCCCGGTTCAACGACCTCTGCATCCAGACTTTTTATCAATTCCGCTGCCTTCCAAATCGCGAAGATTTCAGCTTGGAAAACACTACGATTGCAATCCAGCTTGTAGGTTAACTCAAGGCCTTTCACAGTAGACGCCCGCTCCGGTACCTTCTTCCATCTTGGATCGGTCTGTATAGAAGGCCAGGCCGTCCGGAGGAGGGTTACTTCGGTTCCAGTCGTCTCTACTAGGAATAACGACATCTACATCGTCAAATCTCAGGACTGGTGATATATAGTCGCTTAGTTTTATTTTTTTGTTCATGCAGCCTTAGGGCGCTACGCGCGGCCTGACACTTAATGCTAAGGGCCTAAAATTCAGCATTGCGTTCAATGCCACTTGTGACGTACTACTCCTGGCGCCTGTAACTAAAATCGAGGCGGATCTTTGTACCCTATCTAATTTACTGGATGTCGACTTGTGGCGCAGATAGTTCCACCACACAAGAGAACCATAGGATAGGATGGGCCTTGCCACAGTGTTATACAACCAGTGTATAGTCGATGGTTTTAGCCCCCAGCTTTTACCAATGGAATTCCCGCTTTGGGAATGTAAGTAACTTTTACCTCGCTCCATAGATCTGGCACATACGAGAGAGTCAAACACGCCGTATCGATCCTCTCAAGGATCATATATAAACTTGGCGAGGCAAATTGAAGCATCGCCGGTTAGATTCCATCTGGTCCTGGTGATTTATACGGTTTGAATGACTGCCCATTTAATTTTCTGTTAACCAATGAGATCCAAATCCGGAGTCAGAAAAGGTAGAGTGTCATCACGTTCACCGTCGATGGTACCAATATCTTTGCAACCTGGGAAATGAGTCTCAGCTAGAAGATTAAGAGTCTACGAACGCTCCATCCTGCTTCTTGATACATCCGATGGACTTCGGATCCTTGGATAGTAGTCTTCGAAACCTAGCAGCGTCGTTGACTCCTATCGACTCACAGAAATTTATCCAAGACTTTTTCTTTGCGCGTTTTATCCCACTCTTGTATTTGTTGAAACTAGCCCTGTTGGAGTTCCAATAAATATGGAGTTTTGGTTTATGCGCCCTGTTGTACAGTAGTCTGGTCGCTTTTCTGAGCTCGCCAAGTTCCTTGTTCCACCAAACTGGCTGAGATTTTTTCCCAGGGTATGTAAACGGATCCCTTATGGCATCTAAGAAGAACGTCCGTTAGATTGTCCACGGCCCCATTAAATCGAAGCTCTTCTGGGCATTAAAAAATATTCTTTTAAAAAATCGGAGCCTTTCTGGGCATTAAAAAAATATTTTTTAAAAAATAGAAGGAAGTCCTTCTGGACATTGAAAAATACGCTTTAAAAAAATTAAGCCTTTCTGGGCATTGAAAACATATTCTTTAAAAGATCGATACCATTCTGGTCATTGAAAAAATAATTTTTAAAAAATCGAAGCCTTTCTGGACATTTTTGGGCATATATTTTGAAAGCGGATTTTTTTTAACTTACCAAAATTGGTGGCAATTTCCAGATTTGCAGTTTTTTAGTGGCCGGTTTCTTGCCCTTACAATGGCTGCAGTGATACCATTGCTCCAATTTTTCTTCAGATGTGAAAGCTCTTAGGCAATGATTCAGATCGACCGGTTCAATTTGTTCTTTGCGACATATGGCCACCGATTCATGATCTATCCAAAGCTGAAATCAAATAAAAGAGGGTCACAATGGAAATTTTAAAAAATAGAAACTCTCTCTCACCCTTTCCAAGGTACACTGATAACGTAAATGCAATGCCGTTGGATCCCAATCGATAGCTATTATATATTTATTATCATAATTTCGTGTCAAGATCATCGATTGTTGTGACTGCAGCGAATCACGATCGGATGAGTTGGAATTTAATGGTCTACTACTGCGATTATCTAACGTTGTAGCGGATATTGAATTATTTGCAGCAGATTTTGGCATCATTTTTGGAGTTGAAGTATTACCTGAATGAAGGGGGAAGAGGAAGCGGAATTTTAATTAGAAATCGGAATGCGATGCGGGAAATAGTGGTGACAACTTACTTGTATCAAAACTATTTGTAAATAATGAACTTTGGAATACATATTCATTGTTGCAGGGTATTTCACAGCCACGACAAAAGTTAGACCACGGACATAAGGCGCATGTTAGACCATCACTTTTTACCGCACGCAAAGAAAATGGAAAATCATAGCCCAAGCTATCATCACTAGAAAAGAGAGAACGAGAGATATGAAAAAAATTCATTTTCAAAAAAGTCCAGTCCATTCCCTACAGTAATTATATGCAACCTAGTTTCCTAAACAATTTATACATATTTTTTCTATATCGAAGACTTTCTGGCCATAAAAAATATTCTTTAAATAATCGAAGCCCTTCTGGACATTCAAAAAATAATTTAAAAAAAAATCGAAGTCTTTCTGAGCTTTGGAAAAATATTCTTTACAAAATGGAAGTCCTTCTGGACATTGAAGGCCCATCCTTTCCTATGGTTCTCATGTTGGGAGGCACTGCTTGCGCCACAAGTAGACATCTGGCAAACTAGACAAGGTACAAGGAGCCGCATCGATTCTAATAACTAAAGTACCCCACAAGCAGCTCTGAACGCAATGCTGAACTTAAGGCCTCTGTGTCTCAGCATTAAGTGTCAGGCAGCGTGTAGTGCCCTAAGGTTGCATGAACAAAATCTATGGCGAAATTGTACCTACGGGCATGGATGTATCCTGAACAAACTAGGTATGACATTGGACCAACGCGTAAAACTAAGCGACTATATATCACCAGTCCTGAGATTTGTAGAGTTTGGACTGGAACCGTAGCAACGCTCCTCTGGGCGGTTGCAAGATGGACGGAGGTGCAGGGGCTGGCGTCTATGAAAGGCTAGGCCTTGAGCTTACCTACAAGCTGAATAGTAACTATAGTGTTTTCCAAGCTGAAATCTTCGCTATTTGGATGGTAGCGGAATTAAAAAAAGGGTGGATGCAGATAACCGGTGGATAGTCAGGTGGCTCTTAAAGCCATCAAATCCTGTAATATCAAATCCGAGGTCTTGTTCGAATGTAGAGCAGTTTTGGAAACACTAATTTACAGCTATCGGCTGTGTTGGTACACCAGGACACGTGACATCATGGGTAATGAAAAAACAGAAGACGAATTAATAACTGTGAGAACCTGACATTTTTCTTAAAAACGGAGGAATCTAAGATTTTTTCTAAAGAAAAAAACCGTGGGAAACTGGGATTTAATGAATTGTTTTCTATAGACAAAACTGTGGGAACCAGTGGTTCCGCGAATGTTTTTTATAGAAAACAAATGTAGGACACCGCGTGGGAGCCTATCATCCCCATTTTTGGATTGAGCAATCTCTACTTAAACCAAATAACTGCAGCCCTAAGACAGGCAAGAACGATCTTCCCCTATGTAGCACCATTATTATCTTCTGTCTGTTATTTTCAGTTGGTCAACCATTAATGACAAAGACTTTAGGTTAGGTTTTTGGACCTGATATTATAACATATAGATTGAGCAATCTCTTCGTAAACCAATTAACTGCAGCCCTAAGGCGTATGGAGCGGCGATATTATCTTCTGCGTCTGTTACTTCAATTGGTCAAACTATAAATCACAAAGACGTTAGGCTAGGTTATGGGTTAGGTTTTTGGACCTGATGTTATAACATATTGATTGAGCAATCTCTACTTAAACCAATTAACAGCAGCCCTAAGGCTTAGGGAGCGGCATTATTATCTTCTGTGTGTGTTACTTTCAGTTGGTTAAACTATAAATCGCAAAGACGTTGGGTTAGGTTATGGGTTAGGTTTTTGGAACTGATGTTACAACAAATCCTAGAAGTAATCACCCTAAGGCCTATTTTGCGCCATTATTTTCTCCAGTGTCTGTTACTTTCAGTTGGTCAAACTATAAATCACAAAGACGTTAGGTTAGGTTTTTTTCGATGCGATGTTACAACAAATCCTAGAAGTTATGTTCAATCACGATTTAACTACAGCCCTAAGGCCTATGTTTACGACATTATTATCTTCTGTGTCTGTTACTTTCAGTTGGTCAAACTGTAAAAGGGCACTGAAAAAAGAAAAATAAGTTAAAATAAAAATTCAAAAATACTCACCAATCCGCGGCATGATTTGCCTGATCCGTTGATGCTGGCAGTGGTGTCAATAGGCGACTAACTTGTAACCATACGGCACAATATAAATCCTTATTTGTACCACCCTCTAAATTGGGTATTAACAAAGGCACTCCAAAGATACTGGGCCGGGTTTTGTGGTGGGACAAAAAATAACTATCCTGCCGGGTGATTTTACGATGCAATGCCATTAGATATTTACCGACTTTGTAGTGTTGTGAGGGAACACGGGAAAATACACCGGCGCCATTTGTGGCATCATAATTATGGGAACCCGCCGCCATCAAACCATTACTCATTGGAGGCATACAACAGGAATCACTTAGGTCTTGTTTGATGAAATTTTGTCGATTTATTTCCGATTCCATTAAACGTTGGGCATTAGCCTCATCGGCGGTATTATTGAGGCGGCATGGACATTCACTTAAACGCCGCAGGCCGCCCTCACACATAATTGCCGCTGGATTTTTGGAGGATTCTGTTTGATTTAGAATCACAGCCGGATCACAGGTTGAACTTTCCATGGAATTTTCACCGGAATGTGTTGCCGTGGCCAGGGAGGATGATGAGCATGTATTGGGTTCTGTACTATTGCTGCCACCATGTAATAGCTTAGCAGAGGTGGAGATATTTTTTTGTAAAATACCACCATTAACGAATGTATTCTCGGGGCTACGACTTATGTTGGAGGTGTGCTGTGCGGCATTAATGGAGATAATATTAAAAAAATTATTTTTTAAATAGTAGATTATTTCAATGGTGGTGTTTTTTTAAGTTAGCATTTTGTTTGTACAGTACTTAAGTAAAATTAAAATATATTCTATAGCAAGTGTGCTAAGGAAAGAATAAGAGATTTGAAGGAGGGTAAAACGAAAGAAAGCTAAATAATTTATTACAATTATTTTTTTCTATTGTGATCTCTTTACCTATACAAAAGCCAGGTGCAAAATAAAAGCATTTCAAATTGGTGAAATTTAGTTAGGCTAAAAATATTTACAAAGCGATTTTTTTGTTTGATCCACACCACAATTTAAAAAAATAAATAAAAACTAGGGACTGTTTTAAAAAATAAAATTTTTTAATAAAGAATTAGACTCTTTTACAATAAACAAAAAAATAAATTGGCAAATTTCTACAAACTAACAAAAAATTACGCTGCTAAATTCGCTACACCAAAAACTAAAAAATTGACTAAAGTAATTTAATAAAAAAAATTAAAGTGCCATCCATCTATTTTGGAAAACAGTTACACACACTAAGCTAATTTACAATACACACACAAAGAAACTACAAAGCGTATACAGTTTTGGAGATTTAATTTTGAAATATTTATTTATTTTATTTTGCACAATGATGTACCATTTTTTCAAATTAATTGCAGGTCTTGATTGTGATTGTCCCGCTGTAGGTCTTTTGTAAAAAAAGAGAACAATTTTTTAAACAAGGATCTATTTTTGTATACAATTCACTTAAGACATCTGTATCATTCAGGTCCCCTGTTCATCATTGGCCCCTCGAGGCGGATCAGTGACCGATTATGACAAACAAAAATCTCCACATAAATGTTCAAGAATTTACCTTAAATGTTGATGAAATTCTGCCAGTTGGTGAAAAATTCACAGAGAAGAAACTAAAAAATAAAATGCTAAATCAAAAAAAATTCCACATAAATGCTGAAGAATTTGCCTTTACAAGCCGAGGATATTCTGTCACCTAGGTGGAAAATTTACAGGGAGAAAATACAAAGGTAAAATGCAGAGTCAGAAGAAGGCTGCGACAAGGAAGAACGTGGAGACGGCGAGCAAAGTTCTGAGTCAGAAGAAGGAAGTCGGTGCAAACAGAGAGAAAATTTTTGTGTACAGTCCACATAAGATATCCGTGTCATTCAGATCACCTGTTTATCATTGGTCCTTCGAGGCGAATCAGTGACCGATTATGAGAAAAAGGAAATTCCACCTAAATGATGAAGAATTTGCCTTCACAGGTCGAGGAAATATTGTCGGCTTGGTGGAAAAATCACAGAGAAGAAACTACAAAATAAAATATTTAGTCGGAAGAAGGCGGTGATGCCGAGCATAAGAAGACACTGATAAGAAGCAAATTTGGCGCGGGAGTTTCAGTTCTCAGTACAGAACGAAGGGGTGAGGGGTGAAAAGACTCGGCACCGACTGAAGACCTAACTCTACTGGCATGTTCGTAGAGGGTAGATGGATATATAGCGGGCATATAACTACATAGCTAACCTAGTAGTAAGGAGTGCACCCTACGCAATGAAAGACGATACGGTTGATGGAGCTATTGGATAAGAAATCTAAAAAGGGCAGGAAGGTTAAAGCCAGCCCAAAAACAAATTAGCAGCCTTCCGTCGGCATTGGAGGAGGAGCGATGAAGGTTGTGGTCATAGTGCTATATGAAGGTTATAATGAAGAATTGAATGGAATAGTCGTATGGAGGCGGAGTAACGTACAAAAACGTACGTAGAAGTTGCTCTGAAAACAACAAAGGAAGCCAATGATAGCCATGCGAGATGAAAAGAAGGATCACCGGAAAAGAGATGAAAAGAAAATTATTAAAGAACTGACTGTTTTGGAAAATACCCGCCGATCTAGAAGTTGCTCCTAAAACAACAGAGGAAGCCAATGGTTGTCATGAAGAAAGCTTGCAGTCATTACAGGCAAAGCTTGAAGACGCTAAAGACAAATTCCGCGCATTAGAAAATCAAGTTCACCGATAATCCACAGCCTTAAAAATGAAGTTGTCGGCTAAAGATGTGGAGAAGGCAATTGGAAATGGTGTGACCCAGAAGCTGATGAGGACTATTGTCAATGGTTCAGGCTGAAAGAAGTAGCGGATGACGATTCTTGAGACTGGCTGGGAGACATGCTAGCGCAGCATGAACCGACATAACTTATTTCGCAGTACTGCAAGATCCGGTTTAGTTCAGAGCAACATAGAAAATGCACCCATTCTCTACATCCATTGCATTTCATTGAGGTAGGTATATGGTGGTCCGGAATTTTTTTCTGTCCCGGCGCAGACATGTAGGTTTCGGAGCAGGCATTCTGGAATATAATATCGCGCCCAGGCCAAAAATAGAGCACACGAACATCCAATTCGTGCCCAATATGCATTGAGGCGGCTACACCATCCATATCTTAATTGTGCCAAAACCACTCTGGTTTATCGAGGTAGCTTCAACTACATCCATGTGAATACGACTCAATCCTGCTACATAGGCCTGGTGATCTAGAGGCTCCCTTTTGTACCTTTGGACCTCTCTCTCCAGATCATGAAGATCTTTCCTGAAATGCTTATCCATCAGGTAACTATTTGCATGGCTTCTTCTATAACACCCAAGCATCGACAACATCTTTTTGGGTTGACACACAGCAAGGATCTTCGTCTCCTCATGTAAGTTCTCTATTGGAGTCATGAGGAGTCACCCTGTTGCAGTCCTCAGTGCGCCATTCTGGCAGGATTGAAGACTTTTCCACTGCGTTGCACTAATATTAGAGGACCACATTGGCGCCGCATAGTTTACCACAGACCAGCTCCCAAATGCTGCCGGCTAGGGACTTGAGAACCTTGTTTCTGTTCCTAATCTTATAGCTGTGGCATGCGCAGACGACTTATAAAGGCTATGTCGAATGATACCCCTAGAACCTTGGGGTAATTGGTGGTCGGAATTGTGAACCCATCGATCTGCACATTCAAAGGTAGCCGCATCTCCTCTGTCCGCTGTGGTAAACAGTGTGGCCGTTAATTTAGTGTCCTCGCCCGGAAAAAATCTGCTATATCCACGAGATAGTGGCTCAGCCTCTTGAACATTTCATAAATTTTGAGTCCTGACACCATGAGCGTACAATCATCCGCTTATGCTTTTATCTTTATGCCGTCCGTTGGGCCTAGAATTCCAGAATGGAAGAGGTTAAACAGTTTCAGAGATATCACACCTCCTACGGGCCTTCGACATCCTGTTTCGGAATTCCACGATCCAACGTTTCAAACTTGGCTGGAGGGTTGTTCTCTGGTTCAGTCCTTCCGTTATATGTGTGCAAATTTGTTGTTGTGCTGTGCTGCTTCCGGAACCCATGTTGATAATCAGCAACGAATGCTAGGCAGTAGTAATGCCTCAAGTGCCGTAGCTACTGGCGACAAAAGTCAGATCGGCCTGTATGACTCACCTTTGCTGGTCAGGGTCAACACTGCCAATTTTCCCGACATCGGGAACTATTAGGGTGGCTAACGACAAGTTGAAGACTTTACTTAAGTACTGTACTTCTGGCTCATCAAGCTGCTTCAATATCACCATGGAGATTCCATCTAGACCAAGCGCCTTGGATGATTTTGAGCTTCTGATGGGACTTGCAACATCCTGCAACGTAAATTGTCGTGGTTCCTCCTCCACTTGAAGAGACCGTATACGGCGCAATACTCTTCTCTTCGCACTGCCACTCTCGGGATCTGTAACGCCGGCAAATGAGACAGACGATCGATCATTCTTTCTTCCTGGGTTCGAGAGCGATTTAATCGTTGCCCATATGTACTTGTGTGTTGAAATGTTGGCTGTCGAGGTTGGCTATTAGCATTTCAGAGGGCTTCGTATGTATTTCATCTGGGTCCCCCTCCAGATTTTTTACAAATATTCAAAAGCAATTTTGTAAGATTTTTTTCCGCTGGCTTAGGTTCGAACCAAGACTTATCGGTTTAACGACACATATATTAAAGACAGACGGTTATTTTTTTCAAAAATTAATTTGTATTCCTGATTAAGCAAAGCATTATTCCAAAAAATATACCCGAATTATAGCAGATCAATATGTGAAAACCCATGTTAGAGAAAAAATAGGCGGCAAGTTAAAGGCGGTAATTGTACATCATTGGCAGAATTCCGTATACAAAATATTAATATTTTTTATATAATTGATATATTTACATCCAAAACCATATAATAAAAAAAAACTAAAGGCAGGGTAAAAAATATTGAGTTTTAGGTTTATTTTTTTACTAATGTAAACATTTGTATTTAATACGTATCACTTGGTCCATTCTCTGTATGTTTTTTTATTATTATTTTTTTTTTTGGTATTCCAGGTGAAATGAGAGAATAAATGGCTGCATTTCAAATCCCTAAATATTGGCTAATGTTGATGTTCTAACATTAAATGGAAATTAAAAAAAATGTGTGTACGACACGACACAACGACGCCAGCAGCAGCAAAAAGCCTATTTAATGCACGCATTTTTAGATATATAAATATAAAAAATATATTTATAAGGATAAATATCGTTTTTGGTGGTGGTGGGGATGCAATGATTTAGAGAATCGGGTTCGATAACCTTTCGGAACCTATAAAAATCCACGTTTCCAGCACTTTGGGACCTTAAAAACTACCAGGACCTTTGAAAATCCACCCTTCTAGAACTTCGAGACCTTCCAGAATTATTAGAATCCTTGAAAACCTAGGCTTTTAGAACTTCCCGACCTTGAATACTATCAGGACCTTTAAAAACCCATATTTCTATCACTTAGGGACCTTAAAAACCATCAGGACCTTTGAAATCCCAGGCTTTTAAAACTTCGGAACCTTGAAAAGCTATCGGAACCTTTAAAAATCCACGTTTCTAGAACTTCGAGACCTTCAAAACTATCAGAATCTTTGAAAATCCACGCTTCTAGAACTTCGGGAACTTCAAGAATTATTAGGAACCTCGAAATCCCAGGCTTTTAGAACTTCGGAACCTTGAAAAGCTATCGGAACCTTTAAAAATCCACATTTCTAGCACTTCAGAATCTTAAAAACTACCGAGTTTCTAGCCCTCCAGGACCTTGAAAACCTATCGGAACGTTTAAAAATCCACTTTTCTAGCACTTCGGGACCTTAAAAACTATCACGACCTTTGAAAATCGACGTTTCTAGAACTTCGGGACCTTCAAGAATTATTAGAAACCTCGAAAACCCAGGGTTTTTTAACATCGGGACCTTCAAAAATTATTAAAACCCTTGGAAGGCTACGTTTCTAGAAATTTGGGGCCTTTGAAAAACTATCAGAACCTTTGGAAATCGACGTTTCTAGAACATCGGGACCTTGAAACCCTACGCTTTTATAACTTCAGGACCTTGAAAAGCTATTGGTACCTTTAACAATCCACATTTAGACCTTCGGGACCTTCAAGAATTATTAGAACCCTTGAAACCCCAGGCTTTTAGAACTTCAGGACCTTGAAAAGCTATTAGGGCCTTAGAAAATCACGCTTTTAGAACTTGAAGACCTTGAAAATTATCAGGAGCTCTGAAAATCCACGCTTCTAGAATTTCAGGACCATTGAAAATCGACGTTTCTAGAGCATCGGGACCTTGAAAACCCTTGAAAATCGACGTTTTTAGAACATTGGGACCTTGAAAAACTATTAGGGCCTTAGAAAATCACGCTTTTAGAACTTGAGGACCTTGAAAATTATCAGGACCTTTGAAAATCCACGCTTCTGGAATTTCAGGACATTGAAAAACTATCAGGACAATTGAAAATCGACGTTTCTAGAGCATCGGGACCTTGAAACCCCACGCTTTTAGAACTTCGGGACTTTGAAAACTATCAGGACCTTGAAAAACTAACAGGACCATTGAAAAACGACGTTTCTAGAAAATCGGACCTTAAAAACTCGCAGTTTTAGAACTTCGGTGCCTTCAAAACTATCAGGACTGTTCAAAATCAACGCTTCTAGAACTTCATCGACCTCGAAAAACTATCAGGACCATTGAAATCGACGTTTCTAGAACATTGGGACCTAGAAAACCCACGCTTTTAGAACTTCGTGACCTTTAAAACTATCAGACCGCTCAAAATTAACTCTTCTAGAACTTCAGGGACCTTGAAAAACTTTGAATATCGACGTTTCTATAGCTTCGGGCCTTGAAAACCTACGTTTCTAGAATTTCGGGACTTTGAAAAACTATCAGGATCATTGAAAATCGACGTTTTAAAATTTCCGGACCTTGATAAACTATCAGGACCCTTAAAAATCTATGTTTCTAGAACTTCGTGACCTTGCAACCATCAGGACCTTTGAAAACGCACGCTTCTAGCACTTCAAGGCCTTTGAAAATTCACGTTTCTAGAACTTAAGGACCTTGAAATTATCTGGACCTTAAAAAAATCATGCTTCTAGAAATTCAGAACCTGTAAAAAACTATCAGGACCTTATAAAATTCACGCTTCTACCGCCGATTTTCCGGAAATTCCGGTTTTTCCAAAAATATATTTTTTTCATAAATCTCATTGCATCCCCTTATGCAAAATGTGCACCACGATATTTATCTGTCTGTATGTAGATGTATATATATACGTTATTAAATACAATAGATGTTTGCAAAATAAAAAAAATGGTTTTAAAAACTATAGCCATACCTTGAAGCATAATAAAGTCTGGGGCATGCACATATTGTTTCCAAAGCACCGCCTTACCTTCGTTGAGACGTGTATATCATCGTCTTCGGTATCATCACCGGCATCATCATTTCGGCCACAACTACCACCACCGAGGACGGTCATGGGTACATTATCGAAGCTATTGTTTTGATAGCGTAACGGCATTGCCGAGGAATGCGACGATGTGGTGGATGATGACGATTGGACATTCATGGCTGACGACGAAAACTGACTAGTTGCTGTGGTGGAGGATGATGATTGTGGTGGTGGTAGTGACATAGGTGCTGGCGTTATGGGTAATGGTGGAGGACACACCACTTCTTCCTCAAATGAGGTTTCAGCATAGAAGATTTTATCGCCGCCACCACCACTCGAATTGACATTATTAGAGGTGGTGCCGGATGCGGCCGGGTTAGTATTATTGGTGGAATTATTTAAAGCATTCAGCGAGGAAAAGGAATCATAGGCTGTCAGCATGGCTGCTGGAAAAAAAAGAACAGAAAAAAATAAATTAGAATGTAACCAAAACGTGATTGTAGGTACTTACCCGAACTCCTCTGTATATCCTTTAGGCCTTTTTCAATATTAATACCCATCGTCGAACTCGATCTGGAACGATCTTGACACTCTTCGGGCAACTGATAACAGTATAACTCCTTGGCTGCCGTTGGTCGGATTTTCTCTTCATCTGGGAATATATGACGTATTTGGGAGTTCCATACCTCACAGATTAACATGAAATTGGGATTTAGATACGACAGCGAGGCCAGTTTGCGTTTTAAATCGAAATATTTACATTCGGAATTTAAACGTAGACCGTATTTGATTGGCACCGAACCATCGAGAAGGATGACTGGAAGGAAAGATGAAAAACAAAATTCATGATTATACCCACGTCAATATTTCTAGAACTTCGGGACCTTCAAAAATTAATAGAACCCTTGAAAACCTAGGTTTTTAGAACTTCGGAACCTTGAACACTATCAGGACCTTTGAAAATCCATACTTCTAGAACTTCGAAAATCGACGTTTCCAGAAGGTCTTAAAAACAATTAAGACCTATGAAAATCGACGTTTCTAGAGCATCGGGACCTTGAAAAACTGTCGGAACTATTGAAAATCGACGTTTTTAGAACTTCGGGGCCCTGCTTAAAAGCATATCCGGACCTTTTAAAATCCACCATTTAAGTAATTTAAGACATCGATAAACTATCATAACGTTTAAAAATGCACGTTTCTATCACTTCAGGACCTTGAAAATATATCAAAACCTTTGAAAATCCCGGCTTCCGACGCTTCGAGGCCATGAAACATTATCAGGAACTTTTAAAATCAACTCTTCTAAGTCTTTAGAACCTTAAAAACCTTTAACACTTCAGGACAGATCAGGACCTTTGAATATCCGCGCTATCCGAACCTTTGAAAATACTCGCTTCTAGCTCTTACGGACCCTGAAAAACTATACGGACCTTCGAAAATCTACTATTCTAGCAATTCAGGACCCAAAAAAACTATCAGAACCTTTTGCAAATCCACATTTGGAGCACTTCAGGACCTTAAAGTACTATCAGAACCTTTGAAAATCCAGGTTTTAACCTTTCAGGACCTTGTTTGGAGCACTTCAGGACCTTGAAAAATTATCGGAACCACTTCGGAACCTTGAAAATGTATCAGGACCCTTGGAAATCAATGCTTCAAGTACTTCGAAACTTTGAAAATCCACGTTTGGTGCACTTGTGAACCTTGACAATTTTTCAGGACCTTTGAAATGCACATTTATAGCACTTTAGGACTTTGGAAAACTATCAGGACCTTTGAAGATCCACATTTGGAGCACTTCTGATCCTTGAAAAATTTTCAGGAACTTTTTTCAAGACCTTAAAATCATATCAGAACCTTCGAAAATCCATGCCTTCAACTCTTCGGAATTTTTGGTCCCTGAGAAACTATTTACCGAATTATTCAATCCACAAAAATTGTTCAACTTACCCAACACTTCAAAATATATATAATTCTCGACGGGCAGCGGCAGACTTAGCAAACTGAATGGATCGAAACGCACCGATTCCCGGCCGCAACACATACAGCTAACTTTCGATTTCAATTGACCATAGAAGAGATCAATAATTATCGATTGATTGCGGGCATGATGTTGTGACCATGCTTCGGCGGCAACAATTTTATCCGGCCGACCATTGGAATCTTTCAGTTCACTATAGGGTTTCTCCATGACACGATTTAAATCTTCATGCAGGGCGTCCAGCAGCCACTCGAGCAATTCTTGAGAATCATGCTGACCACCACCCGCAAATTGGGGTGCATATTTAGTCACACAAAATCGTAGTTTTAGAGGTGCCACAGATCGCGTGGTGGCACTCCAAACCTCCTTCAACAGTTCACCATAACGTGTGGCTAAATGTCCGCGCGTTCCCAATTTATTGGTTGTGTTCAGCTCAAATAAATGCATATTTTGACGAAAATATTGAGCCAGGGGCTGAGTATTGAAGAGGACCTGCAGCGAGGCATTCATGAAACAGGTATTTCCCAAATTGTGTAGGCCACAGGCACCGGGTGCCTGTACCGACATAATGGAGGTGCGTGTTAAACGGCGATCATTAATGGAAGATCCTCCGGACTGGGTTAGGCTAAGGGAGCCCAATTCTTCGGGCCATGTCTGATCTTTGTTGCGAATTTCCAGCAGAATTTGATCATTATCCTTGATCATTAACTCCTTCAGCGTCATGCTGTCCTCTTCGAGTAGTATGGCACTGTTCTCTATATTACCCGAAGGTATATGCCATAAACGAATATCATCGGGCCGCAAGCGTAGCTGTTCACAGAGGAAGGCTGCGACTTTTTGCACTGTGGCCAAGCGACTAAAGGCGGCCGTGTAGGCTAAGTAACGCTTGGGTGGTTGTAGGACATTTGGCGAGGAAATAGCTGCAAATCCTCCACCTGAGGCAATTACACCATAACTACCTGGAAAAATCGAAATCGAAGTAAGATCAATAAAATTCAGTCGTTTCGAACAATTCTCTTTTACTCACTTGTCATGGCTCCCCAATTGTTGGCCATTTGCTGCTGTTGTTGTTGCTGCTGCTGCGGTACAATTTGATGTAGGAGAATCCTCAAATTTAGGGGATATAATTCCAATTCCACCTGATTTGAATTAGGTGGCTGTATAACTTGCCTTGGCAATGGCAGGTTGTCACCATACCAACGATTCAAAGCCTTCCACAGGGATTTCGGGACCAATTCAAAATTATGATTTTGTACCAATGGCGTGTCACGCTTCAAATGACCCCCCTCACCGGTTAGGGTGCGTACATTTTTATAGGGATTGGGTGTAACAAGATTGGTATTATCAATGGGACCGGGTCGTGCACCCATTTGACGACAGGATGAGATGCCACTGCTGGATGAGCCTGGAAGATAAGATGGAGATAAAAATATTTTGAAAATTTATGGAAAAAAATGAAAATATTTTGAAAAAAATATTAAAAACATTTTGGGAAAATATAGAAAATTTTTTGAAAAAATATGGAAATTTTAAAAAAGAAAATATTGAAAAAATTTTTAAAAAATATTGAAAATATTTTGAAAACATATAGAAAATATTTTGAAAACAAATTGAAAATACTTTGAAAAAAATATTGAAAATAATTTGAAAAAATATTAAAAAAAAAATATTAAAAATAATTTGAAAAAATATGAAAATATTTAGAAAAAATTTTGAAAATTTTTTGAAAAAATATAGAAAATATTTTGAAAAATATAGAAAATAGTTTCGAAAAAATATTGAAAATATTTTGAAAAAATATTGAAAATTTAAAAAAAATATATGACCATATTTTGAAAAAAAATTTGAAAATATTTAAAAAAAAATATTGAAAATATTTTGAAAATTATTTTAAAAAATATAGAAATTTTAAATATTTAAAATAAGGAAAATATTTTGTAAAAATTAAAAATATTTAAAAAAAATATAGAAAATATTTAAAAAAAAAAAATATATAGAAAATATCTTGAAAAAATATTGAAAATATTTTGAAATAATATAGAAAATATTTTGAAAAAATATTTAAAATATTTTGAAAAAAATTAGAAAATATTTTTGAAAAAATATGAAAAATTTTTTGAAAAAATATGAAAATTTTTTTGAAAAATTATGGAAAAATTTTTAAAAATAAATGGATTTTTTTTGGAAAAATGTGGAAAATTTTTAAAATTTTTTGAAAAAAAAAAATAATATTGACTTACCTAAACTACAATTATCTGCCGTTAAAGTACCGCCGCCGATGCTCAATTCACCACAACCCGCCACCGAATCCAAAGAATTTGTATTGAAACTTTCATCACAGACGACAGCTTCATCGATGCCGGAAAACGATGTCCGTTGATATGTGCCAGTCGTTGTGTTTTTGCAATATTCACATGGAACGGTATTGTTGGTGACATAATGTAACCACTGTAGCCACCAATCACGTGATATTAAATTCCAAAATTGTCCAACGGTATATTTACGTTTCTCTTCGCGATCAAGCCAACCGCGAACTGGATGAAAAAGAAGCAGATTTCAATGATTTTTTTAAATAAAAATAAGAATATTCTCTCCTACCAATATCATGTTCCATATGGCGACACTGTGGCCACAGACCGAAAACAATATGACACACTTCAAATATCAAATCCAAAAATGGTTGTAGCAATTTTAAGCTACTCTCCACATTCCACATCATAAAGTCTTCGGCGGTTAGGGTGATGGTTAAATTAGCCAATTGTTGGGAATCCTAAAAATACAAAAATAAAAAAACTGTATTTCTGGAAGAGAGTTTTTGGATATCTTTCCCTACCATTGTCGAATTGCTTGTAGCTCCAACACCACTTTCCTTTTGACTCGACGTAAAATTGACAATGTCCCTTAAAGCTTCCTGTTTGGTTATATCTTTGTACATATTCACATTGCGATTCTCTTTGGCCACATACAGCAGAACATTGATCATTTGTAGCGTTTCGGCATGATTCAGCACGCCATCACTGTCCACATCGAATATTTTAAAACAAACTGTAATGAAAAATCAAAAAATTAGCAAAATTTGTGAAGATCTACAAAAATTTATGCTTTATACTTACATCTTGTTCTCTCTACGCTGGGTCCTCGGCAGGCGGCACTGACACCACAACACAGCTCCTTGAAATCAATGTGAGCATCACGATTCTCATCGAAGGCATTGAACAGACCCTGCAGAGCATTTTTTGGTATTGGTGGACTTAGTAGCGGTCCCAGAAATTGTAAATCTAATTGACCATTGGGTGAGGAATTTTTCAAACGCCAAAATTCTTTTTCCAAATCGACAATGTCCTGGAAAATAAAAATTAAAAAAATGTGAGTGTTATAGATAATAATAATAGTGCTATAGATTTGAAAATTCGAAAAATAATATTTAAAAAAAATTTTATAAATTTAAAAAAGCGGAAAATCGAGAGCCCTTATATGGGAGCTACCCTGAAATGTGGACCAATATTGATAATTTTTGCTAGGGTGATTTGCTATCCAATGAGAACCCAAATACTTCATTACATACAAATCGCATAAAGAACGTGTCTAAAATCTTCAAAATTCCGAAATTTGGGTGTACCGTTATAAGGGGGGCTACGCTGAAATTTGAACCAATATTGATCATTTTTGGTTGGAAGATTTGCCAACCAAAGAGAACCCAAAATATCAAATTACATCCAATTCGAATGAAAAATATGACAAATTTTCTGAAAATTGAGGTTGAGGTTATATGCGGGCTACCCTGAAACTTAGGTCAATATTACTAATTTTTGGTAGGAAGATTTACCAACCAAACAGAGCCCAAAATATCGAAGAGCATGTCTAAAAGAGCATGAAGAGCATGTCTAAAATCCTCAAAATACGAAATATTCGGAGAACCATTATATGGGGTCTACCCTGAAACTTAGGTCCACATCGATAATTTTTGGTAGGAAGATTTGCTAACCAATGAGAATCCAAGATATCAAAAAAGAGGCAATTCGGTTGAAAAATATGCCAAAAATTCAGAAAATTGAGGTTACTGTTTTTAGGGTTCTAACCTGAAACTTGGGTCCACATTGATAATTTTTGGTAGGAAGATTTACCAACCAAAGAGAACCCAAAATACCAAATAACATGCAATTCGCTTGAAGAAAATTCGAAGAACCCTTTAATGAGGGTTACCCTGCAACTTAGGTCAAAATTGCTAATTTTGGTAGGAAGATTTACCAACCAAAGAGAACACAAAATATGAAATTACATCCAAATCGCTTGAAGAGTATGTCTGAAATCCTCAAAATACGTAATATTCGGAAACCCCTTATATGGGAGCTACCCTGCAACTTAGGTCAATATTGCTCATTTTTTCTAGGGTGATTTGCTACCCAATTAGTTTCCAAAAATGGCAATTTGTTTGAAAAATTTGTCCAATATATACTGAAAATTGAGGCTATAGGCCTAATATGGGGGCTACCCTGAAACTTGGGCCCATATCGATAAAATTTAATATTCAATCTAAAATACTAAATTACAGTCAATTTGTAATCCTTTTTCTTTGATTACGATTCTGCATGATTTTTCCATTACCCTTCACCCTTAATTACCCCTCTGAATTTAAAAACAAAGAAGTCCTTTGTCTTCGTTTTGGTCCTTTGTGCCAAACAAAGGCATCCTTTGCGTTACTAAACAAAGACAAATTAATCCCCAAATGTTTGTGAATGTCATGCGCCTACATACCTTCTCCTCCAAATGTGTTACACCGGCCAAACTTTGATAGAATGTCGGTGTCTCCAATTCCGATGTTAGCGATATACAATTATCGGATAGCAGCCATTTGGAGAGGACCGTTGAGGTGCGATTTTTCAACAGCCATGCTTGGAATTGTTCGAAATTAATGCGATCTGTTTGAGGGGAAAATAACGATGCACTTTCATAGGGTAATAAATTAAGGGCTTTGGTGAAATCTGATTTTAAGATATAGGTGCCGTTATCATTGCAATATAAGTTCCAAAGGAATCTGAAAAAGGAAAAAAAAAACAGTTTAATTTTTTATGAAAATTAAAAAAAAAACAGTTACTTACCTTGTTTTCTCCTCCTCTGTGCCCTTGGTTATCAAAACCAAACCGCATAGTAAATCCTTAAAGGAGATACCTTTGGCTGTACCGCCACAGGCGGTGTATAGCAGATCGGTTACATTTGCCGGTACACCCTCAAATAGGACATCCTGTTGAAAGGCATTGCGACTCAAATAGAAACGTCCAACACCGGCGGATTTTTTAAAGGCCTCTTTAAGGCGTCTTAATTCCGATTCAGAGACTATAAAAGAAAAAAAAAATAATAATTAATAAAAAATGGAAACATTAATCAATTATTAATGTGACATAATTTTTTTTGTTTAATTCGAACACACACAATCATGATTAAAATCATTATTTCTTATTAAATAAACAAATAATTCCAATAATAGGTTGTTCGAAAATGTTGTTAATTTTTAAGTCCCATGGAGGCTCACTATGTTATTCTTTTCGGAATAATGATTCACTTTTCTTTTGTTGTTGTTTTCTTTTTTTCGAAATCTTATCTATCGCCGAACACCTTATGTAGCAGCATATACCCCTACCTACCTACCTACTTATTGACATAAGCAGCGTGTATTGTTAATTTGATTTTTGTTTTTATAAATTTATTGTTGGCTTGCGCCTCTATCTAAATATAAATTTTGTTGTTGTTGCTTTTGTTGCTATTATTGAAATCCTCAAAAAGCGGAAAATTCGGAGAACCTTTATGTTGGAGCTACCCTGAAACTTAAGCCAATATTGCCAATTTTTGCTAGGGCGATTTGCTACCCATTGAGAACCCAAAATACCAAATTACATACAATTCGCATAAAGAACGTGCCTCAAATCCTCAAAATACGCAATATTCGGAGAACCATTATATGGGAACTACCCTGAAATTTGGACATATGTTGCTAATTTTTGGTAGGAAGATTTACCAACCAAAGAGAATCCGAAATACCAAATTACATCCAATTCGTTTGAAGAACGTGTCTGAAATCCTCAAATTACAGAATATTCGAAGAAACCTTATATGGGAGCTACCCTGAATTTGGACCAATATTGCTAATTTTTGTAAGAAGATTTACCAACCAAAGACAACACAAAATACCAAATTACATACAATTCGCTTAAAGAGTGTGTCTGAAATCCTCAAATTACGTAATATTCGGAGAACCATATATGGGAGCTACCCTGAAACTTAGGTTAATATTGCTAATTTTTGCTAGGGTAATTTGCTACCCAATGAAAACATAAAATACCAAATTGCATACAATTCACATAAATAACGTTCCTGAAATCCTCAAATTACGGGATATTCAGAGAACCCTTATATGGGAGCTACCCTGAAACTCGGACCAATATTGCTAATTTTTGCTAGGGAGAACCCAAAATACCAAATTACATCCAAATCGCTTGAAGAGTGTGTCTGAAATTCCCAAAATACGAAATATTCGGAAAACCCTTATATGGGAGCTACTCTGAAACTTGGGCCAATATTGCTAATTTTTGCTAAGGAGATTTGCTACCCAATGAGAACCCAAAATATCAAACTACATACAATTCGCATTAAGAACGTCCCTGAAATCCTCAAATAAATATTTGGAGAACACTTCTATGGGAGCTACCCTGAAATTTGGACCAAAATTCGTGCAAATCAAAAGATATATAGAGACTTTGGTCCTCCATTTCTATTAAATCGGACGAAAATATATATGGGAGCTATATCTAAATCTGAACCGATTTTCTCAAAGCTTAGCAGACATCATTCTAGACTCAATTCCGTACGCTATGCCAAATTTTGTTTCAATCGGACAAATATTGGGAGTTTGGTGCACCATTTACATAAAATCTGACGAAACCATATATGGTAGGTATATCTAAATTTGAACCGATTTTCACGAAACTTAACACACATCATTAAAGACTTAATTCAGTACGCTATGTCAAATTTCGTGCAAATCAAAAGATATATAGGGGGTTTGGTGCATGATTTACATAAAATCGGAGGAAAATATATATGGTAGGTATATCTAAATTTGAACCGATTTTCACGAAACTTAGCAGACATCATTCTAGGTTTATTTCAGTACGCTATGTCACATTTCGTGCAAATCAAAATATATATAGGGACTTTGATGCCACATTTACATAAAATCAGACGAAGATATATATGGGAACTATATCTAAATCTGAACCAAGGGTTAAGTATAGAAATTGGTTCGATTAATTTATTTTCTCCTAGAAAGTTTTGGATAAAACGTTTTCTTATAAAAAAAGTTTCGGATACGATTTTTTCATATAAAAAATGTTTCGGATAATTCTTTTCCTATAAAAATGCTTCGGATAAGATTTTTTCACATAGAAAATGGTTCGGATAAAATATTTTCTCATATCAAATGTTTCGGATAAGATTTTTTCATATAGAAAAAATCAGATATTCGGAGATTTATGATTTTTTCATATAGAAAAAATCAGATATTCGGAGATTTATATAGGATATAGGAGATTATTATTTATTATAGGAGATTATTATTTATTATAGGAGATTTACGTAGGATATTTCGGAGATTCGGATAAAATATTTTCTCATAGAATACGTTTCGGATAAATTTTTTCATATAGAAAATGGTTCTGATAAAATATTTTCGCATAGAAAAAGTTTCGGATAAGATATTTTCATGGTTCGGATAAAATATATTCTTATAGAAAACGTTTCAGATAAAATATATTCTTATAGAAAAAGTTTCGGATAAAATATTTTCTCATAGAAAACGTTTCAGAACGTTTCTTATAGAAGATGGTTCGGATAAAATTTTCTCTCATAGAAAAAGTTTCGGATAAACTGTTTTCATATAGAAAATGGTTCGGATAAAATATTTTCGCATAGAAAATGTTTCGGATAAATTTTTTTCATATAGGTTAGGTTAGGTTTGGGGATGAGCAGTCAGTGATTTGATTGAGCAAGCAATTGCTAGATCTGTAGATTGAGATCCCCTAATTCATTACCCATGATGCTTTTTCATTACCCATGATGTCACGGTGTCCTGGTACCCAACACAGCCGATAGATGTAAGTGAGTGTTTCCTAAACGGCTCTACACTCGAGGATGACCTTAGATTTGATATTACAGGATTTGGTGACTTTAAGAGCCGCCTGACTATCCACAAAGTTAGTCACCGGTTCAACGATATTTGCATCCAGACTTTTTATCAATTTCGCTGCCTTCCAAATAGGGCCGATTTCAGTATGGAAAATACTACAGTTTCTATTCATCTTGTAGGTAAGCTCAAGGACTAGCCTTTTACAGTAGACGCCAGCACTGAACCTCCGTCCATCTTGGATCCGTCTGTATAAAAAGCCAGACCGTCCAGAGGATAGTTGCTACGGTTACAGTCGTCTCTACTAGGGATAACGACGTCTATATTGTCAAATCTCAGGACTGGTGATCCATAGTCGCTTAGTTTTACGCGTTGGTCCAATGTCAAACCTAGTTTGTTCAGGATACATCCACGCCCGTAGCTACAATTTCGCCGTAAATTTTGTTCATGCAGCCTTATGGCACTATGCGCTGGCTGCCCTTAATGCTGAGACGCAGAGGCCTCAAGTTGAGCATTGCGTTCAGAGCTGCTTGTGGGGTGCTTCTCGCGGCTCCAGTTATTAGAATCGAGGCGGCTCTTTGTACTTTGTTTAGTTTGCCGGCACTAGTTTGGTGGAAGTGATTAAGGCGTAAGAAGTGCCACCAAATAAGAGAACCGTAGGAATGGATGGGCCTTACCACCGTGTTATACCAGTGTATAGTCGACTCCTTATCTCCAGGTAGAGAGACTTGATGAGAAAGAATGATAGGCTAATGGGCCTATAGTCCATTGGTGCTGAGTGGCTTACATTCCACTTTAGAAATGTAAGTAACCTTTACCTCGTTCCATAGACCCGGAACGCACGAGAGAGTAAAGCACTCCGTATAGATCGATCTTCTCAAGGATCAGATATATACATAGCGAGGCAAATTGAAGCATCGCCGTGTGATTTCATCTGGTCCTGTTGATTTATATGTTTTGAATGTGTTGACTGTCAGGCGTATCGTTGACGGTATCCACATCTTTGCAACCTGGGTAATGGGTTTCTGCTAGGAGGTTAAGTGTTTCCCAATGTATTTCGGATCCTTGGATAGTAATCTTCGAAACGTAGCAGCGTCTATCGCCTCACAGAAATGTATACGTATGGGTTTTCCCAAAAACAAAACTAGTAAGGAAAGTAGTAAAGTCGGACGGAGCCGACTATATGATACCCTTCACCACTTTGGGTATATTCAACAGATAAATCCTCGTCGCATTTTTAAAGGACCAGTGAAATGAAATTGGATCCATAAACATGTCATTCTGTAATTCCTTACGCTGTGCCAAATTTCGTGCAAACCGAAATATATTAAGGGACTTTGGTACAACATTTACCTTAAATCGGACGAAAATATATATAGGAGCTATATCTAAATCTGAACCGATTTAGATGAAACTTAACACACATCATTCTAGACCTAATACATTACGCTGTGCCATATTTCGTGCTAATCGAAAGATTTTAAGGGACTTTGGTGCACCATTTACATTAAATCGGACGAAAGTATATATGGGAGCTACACATATCTAAATCTGCACCGATTTTCAGGAAACTTAACACACCTCATTCTAGGCCTAATTAATTACGCTGTGCCAAATTTCGTGCAAAACGAAAGATATATAGGGACTTTGGTGCACCATTTCCATTTAATAGGACGAAAATATATATGGGAGCTATATCTAAATCTGAACCGATTTTTCCCAATTTCAGTAGGGTTCGTCATTGGGCCATATAATTGACCTATGCCAAATTTCCTCCAAATCGGAACATAAATGCGACCTCTACTTTGTTCTCCAAAAATACATGGACGGACGGACAAACGGACATGCATATTCTCAAAAGAAACCATGTGTCTATCTCGTTTCCTTTTGCCTGTTACGAACATATGCACAAAGACATAATACCCTGTACCACAGTGTGGTGAAGAGTATATACATATATATAAGTGGTATCAGGACACCTAGATCTAATATGTGGTAAAAATTTCAAAATGATTCTCGAACTGGACCTAAACTTCACTTGTTCCCACACACACCCATACCTGATCCCTTCTACAGTTGTTTAAACATTTGTCGATCTATTTGTTCGCCTCTATATAAAAATACACTAAAGAACAAAAGCAAAAACAACAAAAACAAATTAACTAAAATCTATCATAGTAATCTAAAGAAATTGAAATGGACGAAGAAAAAAAGATTACGAAAACAATAACAAAAACAATGTGTGAAAAAATTAAAAGAAAAAAATAATAAATCCAAAAACAACAAAATTCAATGATAAAACAAAAATAAAGAACTCAACTCTCTTCTTCTTCTTAATTTTTTTCGAACGAAGTCGTCTGTCCCTTCTCTCTGGCCCAATAAGGCAAAATAACCCATTTCATTGACCCCCTTTTCATTGTGCCTGGCTTCGCCCTCTCTCACACACACACACTCCAGTTATTGCTGTTGTTGTTCGTTCACACACTACTCTCAATAGCACCCAAAAGACACCCAATAATCTAATTGTCAGGCGGACATTGCAAAAGAAAGCCAAATACTCCCTCCTCCCACCTGTCTTCATGCCTATAAATCCCCTAAAAGGGAGGGGGACTACAACAACAAACCAAATAATTAGCAAAGTCTGTCTTTTGTTTTCTTTTCTTTGTTTCTTGTTTTTTGTACTTCATTTTTTCCACTTACCTCTTTTGACAGCATCTTCATAGCTAATGCAAGTCTGTTTTGATTCCTTTGCACCCATTCCGCTGTGAGTAGTGGCTGCTAAATGGGTGGTGCTGGTGTAAATATTTTGGAGGAACGGATGTTGGCTAACTGCACCTGGCTAGCCAAACCGAAGCAGCAAAACAAAACTGCAGTGGAATTCCGGAGACGACACCTTACACGCACTCACATACACACACGCATGCACACACACACGACGTCAACGTTGTACGTTCTCTGCTTTCAATTGGTATTTCTTTCTATTGTGGGGGGAAATAACAACAAAAACAACAACTCACATATAGAACCCCATACGACAGACACACACTCGTCGCGCGCGCCCGTTTACTCCAACAAAACAGCTGCTGCCACCGTCGCTGCTGCTGCTTCTTTTTTGAGCACAGGGGGAGCAGAGCTGAGCAGGCACTAGACCAAAAAACTACGTCTGTTTTTATTTCTCTTTGTATTTTTTTTTTCTTCTTCTTCTTTCGTTTTCTTTCTTTTTTCACTCTATTGCTCTCTTTGGCCACTTACAACAACACCAACAACAAATAAAGAATTTTATTAACACTTATTTTTTTTCTTTTCTTTTGGGGTTTTCATAACAATTTGCGTTTTAATTTTTTCATATCCATTTTGTTTGCCCGTTTATCGTCGTTGTGTCGTTTATCTTTATATTGCGAACACGGAATGCAATTTGCAATTTCTTTTCAACATTTTATTTTGGAAAATTTCATCTTATGACCAAAAAGAAATTTCATTGTAATGTTAACAATAGTAGCTCTTCTTCTCGACTGTTGGGGCCTGCTGACTTGATTAGTGAGGGGGCCGGCATTCACTGTGAATTGATAGCGAAAAAAGATAAATAAAAGAAAAGAGGGGCAGTAGTGACAACGAAATGAAAAGCGTTCCAGGGGGTGGTTTTTAATTTAATTTTTTTTATGTTGTGACAAATTGTCTAATAAATTAATAATGTTAACAATACTGAACCTTCTTCTCGACTATCATGGTACAATTATAAAAGGTAACAGCAAATCCCAGCTGATTTGATTCCAACGTAATACTAGTGTCAATATGAATTTGACAAATTATGTTTTTAAAAATCACCCAACAGGAAAATTGGGAACGCATTCAATTTAAAATTGTTCTTCATTAAATGTGCTCCTGTATTCAATTTACTCAATCTGCCTGCTGGGAAAGTTTGAGGAAGCAAATCTTTCTTCCAGGAATAACTCGCTATTCCCGGCATTTTCATATGTGTTACACATATATATGGCAATGGCTCAATTATAGGAAAGATGTGGAATAGATAGAAATATAAATTGGATAGATTTTCATTCATGTTTTTTAATTTTTATTTTGAGGATTCGAAAATATTTCATTTTCAAAATAAAAATAATTTGATGATAATTTGTTTGTTTGTTTACATTTTTCTGTCAAATGAGTTGACACTAGTAGAACTTACAACAACAAATTTCCACGTGGTTGTTGTATCGTTTTTTGTACAACAACACTTGCTGTTACCTTCTATTATTATACCATGCTCGACTATTAGGGACAGCATTCACCGTGAATTGATAGCAAGCAGGTAATTACAAGAAAAAAAGGTTCAGTGGTGACAACGAAATGAAAAGCGTCCTAGATGGTGTTTCTTATTTAATTCTTTAAAATATTTATGTTATAATAATTAAAAATATAACATGAATATAATAATTAAAAATACAAAATAAAGATTTAATAATACTAAATATGCTAATGGACCCTATGTCTTAATATTTTTTTATGGTACAATAATACAAGATGTCTTGAGAAGTATAACAACAAATGCAACTCTGTAGGTAATGGCTTTTTTCATCAGAGATAACATATAATCTGTTCCCGGACTCATCCTCTCCTCAAACGTGGATATATTGGCATCTATAGTCGAGGGTAAACGCGCATCCAAGTGTCAAAAAATGGATGAACTTTTTAGAACCACCGGAGTAAGAGAAAACTTGACACAGTCTTCCAAGGCAGGCAGGCGAGGACTTAAACTAAAAATCCAAGAGACAAGAATAGTGCAAACTGAAGAAGGATTCATAAGGAGGTGACGGGTGCGGTAAATAATGACATCATGGATCAGCTGAAGGCCAATTTTGTACAGTTGTGAATTTAAAGGAACTACGAAATGCTACAATTCCAGACTACTAAGAGATAATAAACTCTAAGAAAGAAAGTTTTTTTTTGGATTGTCTCCATAGGCTATATATGTATACCCTCATTTCTTTCCATGAAAATCAATGCCCAAGCTAAATTATATTTTTTCCTTCGAAATTTTGAAACTTCTGTGAGATACACCAAACATGAACCGATAATTCAATTTTATAGCAGGGAGATTTGAAACCACACGAGAACCCAAGCAAAAAAAAACACAATAAGATTGTAAAAGACGCCCAAAGTACTTTAAAATACAAAAAGGTGTGTGGTAGAGCTCTTTGGGGACTATCCTGGAATATAGACCAATATGGATAATTTTTTAGAGAGATTTACTACCCAATTAAGAGTACAAAATACAGATTCACAGCCGTTTCGGTGTAAAAAAAAAAGTTGAGCAATCATGATCATTTTTGATATGGATATTTTCTACCCTCTGAGAACTCAATATACAAAATTACAACCTATTTGGAGAAAAATGTGACCAAGCCCCCAAAATACGAAATTTTCTAAATAGCGCTACCCTATGAGATACCATTATACCGAATTGCAGCCAATTCCACTACAAAATGTGCCAAAACTCACCAAAATATCGAAATTCGGAAGCTACCGTTATATGGCACTACCCTAAGAAGAAGATCAATATTGATAATTTTTAGTGTGGATATTTTCTACCCAATGAGATCACATAATACCGAATTGCAGCCAATTCCACTGGAAAAATGTGCCCAAACTTGCCAAAATATCAAAATTCGGAAGGTGCCGTTATATGTTGATGAATTTTGGAAAGGAGCTTTGCTACCCAATGAGAACCAATTTGGAGAAAAAATGTGCCCATGCTCTCACAAAATACGAAGTTTTGTAAAAACCCATATATGGACTTTATGGGGTCTCCGTTGATTATTTTGTGAAAAACGCAATTTCAGTTTGACCAATTGCCAGGCCACTTAACAATGTTTACATGGTATTACCGAGTCACACAATGTCATCTTTATTCTGAACTAGAATATATATAGTTTATGGGGTCTCCGGTGAATATTTTATAAAAAAGGCAATTTCAATTTGACCCATTGCCAGGCCACATAACAATTGTTTACATGACATTACCATGTGTAAAATGTCAACTTTAATCTGAACTAGAATATATATATATATAGTTTATGGGGTATTCGGTGAATATTTTGTAAAAAAGGCAACTTCAATTTGACCCATTGCCAGGCCACTTAACCATTGTTTACATGACATTACCGAGTACAAAATGTCACTTTTATTCTGATCCACAATATATATACTTTATGGGGGTCTCCGTTGAATATTTTGTGAAAAAATAGAATTTTAATTTGACCCATTGCCAGGCCACTTAACAATGTTTACATGTCACATACCGATTACTTGTTTTGCACTGCCATGTACCAAATGTCACCTTACAATGTGGCAACACTTGTCAACAACCACCGTCACCGTATAGCCACAGCAGAAAGAAAGGAAAAAAGAAAGAAAACTACATCACTAGACAAAAAATAATCGAAAATTTTTGTAGACTGTGTGGTTGGTGTGTGGAAAGATTTTTTAATTTTGTCATCCCGTAGAGGCGAAGGATTTTTAATTACATATTTTTACAACAATTCCAACAAAATAAATAACAAAAGGAGAAATATTTGCAAAAAGAGTAAAGAAAGAAACCAAAAAGAAAATCATCATCATCGGAGAAACATCGTCACTTTTGCTTGATTGATTTGGGGTTTATTGTTGTTGTTGTATTTCGTTGTTCGTCGTAGTCGTCGTCGAGAAGAAGTAACACGCATTCGCGCAGAAAGTTTTCGGTTTCGTATTTTTTTTTTAATTTTTTCGATTTTTCGGTGAAGAGAGTTGCGGAATTATGGCTAAGACCTACGACTATCTGTTTAAATTGCTGCTAATCGGTGATTCGGGTGTTGGCAAGACCTGCATATTATTTCGTTTCTCGGAGGATGCCTTCAATACAACATTTATATCGACAATAGGTGAGTTGGGATCCCGCGGGGTACATATGTACATATATTAATATTTTGTGTATGATTGTAAAAATGTGTGTGTGTAACGAACATGAAGTAGCCTGCCTGCAGCATGAGTAACAATGAAAAAATTACAAAAATAATGAATTAATCAAAAAAAAAAAATTACAACAACAATTAAATATTTTGTATGATAGTGCAACAGCAACAACAACACCAACATTGTCGTCACCCATTAAATTTATTTTGAAAAGAAAAAAGAAAAGTGAAAAAAACACAGCAGAAGAAAGGAGGGGTCGGTTCCGCTGCGCCTCCATCGTCATCATCATCATCGACAACAACAACGTCGTATGTTTGGGTTTGGTGTTGCTTGTTATTATTGTTGTTGTCGTCCGCTACAAAGTCAAAGTACGATATCTGTGTAGGGCAAGCCAAAAGATAAACTTCCGCCACAAGATCCCCCAACCCCCGCCCTTTCGTTCGTTCTTTGGCGGACTCTTGAAAGAAAATTATCTTTTGTCATAACCCCTAGGAAACTATAAGGGAACTGCCTGCCAAATATTCCCCAAAAGTTCTTTTGGTATGCCCAACCCTCCTCATCCCCTTTTTTGAAATTCGTTTTTACTATTTTTGTTTTTATAGATTCTCTCTAAGTGGAACATGACAAGAGCCACCTTGCAAAAAACCACAAAAAAATGTGGAATTCTAAAAAAAAAGATAAACAAACAAATATCAGCAGCAGCATCCCCAAATAGTTTTCAGGGATTTGGCCTATTTTTTTTATTATTAAAACAAGTATTTATAGAACGCCTGAAGGCATGGAGAAGACGAATTTTATAGACACCTTAAATTAAAAGGCTATCTTTATAGACCACCAGACCATGGAGAAGACGAATTTTATAGACCCCTTAAATGTAAATGTGGACTGAAGTTGAATTTCCTCAAAGAACAGCCTGAAGGTAGTCTTTTTCATAGACCAGACTGAAGGTGGGCTTTCTCATAGAACAGCCTGAAGGTGGTCTTTCTCATAGATCACAGCTTAAGGTGATCTTTCTCATAAACAAGCCTGAAGGTGTTCCTTTCTCATAGACCAGCTGAAGGTCGTCTTTCTCATCGACCAGCCTAAAGGTTATCTTTCTCATAGACCCCAACTGAAGGTGGCCTTTCCCATAGCAGTCTGACGGTGGTCTTTCTTCATAGACCATGTGGATATTTTCTCATAGAACAGCCTGAAGATGGTCTTTCTCATAGACCCCAGTTGAAGGTGGTCTTTCTCATTGCAGCCTGAAGGAGGTCTTTCTTTATAGACCAGCCTGAAGGTAGTCTTTCTTTATAGAACACAGCTGAAGGTGGTCTTTCTTTATAGACCCCAACTAAAGGTGGTCCTTTCTGAACCCCAGCTGAAGTGTGCCTTTTTCACAAGCCAGCCTGAATATGGGCTTTCTTATGAACCAGATGGTCTTTCTCATAGACCAGCCTGAAGGTGATTTTCCTTTATAGACCAGCCTGAAGGTGGTCTTTCTCATAGACCCCAGCTGAAGGTGGTCTTTTCTCATAGACCCCAGCTGAAGGTGGTATTTTCTCATAGACCAGGCGGATGGTGGTATTTTCTCATAGACCAGCTGAAGTTGGTTTTTTCTTATGGATCAGCCATAGGTTTTCATTTTCGTAGGCAAGCTGAAGGTGGTCTTTCATTATAGACCAGCCTGAAGGTGTTCTTTCTCATTGAGTTGTAAATCTTTCTACAAAAAATTGGCAACATTTGGCCATTTTTTTTGGGATGTCCCCATATGACTACTGTACTTTCAAAATTTCATCTTTTTTTTTTGTAATTTGGTCAATTTTTTTCAACCCTATTGGCTGTAATTCGGTATTTTGGGTTCACATTGGGTAACAAATCTTCCTACAAAAAATTATCAATATTGATTCATGTTACGGGGTAACCTCCATATATCCGTACCCCTATTATTCGGTATTTTGGATACATTTTTCAACCGAAATGGCTGTAATTTCGTATTTTAGGATCTCATTGGGTATCTTATCTATCTACAAAATATCAAGATTGGTCCATTTTTTAGGGTGGCCCCTATATAACCTCCCAAATTTCTCTATATTGGGGAGATTGGACGCATTGCTGTAATTTCATATTTTCGGTTTTTACCCCTTCGTATTCGTTATTTTGGGGAGTTTGGGCACACTTCTCAACCAAATTGGCTGTAATTTCATATTTTAGGATCTCATTGGGTATCTTATCTCCCTACAAAAAAATTATTAATACTGGTCAAATTTCAAGCTTAGTCCCCATATAAGGGCATCTACCAAATTTCGATATATTGGGGAGATTGAGCATGTTTTTCAACAGAGTGAGCTTACATTTGGTATAAATAATTCACATTAGATTAGAAATCTTCCTACCAAAAATGATTAAGATTGGTCTACTTTTAAGGGTAGACCTCATATAAGGGTATATACCAAATTTGGTATTGTGGGGAGCTTGGGCACGTTTTTCAACCGAATTGGCTGTAATTTGGTATTTTTGATTCTCATTGGGTGGCAAATCTCCTCCCTATCAAATATGATCAAGATCGGTAAATTTTTTAGGGTAGCCACAATATAAGGGGATCTTCCGAATTTCGTATTTTGGGGTGCTTGGGAACTTTTTTCAGCCGAATTAATTGTAATCATTTCGAAGAAGTCAAGGAAACTACACAGCACGAGACCAAACTAAAAAAAATAAACAATAACAATGAAAATGAAAATGCATTGATCGAAAATTTGATGAAGAGGAAGAATAACATGTAGATACAAATAATGGCCAGGAATAAAAACAAGCAAAAAGAAAGACTGGCCGCTACTTGACACCCTACCCGATACTATGCGCCAAAGAATTCAAAACAATTTCTTAACAATATTACAACAATCACATGCTTCCCATCCCTTTGCTCGTATCGTTTCGTCTCGTCTGCCTGGCTGGCTGGCCTTACTGCATTCAAATAAAGACAACAACACATTTGAAACTATTTAATTTTTTTTTCTGTTTTTTTTTCGATCTGCTGACTACTGAACTCTGTGCATGGCAAACAAAAAAATTCCCTTTGTTGTTATGACATGGGACAGAAAGAAAAATCAACAACAAAAAACCGCGCAGTTTTTTTCAATAGAACTTTGTTGTTTTTTCTTCTATGGAATTTGCTTTCTTAGTTTTTTTTTTTTTGAATTTTTTGAATTTAGAAGATGAATTATAAATGAATTTGTTTTAGTTTCTTTAATTGTGGCAAATTAAATTGGAAGTGAGGGAGGGAGGATGGGGTGGGGACCCACATAACAACCAGCAGCATCACAACATCTCATCATTTTCATTGTCGAAGAAAATATATTTCTTATATTAGTTGATATTGAGTATGTGAGTGTGTGTGTATTGACATGTACTACATACAAACCGCGCTATATACATATCTTCACATAAATATTACATTGTATTTTTTTTTTTATATTCTTATAATCAAATGGTTGTGAAATATGTTTTTTTATGGAGATGACTCATTGGCGGGGTTTTAAGAAATTTAATTTTCTTGGCTACTCAATGGGCATTCGCTGGGTATTTATTGCTGTCCCGCCAGCAGGCAGCACAGCCTGGAAAATGAGTTGAAATCGAGTCATGGGGTAATAAAAAATACCCGCAGCCCCAATACAAATTTGAATTAAATTGTAGAAATGTAGTTTTGAAGAAATTAAAAACTAGTTGAACACACACACACATACACACACTCACACACAACTTATTTGATTGATGTTAATCTGTAGAGCTAAAAGAAGCAGAAGAAGATTCATAGCTGTCTTCAAATTGATAACTGATTAACACTAGAGATTTATTATTTGTTTGTTTAAATAATTTTCAGTGGTGTGTGGTAGTGGAGAGATTTTATATCTTAATCTTGAGTTTTGTTTTCAAATAAACGAATAAAATTGAGTTAAAAAAAATAAAATAAATGAATAACATAAAAAATATAGTTGTGTGATAGATAACCAATTTTAATAGGGGTGGACCATAATAACTTTTTACAAAAAATAAATAAATAAATTAAAAAGAGATCCTTAATTGCCAAATCACAGACAGTTCCATTGAAAAATTTACCCAAATCTCCCAATATACCGACATTTGGAAGGTATCGTTATATGAGGGCTACCCTAAAAAGTTGACTGATCTTAATAATTTTTGGTAGTATGATTTGACATCCAATGAGAACCCAAAATACCAAATGACTGGTTATTCGGTTGAAAAATGTGCCCAAGCTCACCAAAATACGACATTTGATATATACCCTTATATGGGGCATACCCTAAAAAGTTGACCAATCTCGACAATTTTTGGTAGCTAGATTTGTTAACCAATGAGAACACAAAATACCAAATTACAGACATTTCGGTTGAAAAATAATGACCAAACAACCTAAAAACAAAATTTTGAAAGTTGCGTCGTGTGGGACCTACCTTGGGGCTAAGCTAAAAAGTAAACCAATGTTGACCATTTTTGATAGAAAGATTTTCTACCCTATGAGAAACCAAAATACCAAATTACAGACAATTCCATTGAAAAAAATACCCAAATCTCCCAATACAACGAAATTTGGGAGGTAGCGTTATATGAGGGCTACCCTAAAAAGTTGACCTATGTTTATAATTTTTGGTAGGAAGATTTGCCACCCAATGAGAACCGAAAATACCGAATTATAGAAAATTCTGTTGAAAAATGTGCCCAAGCTCCCTAAAGTACCATATTTGGTAGATAGTCCTTATATGGGGGCTAAGCTAAAAAATTCATCAATATTGATAATTTTTGTTGGGAAGATTTGATACCCTATGAGAGCGCAAAATACCAAATTAGAGACAATTCGCTTGACAAACGAACCCCATTCTACACAAAACCCGTCATGTGGGGGCTACCCTAAAAAGTTGATCAATCTTGATAATTTTTGGTATGAAGATTTTCTACCTAATGACAATTCAAAATACCAAATTACAGTCAGTTCTGTGGGAAAACGTGGCCAAGCTCCCACAAAATACGAAATTTGGTACATACCTTTACATGGGACTAAGCTACAAAAGATGACCAATCTGGATAATTTTTGATTAGAAGATTTGCTACCCTATGAGAACCCAAAATACCAAATTACAGCCAATTCAGTTGAAAAATGGGCTCAAGCTCACACAAAATATGAAATTCGAAAAAGTTCCGTTATATGGGAGCTATCTTTAAAAGTAGGACAATATTGATAATTTTTAATTGGGAAAATTTCCCACCCCCCCAAGAATCATTTGTAACAAATTTCAGCCAATTCGGTTGAAAAATTTGCTGAAAATCTTGGGAAGTGCCGTCATATGGGGGCCATATTTTAAAGTAGACATATCATGATAATTTTTGTTAGGAAGATTTGCTACCTAATAAGAAACCAAAAATTTCAAATTGTAGCCAATTTGATAAAAAAAAAAATCTGTTCAACACGTTAATTTGGAAAGGGGGTACACTTATATGGGCACTATACCAAAACGTGGACCTATATACCTCAATTTTCATTACCAAACAACCTAGGATTAGAGTAGCAATGTATGTGAAAAAGTTCAATGCCCTGCATACAAATATTGCGAGATCAGCACGTGATATAAATACCATCTTCTAATAGACCTGCCTATTAGAAAAACCACCTTCAGGCCGGTCTATGAGAAAGACCACCTTCAGCTGGGGTCTATGAGAAAGACCACCTTTAGCTGGTCTGTGGGTAAGACCACCTTCAGCTGGTCTGTGAGAAAGACCACCTTCAGCTGGGGTCTATGAGAAAGACCACTTTCAGCTGGGGTCTATGAGAAAGACCACCTTCAGCTGGGGTCTATGAAAAAGACCAACTTTAGGCTTGTCTATGAGAAAGACCTCCTTCAGCTGGGGTCTATGAGAAAGACCACCTTCAGGTTTCTCAGTGAAAAAGGCCACCTTCAGGCTGGTCTGTGAGAAAAGACCACCTTCTGGCTGGTCTATAAAGAAAGACCATCTTCAGGCTGGTCTATAAAGAACGACCACCTTTAGGCTGGTCTATGAGAAAGACCAACTTCAGCTGGGGTCTATGAGAAAGACCATCTTCAGCTGGGGTCTAAGGGAAAGACCACCTTCAGCTGGGGTCTATGAGAAAGACCACTTTCAGCTGGGGTCTATGAGAAAGACCACCTTCAGCTGGGGTCTATGAAAAAGACCAACTTTAGGCTTGTCTATGAGAAAGACCTCCTTCAGCTGGGGTCTATGAGAAAGACCACCTTCAGGCTTCTCAGTGAAAAAGGCCACCTTCAGGCTGGTCTTTGAGAAAAGACCACCTTCTGGTTGGTCTATAAAGAAAGACCATCTTCAGGCTGGTCTATAAAGAACGACCACCTTTAGGCTGGTCTATGAGAAAGACCATCTTCAGCTGGGGTCTAAGGGAAAGACCACCTTCAGCTGGGGTCTATGAGAAAGACCATCTCCAGGCTGAGAAAGACCACCTTCAGGCGGGTCTATGAGAAAGACCACCTACAGCTGGGGTCTATGAAAAAGACCAACTTTAGGCTTGTCTATGAGAAAGACCTCCTTCAGCTGGGGTCTATGAGAAAGACCACCTTCAGGCTTCTCAGTGAAAAAGGCCACCTTCAGGCTGGTCTGTGAGAAAAGACCACCTTCTGGCTGGTCTATAAAGAACGACCACCTTTAGGCTGGTCTATGAGAAAGACCACCTTCAGCTTTCTCTCACCTTCTCTCTCTCTCTCTTCCAGGCTGAGAAAGAACCTTCAGGCGGAACTATTGACCACCTTAGCTGGGGTCTATGAAAAAGAAACTTTAGGCTTGTCTATTACAAGACCTCCTTCAGCTGGTAAGAAAGACCACCTTCAGGCTTCTCAGTGAAAAACACCTTCAGGCTTTTTAACCTTATTGGTCTATAAAGAAAGACCATCTTTTGCTGGTCTATTTCGACCACCTAGGCTGGTCTATGGGACACTTCAGCTGGTCTATGGAAAGACCATCTTCAGCTGGGGAAGGGAAAGACCACCTTCAGCTATTACAGAAAGGCACTTTCAGCTGGGCATAAAGACCACCTTCAGCTTTATGACAACTTTACCTAAGAGAAATCCTTCAGCTGAGAATATTAAAAACCTTCAGGCTACGTCAGTGAAAAAGGCCACCTTCAGGAGAAAAGACCACCTTCTGGTTGGATGTTAAAGAAAATGTTGCTGGGAAATAAAGAACGACCACCTTTAGGCTGGTCTATGAGAAAGACCATCTTCAGCTGGGGTCTAAGGGGTTATCCAAAAACCATCTTGAGAAAGACCAATTTGCCAAGCCTATTTGTTGGTACGACCAATTGTGTATACGAAATTTTTTGAGTGTGTGTGTTTGTGGTGTGTTTAAGGGAAATCCTTATTTTATTAGCTGATGTAATCATAGTTGGGTATGGTATGAGAAAGACCACCTTCAGGCTGGTCTATGAGAAGGACCAACTTCAGGCTGGTCTGTTAAAAAACACCTTCAGGCTGTTATGAGAAATATCATATTTTTTGAATAACTTACAGGATTACTTTATTAACTGTTTACTAATTTCTCTCCCTCTCTCTCTCTCTCTTCCAGGCATAGACTTTAAAATTAGAACTATTGAATTAGATGGCAAGAAAATTAAATTACAAATATGGTAAGTAGTTGATTTCATTTCATCCCAACAACAAATTTTTAATTATTTCTCATTTTTGTTGTTATTTCTTCCACTCGCCCAGGGACACTGCTGGCCAGGAGCGTTTCCGAACAATTACCACCGCATATTACAGAGGCGCCATGGGCATAATGTTAGTTTATGACATTACCCAAGAGAAATCCTTTGAGAATATTAAAAATTGGATACGTAACATCGAGGAGAACGCATCGGCGGATGTTGAGAAAATGTTGCTGGGAAATAAATGTGAATTAAATGAAAAAAGACAGGTGAGCAGAGTAGGGTTTTCCAAAAATGTATTGTAATTTGCCAAGCCTATTTTTTGTTTGTTTTTGGTATGGCCAAATGTATTCGAAATGTTTGAGTGTGTGTGCTTGTAATGTGTAAATGGAAATCCTTATTTTATTAGCTGATGTAATCATAGTTGGGTATGGTATGGTTGAGGTAGTGGAATGTAGGTCATTGCCAATGTAATTATTAGCGTTAATAGGTGTTGTATTTCTGTTATTATTGACATGTAATCTAATTTGAATACACCCACAATTGATAATAGGAATGATAGAAATATTTAAGTATATTAAAAAAATGCCCGGTGAATGAGGATACCAGCCCTCTAGGTAAGAAAACCTTCAGCTGATCACTAAAAAGACCAACTTCAGCTGGTCTATAAAACAATCCACCTACAGCTGGTCCACAAAGACAAACATCGGCTAGTATATAAAAAAGACTACCTTCAGAGCTGATCTATAAGAAAGACTGGTAACTGAAAAATACCACCTTTAGCTGATCTTTGAAAAAAACCACCTTCAGCTGGTTTATAAAAACGACCACCTTTAGAGCTGGTCTATAAAGAAAGACCAGCTGAAGGTGGGCTTTTTCATAGGCCTGCTGAAGGTGGGCTTTTTCATAGACCAGCTGAAAGTGGTCTTTCCTTTATAGATCAGCTGAAGGTGAGCATTTTCATAGACCTGCTAAAGGTACCTGGACCAGCTGAATGTGGTGATTTTTCCTTATACACCACCAGCTGAGGGTGGTCTTTTTCATGGAGATCAACAGCTGAAGGTGATATTTTTTGTAGACCTGCTCAAAAGGTGGTTTATTTTAAAGACCTGCTAAAGATGGTCTTTTTTCATGGACCAGCTGAAGGTGGGCTTTTTCATAAACCAGCTGAAATTGGCCTTTCTTTATAGACCAGCTCTGAAGGTTGTCTATAAAGAATGAACACCTTTAGCCGAATGATAACAATGTTAACTGTGGAAAAAATAAACGATAACAATATTTACTATGTAAAATATTTTCGTTAACAATATTTTCTCTCAAATATATTATCGATACAAATATTTTGTATATATAAAAAGTACCGATAACACTATTTTGTATAAAAAATGTTATCGATAACAAAATTTTCCACGAAAATTGTTATCGATAACAATATTTTCTATAGAAAACATGTTTTCTATTATGTATTCTTATAGAAAATATTATCGATAACAATGTTTTCAATATAAAATATTATCGATAACAATATTATCTCTCAAATATTTTATCTATAACAACATTTATGTTATCGATAACAACATATTCTACAGAAAATAGTATCGATATATGAAAGGTATATTTAGCTGATCGATAACAATTTTTGGTGGAAAATATAATCGATAACGATATCTATGTAAAATATTTTCGTTAGCAATATTTTCTCTCAAATATATGATCGATAACAATATTTTGTCTAGAAAATAGTACCGATAACAATATTTTTTATAGAAAATGTTATCGATAACAATATTTTCCATAGAATATATTATCGATAACAATATTTTCTATAGAAAATATGTTTTTTATTATGTATTCTATAAAAAATTTTACCGATAAAAATATTTTCTACAGAAAATATTATCGATAACAGTATTATCTCTCAAATGTGTTATCTATGACAATATTTTCTCACAAATATGTTATCGATAACAATTTTTTTGTTATAAATAAAATATTATAGATAACATTTTCTACAGAAAATAGTATCGATAAGACTGTTTTCTTTAAAAAATATTGTCGTCGATAATTATCAATGACAATGTTTTGTATTGAAACAATATTTTGCATTGAAACAATATCGATAACAATTATTTTCAAAAATAATTTTATCGATAAAAATATGTTGTCGATAACAATCTTTTCTAAAGAAAATAATATCGATAACAATATTTTCTGTATGAAATGTTGTCGATAACAATATTTTTAAAGAAAATATTATCGATAACAAAAGTTTCTAAAAAAAATATTATCGATAACAATATTTTCTAAAGAAAATATTATATATAACAATATTTTTAAAGAAAATATTATCGATAACAATTTTTTCTAAAAAAATATTATCGATGACAATATTTTCTAAAGAAAATATTATCGATAACAATATTTTCTAAAGAAAATATTATCGATAACAATATTTTCTAAAAAAATATTATCGGTAACAATATTTTCTAAAGAAAATATTATCGATAACAATATTTTCTAAAGAAAATATTATCGATAACAATTTATTCTAAAGAAAATGTTATCGATAACAATATGTTTCATAGAAAAGCATTATCGATAACAATATTTTCTATATTTATATTATCAATAACATTTTTTATAAATAATTTTAACGATAACAGTATTTTCTAAAGAAAACATTATCGATAACAATATTTTCAAAATAAAATGTTTTCGATAACAATAAAAAAATGTTATCGATAACAATATTTTCTTTAACAAAATTTGTCGATAACAATATTTTCTTTAACAAAATTTGTCGATAACAATATTTTCTATAGAAAATGTTATCGATAACAATATTAAAAAATATTATCGAATTTATAATTTTTTATTATTTTGTATCGCTTCTATTTATTATTATTTCCCCTTTTTGTATCTTTCTAGGTCTCACGTGAACGTGGCGAACAACTGGCTGTCGAATATGGTATCAAATTTATGGAAACCTCAGCGAAGGCAAGCATTAATGTGGAAGAGGCTTTCTTAACCTTGGCTAGTGATATTAAAGCAAAAATGGAAAAACGAATGGTATGTATTACAACAACAACAAAATTAATAATGGGAATTTATTTTAACCTTCTCCGATTTTTTTGTTGTTAAATAGGAGGCGAACAATCCCCCCAAAGGTGGTCATCAGTTGAAACAGAATGACCATAGAAAAGCAGAGAGTTGGTTGTCAAGGTGCAGTCTGCTTTGACGAGGTAAATACAACAACGACGAATGTAGTTTTCTAACCTCTTGTTAGGGTGGGAGGCCCTAACAAGAACTTAAACTTTTTTTAATGTAATAATAAATATAATAATAATATTAAAATTAATAATAAAAAAATAAAAGAAAAAAACAAAACAAAAACGAAATAATATAAATACATAACGTAAAAAACAAATCGGAAAATCTTAATCATATTTAATTATAGATGTTTAAACAAAAAAAAGTAAATACAAAAATTATTGCAATTTTACCACGAAGCCGAGGAGAAGAAGCACACGAAACGTAATCATCCCGCAAAAAAGAAAAACAAAAACAACAATTCAATTCAAATAGAAAACAATTCATACTCTCTAAAGTAAATTCAACAACAACAATTCTTGTGGTCAATAAAAATAAACAACAAAAAATATTGGATTATTGAAATTTAAATCCTACAACAAAACAATGCTGCATGACTTATATAAATAAATTAAGTATATTTATTTATATATATAAATAAATTAAGGAATAACGATAAAACATAATCCATTATTTTATAAATCACACACAAACACAGGCAAAAAGAACAAAAACAACAATTGCAACTTATAAATATTTAGAAAAAATAATATGAAATATTTAAATAAAAATATTACGGTGTAAACAGAAACAAATAAGATAAATATTGGAGGCGAAAAAATAGTGCTAAGCAATACAATTGTTTTATTTTACAGAAAATATTTTCGATAACACTATTTTCTATGGGAAAGAGTATCGCTAACAATATTATCTATAGAAATTGTTATTGATACAGTATTTTCTTTAACAAATATTATCGATAACAATGTTTTCTCTAAAAATTATTATCGATAACAAATTTTTCTATGAATTAGTATCGATAACAAGATTTATTCATAGGAAATACTGTCGATAACAACATTGGCTACAGAAAATATTATCGATAACAATATTTTTTATAGGAAATATTTATAACAATATGGAAAATATTATCGATAAAAGATTTTCCATAAAAATATTATCAATAACAATATTTCCTATGGTAAATATTATCGATAACAATATTTCCTATAGAAATTATTTTCGATAACAATATTTCCTATAGAGAATATTATCGACAACAATATTTCCTATAGAAAATATTTTCGATAACAGTATTTTCTATAGAAAAGATGATCGATAACAATATTTTTGTAGAAAATATTGTCGATTACATTATTTTCAATGGAAAATATTATCGATAACAATAATTTGTACATAAAATGTTATCGATAACAATGTTTTCTATAGAAAATGTTATCGATAACAATATTTTTATAATTAATAATATCGATAACAATGTTTTCTCTAGAATATAGAATCGATAACAATATTTTATATAGAAAATCATATCGATAACAATATTTTAAATGGAAAATATTATCAATAACAGTTTTTCTTAGACAAGATGATTTATACAATATTTGTTGTAGACTATATTATCGATAACAATATTTTTTGTAGAAAATAATATCGATAACATTATTTACTATAGAAAATATGGTTATTGGTATAATATTCTATAAAAAATAACATCGACATCAAGATTTACCATACAAAATATCGATAACAAGATTTTTTTATGAAGAATATGGTCGATAACAATATTTGAAATGGAAAATTTTATCGATAACAGTATTTTCTATACAAAAGATGATTTTTTTGTAGAAAAATTTTCTATGGAAAATATTTTCGATAACAATATTTATTATATATTTGTTATCGATAACAAGATTTTGAATCGAAAATATTATCGACTTCTGGTTTTTCCATAGAAAATATTATCGATAACAATATTTACTATAGAAAATATGGTTATCGATATAATGTTCTGTAAGAAATAACATCGATATCAAGATTATCCATACAAAATATTATCGATAGCAAGATTTTGTATGAAGAATATTGTCGATAATTTTACTTTCTTCAAAAAATCTTATCGATAACAATTTTTTTTATAGAAAATGTTATCGATACCAATATTTTTGCATAGGAAATATTATCGATAATAATATTTTTGGTAGGAAATATTAGCGATAACCATATTTTCTATAGAAAATATTATCGATCAAAACATTTTCTATAGAATAGATATAGATAACAATATCTTCATCGAAAATATTATCGATAACAATAGTTTCAATGGAAAATATTCTCGATAGCAATAGTTTCAATGGCAAATATCGTTAACAATATGTTCTATAGAAAATTCTATCGATAACAAGATTTTATATAAAAAATATTATAAATGACAATATTTTGTATAGAAAATGTTACCGATAACAATATTGTATTTAGAAAATGTTATCGATAGTAATATTTTCTATACAATATGTTATTCGATTACAATATTACAATATTTTAGGTAGAAAATATTATCGACTACAATATTTTTGTAGAAAATATTATCGATAACAGTCCATTGAAATCATTACCGTTAAAATTTTTTTTCTTTAGAAAATATCGATAACAATATTTTTTATATAAAATTATTTCAATTATAATATTTTTGATCGAAAATATTATCGATAACAATATTTTGTAAAGGAAATGTAATCGATAAAAATATTTTCCATAGAATACAAAATTTTCCATAGGATCCCCCCATCCATATAGAAAATTGTTATCGAATCCATTTCCTTAAAAAAATCTTATTGCTTAGTTCCTTACAACAACAACAACAAAATACACGTACTTAAAAAAATATTTTAATAGAAAATAATATTTTTTAGAAAATAATTTAAAATTAAAATAAATTCTTCCATAAACGAAATAATGCAAATTATTGAAATATTTCAATGAAATTGAAATCATCATATATATATATATATATGTATTCTGTGATTCCCCATAACTGATTCCAAATATGTCTTCTATGAAAGGAAGGAAAGACAACAAATTCTGAAAAAAAATTTTAAAATAAAAAGCTTTAAAAAAATTCTCAAAATGTAATTGCTATTTAATAATGTTGTTTTTTTACTGTACGTGTATTCTAACAAAACTTATCTTGTTTGTTTTGGTTACTACTATAATTACTTTTTTCTATATAGAAATGTTTTTTTTAATTTTTTAATTTTTTTTTTAAATAACAAAAATCCCTCCTATTCCTCCTACCCACTTGAAATGTGCAAGAGTTGAAATAATAATCGAATATAAATAGTTTTTTTTTTTCAATTCCTAAATACAGGTTTTAAATGATTATTATTTAAAAAACAAATATGTTAGTAATTATTTGCAATTTTTTTTAATTTTTCTTAATTTTAGTTTTATATAAAAAATTAAATAAAATAAAAAAACCAAACATGCCATCGTTGATTCTCGAAAAAAATTAAATACAACACAAAAAGTTTTAAGCAAAAACAACATTTAAAAAAATTTACGCACAATAATTTCATTTAAATTGAATATTTTTGGTTTTTAATTTTTTAAATTTTTTTAACTCCATTTGGGTTCCAGATTTTTTTGTTAGCATGGCCTGCTGTTGAGTTGAGTTTTTAAGTTCTTTTTTTTCATTTCTTACATTTTGTTTTTGTAAATCACATTCTAATCGGGGTTGTGTAGATAAATATCACATTATATTTTTTTGTATAATATATACGTAAATATATATTTTTAAAAAATATATTTTTTATTTTTATATCTTAAATGTTGTCTTCATTTTATTTTTTTATTTTCTCTCTCTCTCTTTTTCATTTTTTTAAAGGTGCTTTATTATAACAATCATTGTATTGTTTCCATTTTTTTTTTTTTTTATATTTTATCTTTCACTTTCTCCTTTTTTTTTAATAAAAAAAATAAAAGTAATAAATTAAAAAATAAACAACATCATAAATAAAATCCAATATCTCATAAATATTTACTTTAAAAAATAATAATAATAACAAAAAATCGTCACCATCATCACAATCGCTTTTGTGACAAAAACAAAAAAAAAAGAAATATATATAGTAATATAAAAAACGGATGAAATAAATGAAAAAAATATATAAAAAAATTAAAAAAAAAACATCTACAATTTGATATTATTTAGTATTTATAATTGTAATAATTATACTTATACAATTTTATAAAAATATTAAAAATACAAAACAAAAAAAAAAAACACTCAAAACTTTTTTTTAATTTGTTTTATTTAAGAAATTTGGGTTTAAAGTTGGGGAGTGGGTAAAATATTATCGATAACAATATTTTCAATAGAAAATATTATCGATAACAACATTTTCTATGGAAAATATTATCGATAACAATACTTTTTATAGAAAATATTATCGATAACGCGATTTTCTATAGAAAAATTATCGATAACAAAATTTTCCATAGAAAAAATTATCGATAACAATATTTTATTTAGAAAATATTGTTATCGATTATATTTTCTATGGAAAATTTTGTTATCGACAATAGTATAGTATTTAGTATATATAGTATAGTATTTTCTAGCAAAAATATTGTTATCGATAATAATTTATTGAGAAAATATTGTTATCGATTATATTTTCTAGAGAAAATATTTTTATCGATTATATTTTTTATAGATAATATTTTTATATTTTATAGAAAATATTATCGATAAGTATATTTTCTTTACAAAATATTATCGATAACAATATTATCTAAAAAAATATAATCGATAAAAATATTTTCTCTAAAAAATTTTATCGATATTTTATCGAAAATTTTATTGATAACAAAATTTTCTTTAAAAAAATATGATCGATAACAATATTTTCTATAGAATATATTATCGATAACAATATTTTCTATAGAATATATTATCGATAACAATATTTTCTATAGAATATATTATCTATAACAATATTTTCTATAGAATATATTATCGATAACAATATTTTCTACAAAAACATAACAATATGTTCTATAAAAATTATTGTCGATAAGAATATTTTCTACATCGATAACAATTTCTTCTGTAGGAAATATTGTTATCGATAATATTTCCTATAGAAAATATTGTTATCGAAAATTTTTCTTATAGAAACTATTGTTATCGATAATATTTTTCACCGAAAATATAGTTATCGATCATATTTTCTATAGATATTGTTATCGATAATATTTTCTGTAGAAAATATTGTCATCGATAATGTTTTCTATACAAGATATTGTTATCGATAATATTTTCATATAAAATGTTGTTATCGATAACATTTTCTAAAGAAAATATATTCTCTATAGAAAATGTTGTTATCGATAATATTTTCTAAAGAAAATATATTCTCTATAGAAAATGTTGTTATCGATAATATTTTCTAAAGAAAATATATTTTCTATAGAAAATACTGTTATCGATAATATTTCCTATAGAAAATAATGTTATCGATAGTATTTCCTATAGAAAATATTGTTATCGAAAATGTTTCCTATAGAAACTATTGTTATCGATAAAATTTTTCACCGAAAATATAGTTATCGATCATATTTTCTATAGATGATATTGTTATCGATAATATTTTCTATAGAATATGTTGTTATCGATAATGTCTTCTATAGAAAATATTATTATTGAAAATATTTTCTATAGAAGATATTGTTATCGATAATATTTTCTACAGAAAATATTGTTATCGATAATATTTTCTAAAGAAAATATATTTTCTATAGAAAATTTTGTTATCGATAATATTTTCTAAAGAAAATATATTTTCTATAGAAAATATTGTTATCCATAATATTTTCTACGAGAAAGAAAATATATTTTCTATAGAAAACATTGTTATCGATAATATTTTCTATAGAAAATATTGTTATCGATATTTTCTATAGAAAATATTGTTATCGATATTTTTTTATAGAAAATATTGTTATCGTTAATTTTTCCTATAGAAATTGTTATCGATAATATTTCTATAGAAAAAAATATTGTCATCGATAATATTTTTTATAGAAAATATTGTTATCGATAATATTTTCTATAGAAAATATTGTTATCGATAATATTTTCTATAGAAAATATTGTTATCGATAATATTTTCTATAGAAAATATTGTTATCGATAATATTTCCTAAATAAACTATTGTTATCGATAATATTTCCTAAATAAACCTTGTTATCGATAATTTCTAGAGAAATTATTATTATCCTATTCCGTATGTCGTCGTCGTTGTCGACGACGTTTCTCTTTCGACATCACTTCGCATCGACATCGACATCACTTCGACACTGATTTGGTATTCTGTAACACTCATGCGACGATGTCGACTATTTATCGATAATATCAATAAAAACAAAAATTTTGTTGCATATTTTTGGGCAAAAATGTGTTTGTATCCTTCACCGCACTGTGGCACAGGGCATTATGTCTTGGTAAATGTGTTTGCAACGACCAAAAAGAAACGAGATAGACCCATAGTTACTTTTTAGTATATAGTATGTACATAGAATTATTTTTCAGTCGATTTATGCATGTCCCTCCATTCATGTATTATTTTAAACAAGTTACATGCCACCATTATGATCCGAACGGGATGAAATTTGGAAAAAATCCATCCAATTGGGATGAAATTTTATTTCCACATAGACGAGTCCTATTGACATTGGTCAAAATCGGTTTAGATTTATATATAGATCCCATATATTTTTCTTTATTTACACTTTATTTTGCATTAAGTATTGAATAGATTCTAGAATGATGTATCCTGTTCTTGTCCGGTCATGTTTTTTTTTTTTAATTTAAAAAAAAAATGTTCAAACGCTTCAGTCGTCAACAAAAACTATGACGAAGAAATCTTCGACATCGTCGTCGTCACACATTGTTACGGAATACCAAAAATCTTTCAATAGTTATCGATAAATGTCGACAACGACATAGGGAATACCAATTTGCAAAAGACGACTCTCTTCGACGTCGATTCGTGTCGACGACGACATACAGAATAGGGGTGAATATTTCCATTTGAAATATCTTTATCGATAATATTTTCTATAGAAAATATTGTTATCGATAATACATTCCTTAGAATATATTGTTATCGGTTGTATTTGCTGTAGAAAATATTGTTATCGATAATATTTTCTATAAAAAATATTTTTATTGATTATATTTTTATAAAAAAGTTTGTTATCGATAATATTTGATAGAGAAAATTTTGTTATCGATAATATTTTCTATAGAAAATATTGTAAGCGATAATATTTTGTATAGAAAATATTGTTATCGATAATATTTTCTAAAAAAATCTAATCAATATCAATATTTTTTATAGAAAATCAATATTTGCTATCAAAAAATACTATCGATAACATTTGTATTATAAAAGAAAAACAACGAGAACAGTTTTTATTGTAAAAAAAAAATTATCGATAAAACTTTTTCTTCCTCAGAAGATTATTTCTTAGATGTTTGCTTTTTCTATAAATCAAAGAATGATCCCCCCACAATAAAAAAGAATACACTTAATGTTTTTCATTAAATAATACAACTTTATTTTATTTTTTAAAAAAAATGTTTATAACAGATATTTTTTTTTCCTAATATAAAATATATATATTTTTTTGTAATATATGTACACATACAATAATTTTGTTGTTATTGTTTGTACAGCTTCTTATGCATTCCTTGTGTTGACATCGATGTTATATTGGGGTCTTGTGTGTGTGTTTCTTTTTATTATTATTATTTTTTTTTGTACTAAGACTTGCTGTACAAAATAAAAATCAAATAAATTATAAAAATAATTCCTAAGCAGTTAAAACCTAAAGAAAGTGGACATACATTTTGAAAACAAACAAAAAAAGTGTTGACAAAAAGCTTTTAGACTGACCTGACAATAGACACAAAAAGGTAAGTATAAATAGCCTGTGTGGGTTTGCAAAAAAAATAGCATTTTGGAAAAAAATAAAATAAAATAGGGCGACGAATTACATTTTGACAACTTTTTTGCTAATTTATAACTAGAATAGAACACAAGCTGTGTGTGTGTTGATGCTGGCTCCTGCTCTTTGCTCTTATAACTAATGGTAATGTTAAAAAATAGGAAGTACATACAAATATGTGGATATTCACATATGTATATACATACATATAAAATAGTCAATATTTTTTATGATTTGTGTGTGTGTTTAAAGAAGTCATAGTGATTTTAGTTTTTTTTTCATAAAAGAATTGCACTTAAAAAATTAATGATACTTTTTTTCTTTAAAAAAAAACAAATCGAAAATCAATTTGGAATCATATCTCTAACTAGTTGCGACTACATAGCTAGCTAACTAACTATTGTTTGTTTAGTGATTGATAGTATTCAGCTAAGATTTTCCAGGCTTTGGGTTCCATGAAACCATCCGGAGGATTGGCACCAGTCTTGGCAAGTGTGCGCATTTTTGTACCTGAGATAAATTCAAATTCTTCCTTGCGTTTCGGTTCGAAGAAGGCCATGCGTGAGACGCTCTTGTCATAGGCGGCAACGCGGAAGGGTAAAATCTGGAAAAAACAAAAAAGAAATAATAAAAAAATCCAAAAAACTCCCCCCCTTCACCAAAAAACCCACCTCCATACTATCTAAACCTTGAGCCATTTTAAGTACACGAGCACCATGTGTAGCATCATACAGATTGCCATCGGGATACATCGATTTGTCGGGATGTGGCATACCGGCTGGATCACGTCCAACAATATAGAAATTGGCACCGGCATTCATGCGTGCCTTGGCATGCCATTGCACCTCAGTGGGACCGGCATACATCATGGGTGAGGGGAAAATGGCCAAAACGGTATCGTCACGACTCAGCACCCCCGAATCAAGAACAGCTTGATGTTGAGCCATACGTACTGGCAGGGGGACATCATCATCCTTAGTCCAACCGCCAAGAGGATGGAGTAGGAGGACGGGTTTTTTGAAACCACGTTCCAACAATTGACGTTTGGTATCTTGCATCAATAAGGCATGACCGTTGTGGATTGGATTACGCAGCTGGAAAAAAAACAGAAATCAAAATAAAAATATTAGTAAAAATATACAAAAAAAAAAAACGATAACAAAAATCGATAAACATTGATTTGTATGGAAATTTTTTGGCAACAACAGAATTTTTTTATAAATTACATATTATCGATAACAATATTTTTACAGAAAAAAAATTTCGATAACAATATTATCGAAAACATGTTATCGATAAAAATGAGACTTTCGATAAAAACTGAAAATGCAATCGATAACAATATTTTGTACAGAAAATTTAATCGATAACAATATTTTCGATTAAAATTATCATCGATAACAATAATTTCTACACAAAATATTACTAATAACATTTTTTTTATATAGAAAACAATATCGATAACAATAATTTTATAGAAAGTATTTTCGATAACAATTTTTTACACAGAAAATATTATCGATAACAATATTTTGTGCAGAAAAACAATCGATTACAATTTTTATCGATAACAATATGTTCTATAGTAATCGATAACAATATTTTCGAATAAAATTATTATCGATAACAATAATTTCTACACAAAATATTATTGACAACATTCTTTTATATAGAAAACGTTATCGATAACAATATTTTCTCCAGAAAATACTATCGATAACAATAATTTTATGGAAAATATTATCGATAACAATATTTTACATAGAAAATATTTTCGATAAAAATAGTTTCTGCAGAAAATACTATCGATAAAAATATTTTCTCAAGAAAATACTATCGATAACAATATTTTCTCTAGAAAATTATATCGATAACAATAATTTCTCTAGGAAATATTGCCGATAACCATATTTTTTCAAGGAAATGCTATCGATAACAATATTTCCTCAAGAACATATTATCGATAACAATATTATCTCAAGAAAATATTATCGATAACAATATTTTCTCAAGAAAATATTATCGATAACAACATTTTCTCAAGAAAATATTATCGATAACAATATTTTCTCTTGAAACTATTATCGATTAAAATATGTTCTCTAGAAAATTATATCGATAACAATATTTTCTCTAGAAAATACTATCGATAACCGTAGTTTATCTAGATAATACTATCGATAACATCATATTCTATATCTAATATTTTCGATAACAATATTTTCTCGATAACAATATAATTCTCCAGAAAATATTAACGATAAAAAATGTTTCTCTAGAAAATATTATCGATAAGAAAATATTCTTTCGAAAAATTAACCGATAACAACAGATTTATATCGATAACCGAACTTACTTGGAATGCAAAAACAGCATCAGCCTTCATTTCAGTGAATTTCTCTCTCAGCTCATTGGGTGTTAGACGGTATTGGTCCAAGCCATCGTTCCACTTAATGCGTTCGATGACATCCAATTCACCACCAACCAAGTAATCGCCAGATTCCATGACCATCTGGAAAAACACGAAGAAACCAAATCAAAAAATATTAATCGAAATTTATTTCCAAACAAAATGCCCTGCTACTCACCTTACTGTAGGGATGATTAGGATTGCTGGTACCGAATTGACGCGACAAACGTTCTTCCTTGCGGTGGAAGAAGAATTCGGGTTTTCTCAATATGGCCACAGCTTTGCCTTCGTAGGTCAATGTAATGGCCGAGACACCATCCAATTTCTCTTTGTTTTCGGTGGTGACGGACAAAACAATCGGAACCGATTGATTTTCGCGGAAAGCTCCATCCTCACTGAGTATCGAATTGAAATGCAGCGTTTGCAAATATTCATCTTCACGCATGAAACCCTTCAAGGGGTAGGCCCAACCTTCGGCCAAAACCTGCAACCATTGTAGTTCCACCTGAGTAATTGGCACTGAGGGCAGTGACTTAGCCTCATTGATGATAGCCTCTTTAACGGCATCCTGAACATAAAGTTCGGGCAATTTTTCAACATCTCTCAGGGACTTGGGAATGATACCCTCCTCCTCCAGCAGGGCGATCACCTTTTGTGTCGATTCTTTGATGGTGTAGCCGTCAGTGTTGACAACCAATTCGGGATGTTCGGGTTTTTCATATTCCTGAGTGATGCCGGTGAATCCCTTGATGGTACCTTCTCTAGCCTTCTTGTAGAGGCCCTTGACATCGCGTGACTCGCACACATTCAACGGTGTGTCAACGAAAATTTCGTAGAATTTCAAATCGGCATCCTTGTGAATTTTACGAGCCATTTCACGATCATCGGCGAAGGGTGAAACGAAACTGCAAATGGCCACGACACCACTGTCGGCAAACAGCTTGGCCACTTCACCAACACGACGAATATTCTCTTCACGATCGGATGGGGTGAAGCCTAAGTTTTTGTTAAGACCGGTACGAATGTTGTCACCATCAAGGCCATAGGCGGGAATACCTCTGGACACCAAATAGGCTTCCAATTCGAAAGCAATTGATGTTTTGCCAGCACCGCTCAAACCGGTGAACCATACGGTGCAGCCACGGAAACCACGACAGAGACCGAGATTTCTGCCACGTGCCTCACGGGTGACGTGATGTTTTTGTTCGGTGACATTTGTGGCAACTTGAAGGCACTGCAAGTAGAGGAGAGGAAGAAAAGGAATTATATAAATGCATTTCGATAATACTTAAAATATAATGAAAAAAAAAATCGATAACAAAGAATTAGGGATAACGAAATTGATATCTATATTTTCTATAAGAATTATAATTTTTTTGTAATTTTTAGTAGAAAAAAATTATCGATAATTTTTTTTAGAAAAAAGTATCGATAACAAAATGTTCTACAGTAAAATGTTATCGATAACAAAATTTTTTATTAAAAATATTATAGAAAACAATATATATATACATATATATCATTAAAAATATTATCGATAACAATGATAACAATATTTTTTTTATAGAAAATATTATCGATAACAATATTTTTCTAGCAAATAACATAGATAACGATATATCGTACTAAAAATATTGTCGATAATAATATTAAAAAAATGTCGATGACAAGAAGTGGTATTGATATTATTATCGATGTTTTCTATAATAAAAGTAATCGATAACAATATTTTTTTATAGAAAATATTATCGATGCCAATATTTTCTGTAGAAAATAATATCGATTTAAATATTTTCTATAGAATTCATTATCGATATAGCATTTATTTTATAGCAAATAATATCGATAACAATATTTTCTTTAGAAAATATTACCAATAACGACATATCGTACTAAAAATATTTCCGATAGCAAGATTTTTTATGTAAATTTTCATCGATAACAATAACAATATTTTCTACAATAAAAATAATCGATAACAATATATTCTATAGCAAATTCATTCGATAACCCTATTTTCTTCTAAAAATATTATCGATAACAATATATATTATAGAAAATATTATCGATAACAACATTTTCTTTCAAAAATATTATCGATAACAATATTTTCTACAATAAAAGTAATCGATAACAATATTTCCTATAGCAAATTCATTCGATAACCCTATTTTCTTCTAAAATATTATCGATAACAATATTTTCTACAATAAAAGTAATCGATATCAATATTATCTATAGCAAATACATTCGATAACCGTATTTTCTTTTAAAAATAATATCGATAACAATATTTTTCTGTAGAAATTACTATCGATAACAATATTTTTCTGTAGAAATTACTATCGATAACAATATTTTATACTGAAAATATTACCGATAACGTTATATCGTACTAAAATATTTCCGATAACAATTTTTTTAAAGAAAATATCGATAACCGTTTTTTTTTCTTTAAAAAATGTTATCGATAACAATATTTTCTTTCGAAAATATTATCGATAACAATATTTTCTTTCGAAAATATTATCGATAACAACATTTTCTTTCGAAAATATTATCGATAATAATGTTTTTAATGGAATATATCAACAGTGTTTATAGAAATTATTATCGATAGCAAGACTATCATTCAAATATTTTATCGATAACAATATTTTCTATAATAAAAGTAATCGATACCAATATTTTCTAAAGCAAACACATTCGATAATCCCATTTCCTTTAAAAAAATGTTATCGATAACAATATTTTTCTGTAGAAAATATTATCGACAATGAAATTTCCTATAGAAAACATTATCGAAAACAATAATAGCGATAACAAATTTCTGTTTCGAAACCCCTCAAACTTATTAACAGGCCATTCCCTTATTCGAATATCCCAAACCCCCATTTCTTAATTTTGTTTTCGGGGTTTTTTTTTATTTATTTATTTTTTTTTTTTCGTAAGAAAAAAATTACCATAAATCAAAATATCTGCAAATATGTAAAAGAGAGGTCAATAAACCTGCTAATAAGAAAATATTAGTTGCCTAAAGCCATTATAAACTCCATCACAACAAAAACAACAATCGAGTTAATCGAATTTAGCTTAGTAAGCATTCCAAGCGGTATTGAATAGTTGTCGGTCCGTTCGGGTATATTGTGATGGTAGTGGTGGTGGTGTTGGTTAAGTTTTTTTTTAATGATGAACCCCAGGGCTGAGAATTTTTGTTGCTAACACCGTGGTGATGATGATGATGGCGGTCAAGTTAATCAGGCAAAGGTCAACGAAAGATCTTTCACAAAATAGGTTCGGGTTAATTAACATAAATTAGAAATATTTTAATTTTTTTGGAAATCGAAAGAAGTAGAAAGAATTGATTTTAAAAATAAATAATTTTTTTGAATATTTTAAAATGTTTATTAATAGACAGTTACACGAATATTACATCAGTGCGAAATTAGTGTTCGGAATATGTATAAAGGAAAGTTACCATTTTCGATAACAAAAATTTGAATAATTTTTATCAGTTTTTTAGATAAAATGATCTTCAAAATTATCGCTATCGATAAAAAAATTTTTGAAAATTTTCTAAATTTTTCTCAAAATTTTATTGTGTTTTAAAAAGATTAGCGCACATTTATTTGGGTGTTATCATTCAAAAAGAAAAATACAACAACAATTTCCGATAAGATTTATTTCTTCGAAGTGGTAAAACAAAATTCAAATTCAAAATCGTATTACTTCCATTAGAAGTTTTCAAAACGGGAAGAATGGCACGTTTAGTTGATTAGATGACTGGCTTTGCTACATACATACAATAAACAATATGTATGTACATACATATATAATTTAATAAAATCAAAACTTGCAAAATCATGCATTGGTTGGTCTATCTCTTCAAAAAATGTACGACAATTGACAAATGTTTAAACGAACAACAACGACGAGATAATGAAGTCAATATTCAGCGAAGTAGTTGAGAAGGTACCTGGGTGGTACTGATAAACAGTTGTTTTTCGTTCGTTCTTCTTCTTTAATCATTCGATAAACAAGATGATAATTTTTTTGCCTAGAAAAGTAGTACACTTGTTGTTGTTGTTTGACAGTAGTACAGTTATAACAGTTTATTATTGAATGTTTATTTTTAATTTTTTCGAAAAGAGATAATTTTCGGCAGTAAGGATGGGAGGTGGGTGGTAACCATTAAAGAGAAAAATGTTCTATAAGGGCTCTTTTACATTTCATACTCTCAAAGTGATGTGGTATCACAGAGTCTTAAGCCTAAAAATATGCTTTAATTTATAGGAGTATTTTATCGTTTCATATTCAAAGGCCTGTAATACATATTTATGGAATAGAAGACAATTTTCCACAACAAGGAGATGAGTTGGGAAGTTTCCACCAAAGGAAAAAATATTCATAGAGAGGTCCTTTAGATATCCTTCTCACAAATGATAGGCCTATATGAACACCTTCGGCCTTTAAATTAAAAAAAAATCTCAATGGGTTACATTTTTTATTGCATTTGTTTAAATATCCTAAATAAGGTCATTTTCGGCAGTAAGGATTGGAGGTTGGGTGGTATCCGTCAAAGAGAAAAATATTCCACAAGAGCTCTTCTACATATCATTCTCTCAATGTGATGAGCTACCACAGAGTTTTTAGCCTGAAAGTAGGCTTTAATTTTTGGCGTATTTTATCGTTTCTTATTCAATGAGCTGTATCACATGTTTTTGGAATAGAAGGCAATTTTCTACTATAAGGAGATGAGTTGGGAAGTTTCTATCAAAGGAAAATAGGTTGGTTTAGGAATCTTCTGGATATGCTTCTCACAAATGAAAGTCCATAATTAACTCCTTCGGCCTTTAAATTAAAAAAATCTCAATGGGTTACATTTTTTATTGTATTTTTTAAAATATCCTAAATAAGGTAATTTTCGGCAGTAAGGTTTGGAGGTTGGGTGGTAACCATCAAAGAGAAAAATATTCCGCAAGAGCTCTTCTACATTTCATTCTCTCAATGTGATGAGCTATCACAGAGTTTTAAGCCTGAAAGTAGGCTTTAATTTATAGGCGTATTTTATCGTTTCTTAATCAATGAGCTGTAACACATAATTATGGAATAGAAGGCAATTTTCTACTATAAGGAGATGAGTTGGGAAGTTTCTACCAAAGGAAAAAATATTTGTTGAAGAGTCCTCTAGATATCCTTTTTACAAATGATAGGTATTAATAAACTCCTTCGGCCTCTAAATTACAAAAAAGTTTCAATGGATTGAATTTATTTGTTCATATTTTAAAATATTCTAAATAAGGAGATTTTCGGCAATAAGGAAGGGAGCTGGATAGTTTCTACCAAAGAGAAAAATATTTCACAAGAGCTCTCCTATATTTCATTCTCTCAAAGTGATTTGGTATAACAGAGTCTTAAGCCTGAAAGTAGGCTTTAATTTATAGAATATTTTTTAATTGACCTTAAATTTCAAAAAGCAATAAGGAGACGAGCTAAACAATTTCCGCCAAAGAAAAAAATAATTTTTGAAGAGTCCTCTAGATATCCTTCTCACAAATGATATGCCTTAATATACTCCTTAAGCCTCAAAATATAAAAAAACGTCTCAATGGGTTAAATATTTTATTGTAGATTTTAAAATATTCTAAATAAGGTAACTTTCGGTAGAAAGGAAGGGAGATAGGTGATTTTCATTAAAGGGAAAAATATTCCACAAGAGGTTTTCTACATTTCACTCTTTCAAAGTGATGTGGTATCACAGAGTCTAAAGCCTAAAAATATGCTTTAATTTGTGGGGTATTTTTTAATTGTGCATAAATTCCATATTTCAGAGAAAAAGGACGCAAAAGACAACATGGAGACGAGCTAAGGAATTTCCGCCAAAGGAAAAAATATTTGTTGAAGAGTCTTCTAGATATGCTTCTCACAAATGAAAGTCCATAATAAACCCCTTGGTCCTCTAAATTGCAAAAAAGTAGCAATGGATTGCATTTTTATTGTATATTTTGAGATATTCTTTATAAGGTAGTTTTCGGCAGTAAGGAAGGGAGCTGGAGGGTCTACATCAAAGTGATAAATATTCCACAAGAGGTTTTCTATATATCATGCTCCAAGAGTAATGGCAATCATGAAGTCTTAAGCCCGAAAATATGCTTTAATTTATGGGATATTCTTTCAACAAAAACGGGATCAAAAAAATGTATTTTCTTCATTTGGAGAACACCTTTGAGGTATAAATCTTGGTTATAGAGTTTTACTCTGTGAAAGTGAAAGATAGAGGACCTCTTAGCGAATTTGTTTTCCTTTGGTCGGTACCTCATACCACAACTTCTTGTTGGGGAAATCTCCCTCGACACCATTCAACATATATTGAAATAACTGATATTTAAAATTAGGAATTGTTGATGCATTGCCACACCTCTAATAGGTATAGGAAGTTGAAATACCGCCATGCTTTGCGAGAGGGATTTACAGAGGACCCTTCAACGAATATAATTTCCGACGAAAGTTTTGCTCTACTGCAAATCCTTGATAACAAAAAAATCGTTTCAGAAAAAAGTTTTGATTGATGATTCACCATTTTAAATTTACTTCAAAGGCAGAACACTTTTGAGGCATAAATTTTGATAATAGACCTATACTTTGTGGAAGAGAAATGTAGGGGACCACTTACCGGAAAAAATTTCCTTTGGTCGGAACCTCATACCAAAACTCCTTGTTGGGAAAATCTCCCTTACACCATTTAACATATATTGAAATAACTGATATTTAAAATTACAATTTGTTGATGCATTGGCACTCGGCTAATAGGTATAGGAAGTTAGAATACCGTCCTGATTTGCAAGAGGGAATTATAGAGGACTCTTCAACGGATATATTTTCCGGCGAAAGTCTTCCTCTCCTGCAAATTCTTGATAGCGAAAAACCATTTTTAAAAATGAATCTCTACATCGTTGACCGTTTTGGATCTCCTTGGTGCTAAAGACATTTCATTCCGTACCAAACAGGTGTGGGAGGTTATCATAGAAGGTTAGCCATTAACACCTTTCCTCTGTGACACCGGCTTTTATGTATTTGCAAAAAAAAAAAAAAAAAAAACTGAGCTATTATCTTCAAACTTATAATATTTACCTCGAAATAGGCAACTATAATTCAGAAACAATTAAAAAAAAAATAGAAAAAAATAATTAATTTCTTATAATTTTTTTAGGTTAATTTTCGCTATCAAGGAGTTGAGTTAGATGTTGTCTGTAGTAGGAAAAAAATAGTGTAGGAGGTCCTCGACATTTTATTCTCACAAAGGAAAAAATGTAGCATTTGGTTTTATGCCTTAAAGTATGCTTTAAAAATTTTGTAAATATAGATTGACTTTAAAAGGTTCCTTATACATTCCCATAATTAAAGAGCGATTTTCCGGCACTATAAGTTGAGTTCGGAGGTTTTAACTAAAGCAAGGTATGTTCGTTGAAAGATCCTCTAGATACTGTTCTCCCAAAGGAAAGCCATATTTTCACAAGTTATATCTCTAAAAGCAACTATAATTCAGAAATCATTAAAAAAAAAAACAAAAAATTAAATAAATTGTTTATAATATTTTTGAGGTTAGTTTTCATGATCAAGAAGTTGAGGTATACGTTATCTATCATAGGAAAAAATTTAGTTTAGGATGTCCTCTACATTTCATTCTCACAAAGCAATGATGTATCATTGAGTATTATGCCTCAAAGTAGGCTTTAAATATTTTGCGAATCTATATTCATTTTTAAGGGCCCCTTCTACATTCCCATAATTAAAGACCAATTTTCCGGCATTAGAAGTTCAGTTCGGAGGTTTCAACTAAATAAAGAAATGTTTGCTGAAAGGTCCTCTAGATATTGTTTTCCCAATGGAAAGCCCTATTTTCACATGTTATATCTCTCTATATCTAATTCAAAATCATTAAAACAAAAAAAATTAAATAAATTGTTTATAATTTTTTTAAGGTTAGTTTTCATGATTAAGAAGTTGAGGTAGACGTTATCTGTCATAGGAAAACATTTAGTTTAGGAGGTCCTCTACATTTCATTCTTACAAGGGAAAAATGTAGCACTTGGTTTTATGCCTCAAAGTAGGCTTTAAATATTTTTCTAATCTATATTCATTTTAAAAGTCCCCTTCTACATTCCCATAATTAAAGATAAATTTTCCGGCACTAGAAGTTGAGTTCGGAGGTTTCAACTAAATAAAGAAATATTTGCTGAAAGGTCCTCTAGATATTGTTCTCCCAAAGGAAGGCCATATGTTCACATTTTATATCTCCAAAAGCAACTAAAATTCAAAAACAATTAAAACAATAGAAAAAAAAAATTAAATAAATTGTTTATAATTTTTTTGAGGTTAATTTTTGTTATCAAGGAGTTGAGGTAGACGTTATCTGACATAGGAAAAAATTTAGTTTAGGAGGTCCTCTACATGTCATTCTTACAAAGGAAAAATGTAGCACTTGGTTTTATGCCTTAAAGTAGGCTTTAATTATTTGGCTATTCATTAATTTTAAAAGGTACCTTAAATTCCCCTAATTATAGCTCAATTTTCCGGCAATAGGAGTTGAGTTCGGAGGTTTCAACTAACCATACCATTTAATGGCTCTAAAAGGCACTGCAATAGAAAGCAATTATTAGTTCGGTAAATAAATAAAGCAATATGTTTGAGGTTAATTTTCGTTATCAAGGAGTTGAGTTAGATGTTGTCTGTCTTTGGAAAAAATGTACCTTTGGAGGTCTTCCACATTTCATTCTCACAAAGGGTTTTATGCCTTAAAGTAGGCTTTAATTATTAAACAAATTTAGATTCATTTTGAGAAGCCTATTATTAAGAAGCCATTATTAAAGAACGATTTTCCGGCACTAGGGGTTGAGTTCGGAGGTTTCAACTAAAGGAAGATATGTTCGTTGTAAGGTCCTCTAGATATTGTTCTCCCAAAGGAAGGCCATATTTACACATTTTATGGCACAAAACGTCTCTGCCATTGAAAAACAATTGTAAAGCGAAAATTTGAAATTTTTTCACATTGTGGTAATTAATTATTTAAAAAAAATTGCCTTTTTGTCGATTATCTTCTAATTAATTGAAACTCATCAACTTACCCTCCTCTTAACATGAGGATAGAAACCAATTGGAGGATTTGGCATTTTGTTTAAGGATTTTAAATTTTTTTATGAACTTCAAAATTTATTTGGTTTAAATTTCCGTACAAAACCTTGTACTAGATTGTATTTTTAATTTTTTTTATTGTTTTAAATATCAACAAATTTCACGATTTCACTATTTTGTTTTTTTATTATTATTGTTTTTGTTTTATATTATAATTGTTGATAAGAATAACGTTACGACCGACCAGCCAACAGTGACGGAGTGTTATGTGTTTTTAAACCAACGATCGCGACTGAACTGAAGTCTATTCCAAAACATTTTGCAGAACTTTAACTTTGAAATTCAAAACAACAATAACAAAAACCATAACAAAAATTACAACAACAATTTATTAACCAAATCTATAGTGAAAACACACAACAACAACACAAGCAGCAGCAGAAGAAAACATTTCCAATAACAACAGAAAATGAAGAAGAAGAAGACAACATAAATAATATCAAATACAAAAAAAAACCAACAACACGAAATTGTTGATAAAGTTGATTAAACATCCATTCAGTTAGCTTAGATGGCATTCGAAGTTGTTGTAGTAGTTTTTTGGGTGCTGCAGATCACAGAGAAAATTAGTTGAGTTGATGGTGATGAAGAGGTGATGAATTAACATAAAATTTGGATAGCTGTCGGGCAAAAAGGTAAATAAAGTTAAACAAAACATTACCCCGACGACTGCTATCGAGAACACAGCTGTGTTAGAATACGAAAAGGCTAGCGAGGCGCACAGCAGCCGCAGCTACCAGTCAAAGAAGCCTCAATATATCAGTTGAATCAGACAGCCGACATTAAAGATGATGGTATTATCTCCAAAAAAAAAAAAAAAAAAAAAAACAAAAGACAAGTGTTTTGATAGGGAGGAGGGTGGGTGATAAATTCAAATATGTGTGTGTTGTCTTCTTGTGGACACAATATGTTTCGAGGTAAATATGATAAGTTTGAAGATAATAGTTTATTTTTTTTCGGATAATACATAAAAACAAGTGTCACAGAGGTAAGGTGTTAATGGCTAACCACCTATGATAACCTCCCTCCCACCTCTTTGGTAACGGAATGGAATGGCTTTAGCACGAAGGGGATAAAAAACCACCAATGATAAAGAGATTAATTTTTGAAAATGGTTTTACGCTATCAAGGACTTGCAGGAGAAGGTGACTTTCGTTGGAAAATATATTCGTTGAAGGGTCCTCTACAATTCCCTCTCACAAATCATAACGGTATTCTAACTTCCTATACCTATTCCTGGTGTGGTAATGCAGCAACATTTTTTTTTAATTTAAAACAAAATATTCTATGGTATAGGGTGGGTTTTTCGCAAGAAGAAGACGTTCTATAAGGGTTCCGCCAAAGGAAATTTTTTTCTCTAAGAGGTCCCCTACATTTCTCTTTTACAAAGTATAGGTCTATTATCAAAATTTACACTTCAAAAGTGTTCTCCAATTGGAGTAAATATTAAGATATTTATCCATTTTAAGTAATTTATTTTTTGAAACGAATTTTTTGTTATCAAGAACTTGCAGGAGAAGGTGACTTTCATAGGAAAATATATTCGTTGAAGGGTCCTCTATAATTCCCTCTTGCAGAGCATGGCGGTATTTGAACTTCCTATACCTATTAGAGGTGTGGCAATGCATAAACAATTTTTAATTTTAAATATCAGTTATTCCAATATATGTTGAATGGTGTATGGGGAGATTTCCCCAACAAGAAGTTGTGGTGTGAGGTTCCATCAAAGGAAAAAAATTCCGGTAGGAGGTCCTCTACCTTTCACTTTCACAAAGTGAAGCTCTATAATCATGATTTATGCCTTTAAAAGTATTTTCCACTTGGAATAAATTTAAAATGGTAAATAATATATATTGAATGGTGTAGAGGCAGATTTCCCCAACAAGAAGTTGTGGTTTGAGGTTCCGACCAAAGAAAAAATTTTCCTGTATATTGTCCTCTACCTTTCACTTTCACAAAGCAAGCTCTATAATAAAAATATACACCTCAAAGGGGTTAGAAAAAAATTAATTGTCAATGATTTTTCGGATCCCTTTTTGTTAAAGGTTGCCGCAACACGAAGTCGTGCTATAAGAGTTCCGCCAAAGGAACATTTTTTCGCTAAGAGGTCCTCTACATTTCTCTTTCAGAAGTATAGGTATATTATCAAAATTTATGCCTAAAAGTGTTCTGCATTTGGAGTAAATTTAAAATTGTCAATCAATCGGAAATTATTTTTTCAAAAGCAGTTTTTTGTTATTAAGGACTTGCAGGAGAGGGTTACTTTCTTTGGAAAATATATTCGTTGAAGGGTCATCTATAATTCCCTCTTGCAAATCATAACCATATTTCAACTTCCTATACCTGTTAGAGGTATGGTAATGCATCAACAATTTGTAATTTTAAATATCAGTTATTTCAATATATGTTGAATGGTCTAGGGGAGGTTTCCGCCACAAGGGGTCGTGGTTTTAGGTTTCGACAAAAAGAATTTTTTTTCGGTAAGTGGTCCTTTACCTTTCACTTTCACAGAGTAAAACTCTATAATCAAGATTTATGCCTCAAAAGTCTTCTCCAGTTGGAGAAAATAAAAAACATTTTTTAAATTGCCAATAATTTTTTAAGGGTTCCTCCTTTTTGTTGAAGGTTCCGCAACAAGGAGTTGTGTTATAAGGTTTCGACCAAAGGAAAACTTTTCCAGTATGAGGTCCTCTACATTTCACTTTCACAAAGTCAAGCTCTATAATCAAAACATATACCTCAAAAATTTTCTCCACATAATAACAAATTTTAATTTTAGGTATCAATGATTCCAACATATGCTCAAAGGTGGAAGGGAAGATATCCTCCACAAGAGATGGTTATATAAGTACATTTCACTTTTATAAAGCAAAGGTCTACCATCAAGATTTATGCCTCAAAAGTATTTTTCTTTAAATTATCATTCTTTCCTCCATAAAAAATTTGCAGATATTTGGGGTTTGGTTAGTTCAAACACAACGATGTGTGTATGTGGTAATCGAAGGGTCAAAAATTATAGGTTTTCATGATTTAGCAAAAAAAATCTTAAATGAAAAAAAATATCTGATTATCTAGCACACAACAACAATGTTTCGCAAGACAAAACAAAACAGGTTAGAATGTTCATTATAAAATCGAACTTAGTTCGCATTACTAAGAACTTGTTCTAATCTTTTTTTAAAATAAAAAATCACATAAATTAATGTAAATTATAAATAAATTTTTCAGATTGAAAGATAAAAGGGAAAATTAACAACCAATAATCGTTATAATTAATATTTATTTTATTAAAACAAAAAAGAGGAAAAATGTTCAACGTTCTTGTTCCAGTTGAGTGGCAAACAATTATTGCATGCCTTTATTAAGTTCACCTGTCGTAAGCCGGCTAATATTTAAGCTGGATGGTTTCGATTAAAGACAAAAATATTTGTTGGAATGTTCTCTACATTTCATTCTCACAAAGAAATTCGGTATCCTCTAATATCCTCTTTTCTGTCCCTTTTCCTCGAAAATGTTTTCATTAATTTCATCATATTTTTCAATGATTTTTATTTGTGACCACATTTTCTAGGCAATTTTTCCAGTTTCCAGGTTTAAGCTGGAATGTTTCTACCAAAGGACAAACTATTTGTTGAAATGTCCTCTAAATATAAGGCTCTCAAAGAAATCCTGTATCTCAAGGATTTCAATATGAAAAATTCATTTTAATGGCGGAAACTTTTTTTTTAATTTTAACAAATTTCCAGTCTATAAGGCAATTTTGCGGCTGAAGGGTGAGAGCTGGAAGGTGTCTAATAAAGAACAAAATAATTCTTCAAATGTCCTGTAAATATAATTCTAACAAACCAGTGCTCGATCATAACATCTTTCAACTCAAAAATCGATTTAAATGACAGAACCGTTTGAATTTTTTATTTACAATTGTTTTAAAAAAATACACCCTCTTATTTTTGTGAGGCGATTTTCCACCATAAGAAGTAAAGAGGTAAGGTTCCAACCAAAGACAAAAATATTTGTTAAGAGGTCCTCTATATTTCACACCCTTAAAGCTAATCCCTTTAATAACATCCAATGCCTGAAAAGCTGCCGCTAAATTATGAAACCCCAAAAAAATATATATCAGCTATTCCAATACAGGTTGTATGGTCTAGGGGAGGTTTCCGCCATAAGGGGTCGTATTATAAGGATTCCACCAAATGAAAGCTTTTCCGGTAAGTGATCCTCTACATTTCTCTTTCACAGAGTAAAACTCTATAATCAAGATTTATGCCTCAAAAGTGTTCCGCATTTGGAGTAAATATAAAATTGTCAATGAATCGGAAATTATTTTTTTCAAAAGGATTTTTTGTTATTAAGAGAAGATGACTTTCGTCGGAAAATATATTCGTTGAAATGGTCCTCTGTAATTCCCTCTCACAAAGCATTGCGGTATTTCAACTTCCTATACCTATTCGAGGTGTGGCAATACATCAACAATTTGTAATTTTAAGCATCATTTATTCCAATAGATGTTGAATGGTCTAGGGGGAGGTTTCCGCTATAAGGGGTCGTGCTATAAGGAGTCCACCAAAGGAAAACTTTTCCGTTACGATATTCTCTACATTTCTCTTTCACAGAGTAAAACTCTATAATTAAGATTTATGCCTCATAAGTGTTCTGCATTTGGAGTAAATATAAAATTGTCAATCAATCGGAAATTATTTTTTTTTTCAAAAAGAGGTTTTGTGTTATCATGGACTTGTATGAGAAGGTGACTTTCGTCGGAAAATATATTCGTTGAAGGATCGTCTGTAAATCCCTCTCGCAAAGCATGGCGGTTTTCTAACCTCTTATACCTATTAGAGCTATGGTAATGCATCGACAATTTTTAATTGTAAATATCAGTTATTTCCATATATGTATGATGAATGATGATGAAGGAGATGTGGTATGAGGTTCCGACCAAAGGAAAAATTTGCCTTCTTGCAAAGGCATGATGTGCGCCCCTACTTCCAGGGCTTCGGTGTGGGTAGAAATCATGGCG